TTCACATTCTTAATTATCCCTGAAAGGCAAATTCCTTTAAATTACAATGATTTGCAATTAAAACATGTTTCATGGCATTTATTTATATAAATGTGTGTATGAAATAAAATTAAAACGATGGTACATACAACATCTATTGTATGCCAATTAATACTTTCCCTGTTGACTGGAAATTCTAACCTATTGGGGTTGATAAATCTAACAGTTGGGTGGCTAAACTGCCATAATGTGAAGCCATAATGGTCCTACACTGGTTGGTTGTTTTTCTCACTCCCACACCTTTATTAGCAATTGGAACAAAGGTGGGAGTACAACTAGCTCAAGTGGGTGTCTTCCCATAAACCATGTGATCTAAAATTTGCTTCTTGGCATACTACTGTTTTTTGCAGAACCATGACCATTAGTGGTAACTGTAAGTTGCTTTGCTTAAGATACATACTTTTTTGAATTTGTGGGTGCCAGACACCTATAATCCTAGCAAGCGCTAAAATACATGCCAGGCTAGCTTCCTGTTTAGAGGTAATCATCTGGGTGACTGGCCATGAAGAGAACAAAGGAAAGGTGATGAGCCATTAAGTAAGCAAAGGAGAGGGGGCTCTGTGTGAGACAGCCCACTCGCAATTCACAGGTAGTGAGAAGGATAAAAGCCAGAGTTTAGAGTTGGAAGTGTGTGTAATGTGACCTAGAAGTAAAACAGCAGGCTAGAAAGCCAGAGAGGCAGACCACAATGTTTGATTTCTCTTTGAATTAAAGGCTGCGGCAATGGAATAACAAGACCCTTTGGGGGTGTTAATGCTGTGAACCCTTCCATCGTAGGCTCAGGTTGTATATATGTGTAAATAAACCATATATCATAAAGACACTACAGTCTGTGCTGTTCCTCATTTCCAAAAGCGCATGGGTAAGCGCTTGGAAAACCAGGGAGAGGTGGTGCTTGGATTTTCTGACATGCTTTCCCTCTGTGGTTCCAGGAATGTGATTGCAGAGAAGCAAGTGTGACAGCAGGGACCCCTTCTGAACCAAGCTTAGACTCACAAGGAGTCACCTCCTAGGGTCTGCCCATGTGACCTCTTAGGCTCCGCCCAGGCACCCCACTAAATCTAGGTGCCACCAGCCTTCAGTGGGTGAGGGGTGTCACTTAGAAGGGTGTGTAGCCTGTGGGGAGCCTCAGGGGTCAGATAGAGAGGGTAAGGGCTACAATTACCCCACCCTGATTTAGAACAAACCTGCCCACCCTAGAAACCAAATATAGTTCTTAAACCATATATTGCAGTGATCAGTGCTATTTTTTCTAGAAAAAGAGGTACCAGAACTCACCATGAATGCCTCTCTTGTTCTCTTATAATGGCAATGCCACCCATGTGAGAGATGCTGGAAGTGAGTTCTGGTGAGTTTTAGCTGGAAAAAAAGCCCTGGTGGTCACTGATAACTCCACTGCTTTTTCATTGAGATGGTCAAATGCTGTTAGGCTGCATTTAATTTAATGCCTCCAGTTCATACCTTCTTGCTGTGTCATGACCTAACATGGAGATAATAGCCTAAATAATACGCTATTATGGAATGTTCGTTCTGTGTCTCCATTGCACATTAATGCACAGGTGATATTAAACATATGTCAACTTTTTACTAGTCTTGCTCCTGCACACTGTTGCTTTAAATAGTAGTTTAGCAGGTGAAGCTTTTTCAGGCATGCAGATAAAGGGAGGGGACAAGCTTCTTCTGCTACAGAAGCACAGGGCAGGAAAAAGTTGGCAATCCCATGTTAAACTGATCTACAAATTTTAAGCGCTAGTGAGGCTCAAAAATTGAATTGTTATTGCCAGGTAGTTTCACAGCTGGACCTAAGATTTACTGCACATAGAAAACAGAGGTAGAAAAATTAAAGATTATTTAATACGCAACAGTCAGCATTTGCTTGCTTCATTCTTATGGGTGGAGAAATGAAATCAAGGTGTGACCCAGGAGTACTAACAAGATAGTGATCTTTTCCTGATCCCAGTCATCCAAGAGGAGTGCCTTAAAACTATCAAGTATGTATTCTTCTCATTCTAAAATCACTTTATTTCACCACTGGGTATTAATGTTTTTATTATTGTTGTTTCAGAGAAGATCTAATATATCAGAATACACATTTACTGAATTCTTAATGTACACAGAGTATTTCTAAGCACACAAAATTAAAAATTAGCTGTCCAGAACTTTTGAATTGTTACTTAGGTCAGTTGTGCAACAATTATTTTTTAAAAAACATCTGAGCAATGAATAGTCCATTAACAAGAGGTAGGTAAATGTTCTAGTTTCATAATTCAAATAGATTTTGTGCCAAAGGGTATTAAGCAAATTAACTGAAGATGATCTGATCCAGATTGGTTCAGATTGGTATAAGAAAATTGTAGGTTTGAAATAAAGTTAGTTCAGCGACTGTGACTTCCTGCGCAAAAGCTGGATTCCCAGCAGATAACCAAAACCTCTCTGGCAGATGCTTATCTTTCTCTTTAAAATATTTGAAATACCTTACGCAATCCCTTCCTTTTATTGTTTTATGAAATGTACATGCATGCTAAACTGATATTCTGGGAAGCTACGAACAACTTTTTCTTCATTCCTTGTCCACCGGGAAAGGAGACTTCAGTGATCCAAAATTCTTTCCCCTTTCTTTTGAGAAGCAGAAATAAATCCCTCCTGGCTGTACTGTACATTTACTCAGTTTGTCTTTCTTTCTTTCCTAAAAAACCTCCTTATTTCAACTCTTCCCAGAAGAACTGAAACACTCAGAAGCAAGGCTGTTTTCACATAAAATTATGGAACTATTCACACAAAAATTGCCATGATTAGTATGTCAGCACACAAAGTGATTTATGAAAAAATATTTATCCCCTTTTCATCAGGCTTGTTCTTGTGCCCTCAACAGCATCCTGGCATAGCACAATGTAGCAGCTGCTGCTTTCCTCATCCTTTAAATCTAAGCAAATCAAAACAAAACAAAACAAAACAAAACATCTCAAGCTAAATATCTGCCTCTTGGATTGTTGTTCAAGGATACAAGACAGCTTAAAAAGGTTGGCAAATAAAGTTGCATGACAGGTAGAAATTCAGGAAGTGAAGCTTTCCCCAATCTTACATCCCCATGCCTGGTGTAATTGCACCCTTTTCCCAAAGGCAGCCGAACAGACCCAGGGGCAGAAAAACAACAAGGCAAGGCAGCCTAAGGGAAACCAGAGCAGTGGGGAAAATGAATCAAGACCGACCCAAGACAAAGCATTCCCTCTCCGCTTCCACTTACAGAAGCCAATTGGACTAGCAGATGAATCTTACTTAATATGGACTTGGGCCATCATTCTTTACTGCACCTGAGGGAGGCAGACTAATTTAGGAGGCACAGATTAACCTGTGTGGCACATAGTTCTGTCTTTGCTGCTCATTCACCACTCTGCCTGGGGCCTACTCACCGCTTGCTCAAACAAAGGCTGTAATGTAGCATTGGTGCTGCTGGTGTGCATTATATGACTAGAACATAGCACATGCTTGTTGCCTGGAGTAGTCAATGGTCTGGGCTGGTAGATTTTCTGTATGCTTACTCAGTTAGGGGCTGTGTTGCATTGGGAAAAGGGACTAAGTGAGACAGCTACCAGCCTAGGCCAGCAATAAATATTCATAGTTGTTGGGTGGGGTGCTGGCTCAGGAAAATTGGGTGGTTGTGGTGGGGAGATATGTAGGGTGGCCACTTCACACATCACCCCCAAAAAGGAACCACATCATCACCACCCCACCCAGGACAAATGAAGACAAATGTGCATAAAATGTGCCTGTTCTAATTTAAAAGTGTAGAAGCAGATTTGGAAATAATTACTATAATTTAAATAGAAATTTCTGTGCCTGCCCAGGAAAATAGCCTGGTGTTTTGCCATCACCCCACCCCCAGTACCTGCTGCCTTAGAGCGCCACGTCCGTCTACCAAATAAGAGTAGCTGCATGTACATGTCAAAAGTTATTTAATTGTAGTACATATTAATCAAATTGTTTTACTGCTGCTTCTCATCTATCCTAGCACCTTTGCACACTGGAATACTGAAAGCTTAAAATGTGACTTAACAACTGAGTTCAAACCTGCTGCACATTTTTTCTTTGCCTACCAACAACAAAAAAGTGCTAGACAAATTTAAAAAGAAAAGAGTTTTGGGCTGAAATTTCAGGGAATTGGACTGGAATTGTTCCAGGTCTAAGGGGGCTAACAGGCCTTCCTGTGGCAATAGCCCTCCAGTGCTAAACTAAGCTGAGGCAGTTGCCTGAGGCATTTTTATTGATGTATTATTACTTTACATACTGCTTACATGTCAAAATGATGTTGGTTTGGCCTCCTGTCAAGATATCATTGCCAGACGTAGCATGAGGGATCCCAAGATGGAGTCAGTGGTCTTCACAAGTGTTTGGATGCCAGGCACCATTTTGAATTAATATGACGGACCAAAATGTAATTTTGGATTGACTCCATCCGATTTTGGGCATGATGGATCCCAACTCACAAATTGCGTAACCCTTTACCTTTATATATACAGTGGTACCTCGGGTTAAGTACTTAATTCGTTCCGGAGGTCTGTACTTAACCTGAAGCACCACTTTGGCTAATGGTGCCTCCCGCTGCTGCCGCACCGCCAGAGCACGATTTCTGTTCTCATCCTGAAGCAAAGTTCTTAACCTGAAGCACTATTTCTGGGTTAGCGGAGTCTGTAACCTGAAGCGTATGTAACCCGAGGTACCACTGTGTGTGTGTATATATATATATATATATATATATATAGTAGTGAGTGCCTCGGTATTTTAGAAACAAAAAATTCCCCGCTCCTGTGTGTGTGCGTGCGTGCGTGTGACCTGCCTCTCATAGATCTGTCATATCCCTCTCAATTTAAGTTATATAAATATTCCCTACTTCTACCAGGTTCACACACCTTATCTCACATTCTATATCTGTCGATCGATCGATCTCTGAGCATATGGATTGGATGTCACCCACCGGTTTTTTTAAATTCTTTCACCCACTTGCGTTTTCCCTCCCAAACCCATACGGGAGACGGCGGAGACTGGCCACGTGAAGAACGTTTGCGTTTTGCCCCTACACATCAGCGGACATACGAAGGAGAGGAAGGGAAACGCGGGTGTGCCTGCTTGCATATACGCGCACACACATCTCTCTCTCTCGCTCTCTCTATACACACACACACAGACACACAAACGGCGCGCTCTTTCCTTCCTCTCATTCATTTACACACACGTTGCGCCCGGGCGTCTCCCTCCGCCGCCGCTCTGTGGCTCCGCCGGGTCACGTGGCCCTGCCCTCCCCCGGCCAACCCTCCGCGCCTGCCTCCCTCCCGGGGCTTGAGAAGCAGAAGTGGGGAGCCTTCCTGGGGCAGCAGGCGGCGAGGAGCAGGGCGGGCCGCCAGCGACGACCGAGCGAGGGGGACGACTCCGGCTCCCCGCCTCTGGGACTGAGGCGCAGGTGAGGGGAGACGCCGAGGGAGAAGGAAGGTACCCCCGCACTTACTTACCCTCTCCTCCTCCTCCAGCCCCACCGTGCGGAGCCCTCTTGCCTTCTCCTCGCCCTAGATTCGCCAGCTGCGGGCGGGTTGGGGCGGCGGTTCCTCACACCTCCTTGCCTTCCTGTCCCGCCTCACTTAGTTATATGGCAGGTATTAAGAGGTGCGGGGCGGGTTGAGGGATCCCCTCCATCCCAGCTGCCGGCTATCTGTTGGTTGGTTTCTTAAATACTCACTACTACTACCGTAAAGATACTGTCAGGGAGCCTTACAGTAAATGCAAAGAAGTTTTTTTTGTTTTTGTTCTTACGGAAATTTAGAGAGCGTGAAGCAACAGATTAAAAACTGGCCGCGATATCAAGGCTGTGTACGTGTTCCGTGGGGTTATTTCGAGTGCTTTCCTTCCAACCCGAGACAGGTTGTGGTTACTTCGACATCTTTTTCTCTCCTTCCTGCCGCTGACCCGTTGCTGCCCACTAAGTGATAGCGCTGGGGATCAGAAGTTGCCAGGAAAGACTCAGCCAGGGAAACTGGTTGGCGTCTCTCGGCTGTGTAGGGAACACGTCGTTCTGCACATGCTCTACGGGCACTCACTTGACAGCCTTCCTATTACTGCAATTTATTCATTAGACCTATATCACATGCTTCCTCTCAAAGGACCCCAGGGCGGCATTCATCCTTAAACCAGTTGTGGCTGCTTTGCATCTTCTTCCTCTTCAGTTCACACCGCCACTCTTTTTTGGACTGCCCTAGTTAGTAGATTAAAAAGGTGTTTAGTCTTAAATATGGCTGGAAATGCCCTTTAGCTTGACGCCTGGCAAGGCTGGAGGGGAGCTAAGTCTATGCACATACTCTGCGGCACTGCCTCCCCCCCTCCCCCTCCTCCAGCTCTGATAGAAAGGAACTAATTGCACATGCTCTTGGCCACTCTGTTATATTAAGGCGCTGCACCTCCACCACTTCTCCAGTTTCTTAAGGTCTTCCTTGGAGGCTTTGCTCAGGGTAGCTGAGGACTTTATCTAGATGGGACTTTATCTGTAGCAGCACTTCGTTTTGTAGAAATCTTGCCAGCAGGCTCATTGGGCCACCTAACTACTTAGTCTCAGGTCCCTCCTTGCTTAGTCAAAATTTACTTTTTCTTTGCACAGACTTTTTAACAAGGTGGTTGTTCCTAGAAGAGTGCTGCAGCTTATTTTCTTTAGCTTTTTGTTATATATTTTTTCAACTTCTCATTACTTCACCCTTTGCCATTTGCCTTTAGTTTCGTTGAACAGAAAGGCAACACATCAAGAGGTTTTGTAATAAATCAGTCTTCCTCTGGGGAGCCCTGACTCTTGACCCAGTGGACAACCTTGCTTTTGACAAACTGACTAAGGACTCTGCTTCATTTGCTGCCACCTCTCTCTCACTGAAGAGTCCGCTGCAAAAGAGGGAAGGAAACCAGCTGTCCGCCCTCCCTCTCCCCCCCTTTACTTTTCCCCCAACAGAGAGGTGGGTGGGTTAGTAGCAGCACCAATTTAAATGTAGAATGAAGGAAGGAAAGGTAGTGGTGTGAACAAAGAGGTGAATCTGGGTTCAGAGAAAATGTGTGTGTTAACCTTGTAGGAAGGAAACATATGTTTATCACTATTTCAAATGTATGAACATTGTTTTAAAGTTGAAAAGCCAATTTTTTATGCTAACCTAAGTCTCTGGGTTGCCCCTGAAAAGGAAGGGGTTTCTGTAGCCTCCCAAACTCCCTCAATTTATGTTGGGTTAGGGAAGGGGAGCAGTGGATGCTTCATACAGCAGAGCAGAAGGAACAACTTCAGGTAGGGTATTTTTTGTTGTTGGTTCAGTATATGGTCATCTTCATACATGATATTGGATGGAAAAAAAGTGAGGAATGCTAAAAAAAAAAAAAGGATTATTTGCATTGTGAGGAAAAAGGAAAATTGATGACAAGCAGTGCAATCTTACGCATGTCTACTCCAAAGAAAATAAGTCCTAATGAGTTCAGTGGGACTTTCCACCAAGTGTGTAGGATTACAGTATGTATAATATCAAATACACCAAGTATCTAAGAACTGCAGTGCTCTTTCATGGGGCTGCTTTGATGCTGAAGCAACTGCCCATCTTCTTGTGCTCCCCACCTCCCTCTTTTACTACCTTTGATTAATAAACAATTAGAGTAGCTTTTATTCTGTCATAATCTCTAAGGCCAATCAAAGATGCCTGTTTTACCATATGTATGCCAGGTTCAAACAAGAAGGGGATTTGTAATTTTCTCTTCTTGCTGTTCTTTAGGACTGTTTTTTACATTTCCTAAAGCCTGATAAAGCAATGAAACTTTCTACATCTTTTGGACAATTAGTTAGGGTACTTGTGTTAAGCAACTTCTTATGTTAGTTGTAGTACACTTTAAAAAATGTAGACTAAAACTGTGTGTTCTCAAATTGTGTCGCTCAACATGAATTCTCATGGGTTTTAAAATCAGATAGATAAAGTGATCTTTCTGGACCATCTTCTCTCTGTTGTATGTTCATTATATGGTTTTGAGTTACTCAGAGCGGATAGCGGGTTTCAAACAATAGTGAAACTGGTTATAGATACTGTTTTATTTTCATTTATTTCACATGGTGGTTGTTGTGTGTATAAAGTTGCGTGTCTACAACAAGTCCAAGGACATAGAACATGCTGATCAGAAGAAAAGGAGTGTAAATGATGGTAACGAACCTTTATTTAATAAAATACAACTGGAGAGCTTCAGAAATTATTACACCTTACACATTTTGTGTTTTGAAGGGCATGGCCAGATGGGAGCTTCCTGTGCTTTTGATTTCATGTTTTAGTGCCCAACTAAGCATATGGAAATAATTTCCTTTAAGGCAGTTACAACATGACAAAGGAGATCTGATGGGTCATCCTGTAACACTGGTCCCAAGACTTTGGGATAGCAGCAATACATGACTGAACCCTTTGATGCTGAACTTCCCGTGCCAAGATGTGTTGTATGATTAATTTATTATATTGTAGCTAGGTAACCCACATGTACAAACCCTGGTGCTTTGATGTTCTAGGCTTGGTACAAATAAATATCAAGGACCTAATTTTACATGGTACTACTAATTCATCTGAGTTATCTGTGGGCTTATGCATCATATCCAGTTTCACTGCTGATGTATAACTTCCAGCTGAGCTACTGGCTTTCAGATTGGTGTTTGGGCCTTGCATAGGCTAGGGGTTTCTGACTTGAGAGACAGGGGAGGCAGTTTAACTACACACACAAACAAATCCTCTCAGTAAGGACTCAAGACAGAGTTCACTTGATGGTTTTTGCCAGCAAGAAGTGTGTACTAACCATACTTCCCTGGTTTTGACTTCTTTGGAAGTTCACATTATTTGTTTAGACTAAACTGATCCACACTTGCACAAGTTTGTTAATTGTCTGTCCTCCTTTGCAGATAGTTAACTTTATCTGCAGGCTAGGCAGAGAAGATGGTTGTGTAACTCAGCTGTGGCCACTAAGAACTCTTCCAGTAATTATCTAGGGAAATCTCTCCCTAGCTGCATGATATTTCCAGGTTCCAATGTAAATTAGAGCAGACTGTAATAAAAGCCAATGTAGTATTCCAGTGGTGGATCAAACCTATTATATTTTACCTGCAGAATTTCAAGATTCATAATTTAGTTTGTCTCCTATTGTCATGCACACTAAAGGGTTTTGAGAATGTTTCAGACAATAATATTCCTGACATTCATACATCCAGAGGCTTTCCACATAACCACTGACTATTTTTATTTCTTGTTAAGTCCTGGCCACAGAAAATTCTATATTTTTATTCTGGCTGGCCTATAATTGCTTCTCATTGTTCCATTTCTTGGTATTGCTGCCACTTCTTCAGTGCCTGTTAGTTTTATCTATTTTTTGATGCCATATTTTATTTTCAACTAAGAATTTCTGCACAAACAATTATGTGTTATATGCCCGGGGTTTAGAGTGCAGGCATCCCTTCAGATGCTGAATACATTTATCTGGCGTGCTGTGCAAACAAATAGGCATAAAACCTCTGACTTTGAAGGATAAAGTCTGCTGTGTAGGAAACTGCCATAATGAGTAATTATGATTTGTTCCATTGGATTTGTTCCAGCAGCTCAGGACCAGGGAGGGCAGACTTCATGCTTGCTGGATCTACTTTTGTGTTTCACTGGGACTCAAAGATCCACCAGCTGGAGCACGGTACACAGGATATACACTAAAATAAAAATAAAGAAGAAGAATTAAGTGCTCTGAGCTGCTGCTGAATTCAGGGATCTGTTCTAAGTACCAGAACTGAGCTACCCTCACAGTCCTTCCACACAAAACTCTTATTATTGTTCCCTCAGGCTTTCTTCATTTTAGCAATCTAATTTGGACAAGGGCTCAGGGAAAGAGTCATTTTATTGGTGTTCGTGTTAAACAGTTGAGACTCAGAAATCCTTGCCTCTGTACTGCACATCATCTAGAGATCAACAGTACCAGTAGCCTCTGTTAAGATGGTGTTTGGTAATGCAGCATTTTTAAGCTCCCTGCAGGGAATTTGAGAGTAAGGATGTGGAACACTGTGAGTAGCATTTGTTAAGGTTTGGTTCATATTTTCCTTTTCCACCAGTCAGCAAGGTGAAAATTAAAATGTCAAAATACCTCTCACTTTGCGCTTTGCAAGGCAATTAAAAAAGGTAGCAGTGCAACCCATCCTGGACCAAGAAGTGTGTTTCAACTACAACCCATTTGCTCACAGCTATTTTGGGGGCAAGATGGTTGAGAGGATGGTAGACAGCTTCTGGTGTACTTGGAGAAAAAGGATTATCTGGACCATTTCAGTCTGGCTTTAGGCCTGAGTTTGTCACTGAAACTGGGAGACAGGTGTCAGGAACGTAGCCCTGTTAATTCTCCTTGAAATCTGTTGCTTTGGTTATATTTGATGATGGTATCTTCCTGGAATGCTTCTGTCAGCTGGGAGTGGGAGTCATGGAGCTATGGTGGCTCTGCTTTCACTCTTCCCTATAGGGTCATTTCCAGACCCTATTGGGAGACCCCCTGAGTGGTCCCTTGGCAGTTATGCTGCAGGAGTCCTGTAGGACTCCATCTTGACCTCTGAGTTTCTTAACATCTACATGAAACCTCTGGGATAAGGTATTATTCCATAAATTGTGAGGCTGAAATGCTTAAAAGATCACCTTTCTCTTCATCTGCTAGCCCAGGCTTTTAGATCTGCTGTGGAGGACCGTGTCATCCTGCCAATGAGGGAAGCCCACTGTGCAGTGACGGGGATCAGACCTTCTCAGTGGTGGCAATTTCCTGTGGAATTTCCTATCCCTGCAGGATAGGAAAACCCTCATCACTGAATTTTTGATAGTGTATTAAGACATTTCACTCAGGTCTTAGGAGCAAACAGATGCATTTTAGGCCAGATGTACTGATGCTACCTGCAGTGTTGTATTTTGTAGTGTTGCATTTTGACTATTGTTTTAAAGTAATGATTAAGGTTTCAAATGGTTTTTGAAATGTATTTTAAGTATCCTTTGTAAACTTCTCTGCAATCTTAACAGATGAAGGACAGTTTAAAAATCGAACAAATTGGAATTGCAGTTAATTTATTCACTGTTAGAATGATAAACTACAAGATGCAGTTCAGCCACATGTTATGTTAGGACCAAATTGAGTAAAATACTTCCATTAGCTTTTACGTTCTTTTTCTATCACCTTTTGTCTTTTTCAGATTTCTTCTTTTCCCCGTCCTTTTTTGTATGATCTAGGGTCTTTTTATTGATTCTTAGAGAATCTGAAAGGGCTATTGAACACATATGTTTCTATATATGTAAGTAGCATTGGACAGTGTTCTCGAAGCTACCAACATGAGTCTGACCAAACTGCGGGAGGCAGTGGAAGACAGGAGTGCCTGGCGTGCTCTGGTCCATGGGGTCACGAAGAGTCGGGCACAACTAAACGACTCAACAACAACAACAAAGTAGCATTGATTGCTTTGTTATACACAACTGCTATAAGACACCAGATATATGGTATATTGTAAACTTACAAATAAATAAAGTAAAAAGTGAATTAATTAAGGAAAAAATTAAAAGGGTGAAATATTTGTGTTTCTAGAGCAAGATAGTGCTTTAAACATTTCTAACTATTAACAGGCAAAAGGAAGGAGTTAAGCTGAAGATGAGGGCTATGAGAAGGAAAACAGGTATTGGGGCCTGGTTATTAACAAGGAAACTGAAACAAGAAGCTTGTAATAAAAAGTAGAGGGCAAAAAGGCTGAGGGGAAAGAACAGTAAGGCAGATGCTGCTGTTTTTGGCTGAAGTTATTTTTGGGCTTTGGTTGAAGACGTTTTCCCAATCCTCTTTGTGTCCTGCTGTTGGTTGGTTGGTATGTATAGTATGATTCCAGAGGAAAGCTTGATAGCTATTTTCTTCCTACTGTTTTTCATGAAGGAGAGCAGACTTGCTAATATTTGTGCCATGTAAGAAAAAACAGGAGAGGAGAGACCATAATTCACAAGGTTTGAGTTTCAACTTTGCAATTGTATGAGTGTGGCAAAATAAAGAAATACTTCAAACTGGTATATTTTACTATTCCAACTAAGTCCAAAATCTTATACCTTTTTACTCAGAAGTAAGCCCTTCTGGATGCAGTGAACTTTGTCTCCTGAGTAAATATGGATTTAATGGCACTGTGGCTTAAATTGAACAGGTTGTCATTTTAAAGTAGCGTAACCATTTATTCATGATTGACAGAGCATGTTTGAAATACTGGAATATGAAGCTTAGTTCCATGCTTTTTCAATATTTTACTACTTAATCCATGGATTACAACTGCTACTTCACTGACACTTCATTAGAGCTTGCTGCACATTCAGAATATTAAGCTGAGCATGAGTAAATTTATAATTTAAGAATCGGAAGTCTTGTTAGCCCAGCAGTGGAATTGATGTCACTATCACTTTGCATTTCAGTTCCTCGTTGTAAAAAATGGGGGGGGGGAGTTCACCCTCAAGGTGGTTGTAATACAAGGCTTGTTTTGATGTTACCATTCCATTCTTATTTTTTTTCCTTTTTCTTCCTATCTGTATGCCACAATTGAAGTGCAAATGTGTTCTTTTTCATTTCCAGATGCTTTCCAAAATCATGAAATAATCAAGAAGCAAGGTTGAGTCATTGAAAGAACACTTGCAATTAAGAATGCAATCCTATACATGTCTACTCAGATGTAAGCCTGATTGAGTTCAGTGGGATTTACTCCTGGGTAAATGTATACTGTATAGGATTTCAGCCTGGATGATATAGCTTGGTCTTAACCATGAATCAGTAATGCTATGCCACATGCTTCATTTAATCCAGAGTACTGAACCTGCTATAGAAGAAGTTGCTTGCTCTTTATACACTTTCACTTGGCAGCAAGCTTTGCACCATGTCCTTTTCCTGTTAATAGCTATGTTGCAGCTACGTTGAGTTGAGTGAATGGGTTACATTTAAATGTATGTTAGGGCCAAAGTAGAAATAATGTTGGAAATGCTACATCTCCATTTATACTTTTGCAGATCAACAGCTGCATGTGGGGGCAGATGAGAATTAGGGGTAGGGTGGGGGGAAACCATTTCCCAGCACTATTTCTCCATTGGAAATTGACCTCCCCATAGTTGCTGATTTCCCATAAGGAAAAACATCTACATGCATGTATTTTTTCCTCATCAGAGGATTAATAGCTTCAGTCTGGGCTGGGGATTTTCATCAGGAAAATGGTGTGGAGGGGTAGAGTTGAACCAGTTTTCCCACTGAATTGATATACATTCACACATCTTAGTCCTGATCACTATTTGATTCTTACTACTATTTTCAGTAATCGCTACTTAAAGCAGGTATTGCTAATTTGAAGAGCTTGATGTTTGCTTGATATAAGAGGTAGATTAATTATATACCGGTAATTAATTATATACCGGTAACTGTTTCCCATGCAAGCTTAATTGAAATTGGTGGATAGCTCAGTCCGTACTAATCTCAGGGTTGTGGGTTCAAGCCCCACATTGGGTGAAAGATTCCTGCATTGTGGGGGTTGGACTAGATGATCCTCATGGTCCCTTTCAACTCTACAGTTCTGTGATTCTATGAAGCTAGTGGGGATATTGTGGGAAAAGAGATTGGTGGGTCTGGTATAATATCTTGGAATATACTAATGTTGTTTATTTATACAGTGGTGCCTCGCAAGACGAAATTAATCCGTTCCGTGAGAGTCTTCGTCTAGCGGTTTTTTCGTCTTGCGAAGCAACCCTATTAGCGGCTTAACGGATTAGCGCTATTAGCGGTTTAGCGGCTATTAAAGGCTTATCGGCTTATCGGATTAGCTGCTAAAAGGCTATTAAAGGCTTAGCGGCTTAGATAAAGGGGGACCAAGCGAAAAAAATCTCAAGACTCGCAAGACATTTTCGTCTTGCGAAGCAAGCCCATAGGGAAATTCGTCCTGCGAAGCAACTCAAAAACGGAAAACCCTTTCGTCTAGCGGGTTTTCCGTCTTGCGAGGCATTCGTCTTGCGGGGCACCACTGTAGATGGTTTGAGATGATTTTATGATGACTTTTGAGGGATGAGCCTGAGTATGCCACTCTCCTAGAGAGACACCAATCTCCCAACTGAAATATATGTTTGTTTATGTTGGGTTGATGTTTTTACTATTCAAACCCAAGTTAACTTGGTGACTTGGATACAGAGAACCCCTTGTGTTACCAAAAGGAAATTCTGCTTATGCAAATACGGTTCTCCAGTTTCTATGTTATTGCAGGATGAAGTCCTACAAATGCTTACCTTGTTTTGGTGGACTTCACACTGAGGCCTTAATGCCTGGTGCAGCTTGGTAGTTTGTAGCTTCTGTGAGAACCATAAACCTGCCTGAACTGTTTATATCCAGTCTGACTAATTAGGTATTCATTCATTTTTAGATTTAGGCTACGTAAATTAAAAGAGATAGGGACTTTTTGGTGACCAGGGACATCATAGCAGTGAAGACCTGTAAGACTCCCTCGCTTTCCATTTTTAGATGGTCTCGGTAGATTGTTAAAAATTGCAACCAGCTTTCGATAATGTGTTTGAAGGAACAGCTGCTTATAATAGCATTTTCTAGGAATGATTTAGCACTGCCATTTTTGTGTTGGGTGTTTTGCGTTTAACATTTATTTGGTTATTTTATGTTAGAAAAGTGGGTAGTAAATAAATCCTAATAAAACTGGACCATATCTACTGTTTCCTTGGGAAAGAAAATCTTTTACATAATAAGAAACTATTTGTTTATATAGCCCTTCTAATATTAAAAGCAGTCAGTATACATTGTCTCAGTAATTTTTGCCAGTGTTCTTTTAAATTAGGTCAGAATAGTGACCTCCATCTTACATACAGTGAGAAATTGGTGATTAGACTGAGAGATAGTGCCCTGTCTTTGGAGAACTAGCAAATTAATGGCAGAGGTGAGATTGGAGGCAGATACTTCCTGGCTCTCAGCTCAGTCACTTACAGCCTAATCCTGTGCATGTTTACTCAGAAGAAAGTCCTGTTTGTTCAGTGAAATGTAATCCCAGATAAGTGTGTTTAGGATTGCGGCTGTTATTCTCTTGCCTTGTGTCTGATTTTGATCCAGAAACAAACCACTGTCAGGATTTTGATCTTCTTAAGACATGGAAAGCCATCTGGAGTGCAAGACATAATCTGGGCAAGGGGTTGGAGCTAAAATCCCTATTCTTCTACGACTCATTGCATAATACTATTAAGGACAAACAATTGATGGTGATGCCTTATTGACGAACTAGAGGCATTCTTGCTTTGTTTTCCATAGCGTGAGATCATACTATATCAACTGCTCAAGCTACTCCACCCCGGCCATTGTTAATAAGCAGTACATAATTGTATTGTGTTGGCTAGTACAGTGCTAATTCCTGTCTTCTGCAACATTTGGTTTGTTTTAAAATGCACCTCATTGAGGTAGGGATATTTGTTAAAGTTCACCAGATGGTAATGGAGATCTGTGTACTTTGACCCTAAGAGTGGTTATTCGTGCTAGCCTAGTTTCACTTCTAGAAATTCCTTTTGCTTCAAAAGGAAGCTGCAAAAAGTTTCCTTTTAACAAAAAAAACCCTATTTTAGAATGATACATCTTTCTTCCTCTGCTTTTTCCTTTTCAGCCCACTGCAAATTTGCTGCGTTCACCCTGAAAATGTCCAGGAAAAGCATAGACTATGGGGAGCTACCTGAATATGAGAAGAGTCAAATCAAAAGGACCTTGGAGCTAGGCACCGTCATGACAGTGTACAGCCTCAAAAAGAGTAGTCCAGAGAGGAGGACAATCCAAGTCATTATGGAAACTAGGCAGGTGGCATGGAGCAAGACAGCTGACAAAATAGAAGGTTTCTGTAAGTATCTGCTTATGGTCGTCATTGCAAATAATTGAATTTAACCCTGTCATGACCTGCTATTTTCTTTGATGTGTTGATGGGGATGAAGAAATGGTGTATGTTTACTGCTTTAGTGTTTAAAGCTGTATACCATGTACAGGTCCAGTTTAGAAAAAGGGAGGGGATTGAAAGTGTCCCCACCCTTCAGATGACTTCCAGGCCTTTTACTCAACCCTTGTGACTTAGTAGATGGATGGACCTAGGACAGACACATTAACTTAAGCCAGCAGCAGGGAATCTTTGACCCAGGGGCCTAATTAGCTCCAACAGGGATCTTAATTTGGCCAGTGAGGCTGTTACTTCTCAGGCCACATCCACCTGCCCCATATGTGGCATCAGATGTAGGGCAGGTAAAGATGCTTCCTAATTGTTCATTGGAAAGTGGGACTTGCTTGCAGTGTTGACCATGTTTAAGTAAGTTTTAACTGTGGTTGGTGTGATGTCTAAATTAAGAAACCAGAGCCAGATCAAAACATTTTGCTGCATGAGGTGGAAGACAAGATTCCCCCACCCTCCTGTTCCTAAACTGACTAATTGGTAGCTGAATCTTACTCCAACACTTATTTAGTTAGGCAGGTTAGTTTGCTACAGCAAAAACAAATGACTGCATTGTGGCACCTTAAAGACTAAAACATTGATTCAAGCACCAAGCCTTCATCCAGTTTGTGAAGTATACAGCCTAAGTAAAGGGAGAAGGAAAATGATTATTGGTTGCTGTTGCTGTTTTTGTTTTTTAAAAAGGTGGCACCAAGAGCTAGCAGTAGGTGTGTCACAATAGTTTGTTGAGCCTAATTGAGTGCAACTGCATGCATGTGAGTTTTTCATATCAATGTGGATTTCTTTTTCTAAGGTGAAGAATGTCAACATATTTCAAAGTATAACAATAAAAAGAATTTGGTCTGCTTTTTTTCTTACTGAGGTTTTTTTATGTAGAAGTTTTAGTTGTGATAAAGAATAGTGTGATCCAGACTTCATTGACACTAATGTTACTGCATCTTTAATTGGCTAATAGGAGTTCTGTTTCTGAAGATTGAAATTAATAAAATTTCAGCTGCTGTTTATGAAATATAAACATCAATCTTTTGTTTTGCATGGATTAATAAGTTATCTTTCTACAATCTAAAAATAACTACTAACCTGAGGAACAAGTTCAGTACAAGACTCCCACTGTGGGAGTATTTAAAAATAAGAAATGCAAAAACATATAAAACATGGAAAGTACAATAGAAGCCTACCTAGAAGTGTCATCCAGGGCTAGTTCTGGTATAAAATTTTCATCTACATCTAAGATTATGTAAATATGTGAAACACTATGTTGGGAAATAGCTTTTGTTGGAAAGATTTCTGGGCAGGTGTTTAGATTTTTGCCCACCTGTACTTGCAAAACTCTCCTTCAGAATCATGTGCATGTTGTCTTCTTGCGTAAAGGATTTTAAATATGCATTCCAGTACCACATTGGATCCACCCCATTAACCTCTGTGGGATTGCAGTGTTCAAAAGCTTTTTATGCTACCGTCACCTACCACGAATCCTCACATTGAACCGGAACTAAGCTTAAGTATGTGGAATTGCATTTGTACATACCAATTTCCAATTAGCACAGTATCTCTCCTTCCCTCCCTGTTTTCTCTCCCGCTTTTCAAAATGTAGATTGTAAACTTCTGGGGGAAGGAACCTATTTCTGTCACTTGGGCTAGTCTGTTAAGTTCAATGTACATTGATGGAGTTAACTAAACAATAACTGTAATATCAAGGTTTCAGAAGCTTTGAACAATAAGTACATAAAGTTTCAAGCTATGTTAAGGTTATATAATCATAGAATGAAGGCATTGGTACCTGTTTGGTTTTTTTGTTAACTAAAGTATTACATAGGAGTTGTAATTTCTAATGAATAGCTCTTTTGAGAAAATTGAGTGGTTAATGATCAATACAGTGGTGCCTTGCAAGACGAAATTAATCCGTTCCGCAAGTATCTTCGTCTAGCGGTTTTTTCGTCTTGCGAAGCAACCCTATTAGCGGCTTAGCGGATTAGCGCTATTAGCGGTTTAGCGGCTATTAAAGGCTTAGTGGCTTAGCTGCTAAAAGGCTATTAGCGGCTTAGCGGCTTAGAAAAAGGGGGGGGGAGCGAAAAAAAATCTCAAGACTCGCAAGACATTTTCGTCTTGCGAAGCAAGCCCATAGGGAAATTCGTCCTGCGAAGCGCATCGAAAAACGGAAAACCCTTTCGTCTAGCGGGTTTTCCGTCTTGCGAGGCATTCGTCTTGCGGGGCACCACTGTATTTTCTGACAGTTAATCTCTCAGAAGATATTGATCATTGAACCAGATCCTTTTTTTCTTCTTCTTTTTTTTAAGTCTCCTTGTGGTTCAGCCTGTTTAACAGCAAGCATGAGGGTGGAAATTCCTTAGCTGCAGGTTCAGTCTGTTCAACAGCAGGTTAAAATAGCTATGTTTTTAAAAATGTGCTGAAGTGCAAGTAAGAATTAAATCCCATTTGCTTAATGAAGGTAGAAAAAGGTGGCTGTGTTCTTTCCTTTTGAAATAATGGTTGTGTTTGGCATATTGTTTCCTTTTTGAGGTTTTCCTTCATGATTCCTGCTTGGGGATCTGGGATCAATCAAAACCTATTGCAGGCTTATGTGAAAAACTGTTGTTTTATTTTAAAATTTGTTGAATCTTTGATGTATACTTGTTGAAAGATGTAAGACTTTTTGGTGCCACTTCCTCACCAGGTGTTTTAATGTGGAATTTCCACTCTTTACCCTGTGAAAAGCAAGTGAAAATTGACATGACAGAAAATATACATGTTCAAGTTTGGAAAGTTTTGTAGCTTACAGTGAGAGAACATTGAGAGTGTCACTCTAAAAACATTATTGTTTGGAAGCACCGTTCCTTTCTGAGGACATGTCCATATATTTTTTTTCAGTTTGCATTTATGAAATTTGGAATTTTAAGTATTCCCTTTTAAATGATACCTACTCCAAAATCATGGGAAACAATAAATTAATGACAGTGGATAACTATAGTTGGAATGATTGCAGTATGCCTTGTAAAAACAAATAGTACATTTTGTGCAAAAAAGCCAAACCCACAAGTTTTAGATGCTTAGATTATATAGATGCCTATCTAGATTATATAGATGAGTTGATGAGGAAAAAGGGAAGAAGAAAAGAAGGCCTAGCATGTGTACCAGAAGTAGTAAACAGAGCTTCATAAGCACATTGAGCATTATCTCCTTCTGTAGTTAGTCATGAAGAAGCTTTATAAGCACAAGAGAGGTCTCTCCCACTTGCTGACCATGGCTTGCATCAGCATTATTAGTGTAGGATGTTTGGCACACCACTAATAAATGAATACTGGATGGAAATTGATAGTTACGTCTCAATATTATTGATGCCATTTCACTAAAGGCACAATCCTGTACATTGCTGCTCAAAAAGAAATTCCCAATAAGTTCAGTAAGCTCTGGAAACTGGGTGCATGGTTGCAGCCTGATTCTTACTGAGATGTTCAGAGTCTTGTAGGCATGGTCTCCAAAGGACTAGCATTCTGTGTGCCTGGCAGTGAGAAATGTGCTAAATGTGCACTATTCCAGTTTGTGGTTTTTCCTTCCTGCCACAAGTATAGGGCTGGATCCTGCAGTTTTTTATTCGAGGCAGAGCACCAACTAGCTCTCTGTAAATTTTAGCCTGTGTGTTTTTCTTCTCACAAGCCAAGGCAAAACAACAACAACAAAAAAAAACTTGTTACAATTAGTAAAACTTCTTTTGACAAGCAGCTGCCATTTGTGATATGATGCAAATGTGCTAGAATGGCAGCAGTTGTTGTGGGCAGAGAGACCTGAGTTTTGCAATTCAAAAAGGCTTTTGATACTTGTTGTTTTGCTTTTAGGTTTGGGGGCAATGACTTATCTTCCTTTCAGGATGGTTGACTTTAAATTCTGTCATGCATAGAATTCAATACACTTCCTCCTTGGATGGCTAATTTGCAGCTGTATGCATTTTCTCTTTCTGCCCCCCTGTCCTGGTTTGGCTTGGCAGGGGAGGGGAGGGGAACTTGCACATGGAGGGCTTACTCACATGTGGGAATTCATGGCTATCAGCCCCCTGCACACTTCCCACTTACTCTTGGATATCCTGTGTGAAAGACACCTGTACAATTAGTGACCAAGGAAGGGTTGTTTAACACACTTGAGACAAGGCAGAGTTACCAGTACTGGAGGGTGGCATGGAAGAAGGAGATGGGAGGCATTTGCAGGGCCATACTAAAGAGGCATGGTATTCCTGCTTTACTTGTGCTTTGTTCTGTCACTCCACTTGTGCCAGTAGAATGGAAGTTGCTATTGGATGTTGGGGGGTATATCTTACCCAAGGCAGAATATCTGTAAGGGGTCTGATAAGGTAAGTTTTAGTGTATTGCTTTTTTCTGCATGTGTTGTACACATGCAGGGCACTTTATACAATGTGCCCTGTCTCCCGTACCACATGTTTTCTTAACAACATTGCAATGGAGTGGTAGGAGGTGGAGTGAGCAATGTGTTTTGACTTTTAGTTGAGTTTGTTTTTTTTTACTTGCACCACCTCTTCCTTTTATAGTATGGGCTGTAAGCAAGATCATGGAAAGTTATGGATTCAGAGTGAAGGTGCCTTTCCATTGCCCATTTTTGGTCCCTGGACAGTTGGAGTTGTGCCAATGGTGTGGATATGTTGGTGTAATCTTAGGCCAGCATCATGGGCGTAGCCAGGATTTTTGTGGGGGGAGGGCAGAACCTCAGTTAGCTATGCATTTTTATTGATTTTTATTGATTTAGGGGGGCGATTGCCTCTCCCTTCCACCACCACCCTGGCTATTCCCATGACCAGCATTGATCCCTGATGGTGACATTGTCCTTTACTAGTGCAGGGGGAATGCACCAGATCTCAAAAACTTTTCAGCTGGCATAATTTGAGCATATGATTTCACCTCTAGTCTCTGATATGTTTACTGGTGTGCTAAAAGGTTTCCTTGCAGGTGTATCAGACTGGCATGCAGATTCTCCATGTCATCCTTCTTTCCATTTCAAGTCTTTTCCATGGTGTGGACAAACATTTTACTTGTGCTCCATGTGTGACTGAAATTGTTTACCCAAGAAGGGAATTTTCCCCTTCTGTCCAAAGTATCAGGGAAAGTGCTTTCCGCTGTTTGCTTGAATTGGAGTCATTCATAAGTCCTCATGTTCTTCTAAAATTAAATGTGGGGTGTGTCGACACAAAATCACTAGACCACATACTTCACAGGGTAAATGACTACAATTTTCTTGACTCCACTCCGGCTGCATGCATCTTCATGCTCTGTATGTTGCCATAGCAGAGAAAGACTGCGGTTTCTTGAAGTAGGAATTCTCGTGTTGTTTAAGGGAAGGATGAAAACTTCATTGTGTAGCCTAAGTGAGATGGCACCATATAGTATAACATTCCTGCAGTCTACCTGCTGCTCCTACAAAGGTTACAAACAGTAGTACAAACCTTTAAAAAAAAAAAGAGAGAGAGAGAAAGCTGAAGTTCTCACATGATGAATTTTGTGCCCAGTACCAGATTCTGTGCTTGAGCCCTGTTCTAGGGCTTGCAATATTTGTCATGATCTATCAATACAGTGAAAAGTCTGAAGTTTGTTCTGTGTTTGTTTTTATACCTCAGCTGAGCTGTATGAGTGAACTGTATGAAATTTCCTTAAAGAGGCTCCTTATTTTTGCAGTCAACTCGTATAACTCGAATGTGTAAATAAACTCGAAACAGGAGTCTAATGAACTTTCGCAGTAGAAGCAGGTACACAATAAACACTTTCTGTGATTTGGCTCAAGGCACTTGCTGTGTTTCGGTGATAAAAAAAAGAAAGAAAAAGAGATTTATTGCCCCCCTCTGCATGCAGAAGATTATTATGTATTTATTTATAGAATGCCGTTCTCTTAGTGGAGCCCAGATTACAAGTTAAATGTCCAGCATTTCCCAGAAGGGCTGGCTAAGACTCTTGTCTGAAACTCTGGAGAGTCCCTGCCAGTCATTGTAAACAATACTGGGCAAGATGGACCAATGGTCAAATTCAGTAGAAAGTAGGTTCCTGTGTTTCAGGAGTTTGATCACACTAGCTTTACTTGCACATGATCTTTGTTTCAGTCCTTAGCATTGCCAGGTAGGGGTGGGAAGTCCTCCTGCCTGAAACAGTGGAAAGCCACTCTGAGTCAGTATAGACAGTACAGAGCTGGATGGCCCAATGGTCTGACGCGGTAAAAGGCAACTTCCTAGGCACACACCAAATTATTAACATGTGCCTGCTTCTACAGCAACAGAGAGGAACGAAAAGAAATTAGATCAGGCACCCCCAAACTCGGCCCTCCCACTGTTTTGGGACTACAATTCCCATCATCCCTGATCACTGGTCCTGTTAGCTAGGGATGGTGGAAGTTGTAGTCCCAAAACAGCTGGAGGGCTGAGTTTGGGGATGCCTGAATTAGATAGTAGTGCATGCTTCTATCTTAGATTTAAGATCTTCAACAAGGGAATTGATGAGAAAGGGAGAAAGCTAGCAGTTTTTCTGAACCGTCACTTCTTTACTTCTGCCTTAATGGATGATTCATGGCAGTGTGAACTTGCACTTATTTGATTCGCTGCTTCTTCCTCCTAGTACAGAAGCAGCAATGGGTTTTTTTATGCTTGTATTCATAGTCCTTTAGCTTTTTTGCACTTGGGTTATGATTAATTGACTAAAACCTTTTTAATCAATTTGAGACATGCATTTTTTTTTAAGTACGTGCAGAATCCACAGGCTTCATCTTCGATGAGGCAGTCCCTCCTGCCTTTGGGAATGCCTTTGTGCCAGCTTCTGCCTGCTGGTGCTGCATGATCACTGAGGCAGGCACTAACACCTCCTTTGCTTTGTGGTTGGCTGGACCAGCATACATTTCATTCACCTCGGATGCTTTTCCAGATTTAGCCCTCTTCATTGCCTTCGCTCCCTGCATCTCTCTTATCACAGGCACCTGGCATTAAATGGTATGGTGGAAAAGAAGTGTGTGTTAGAAAGAGTGCTGGGAAAGGCATCAAATTTAATAGTGGAGAAGTCTCTCACAGGTGATAGCTCCACTTAGAATAGACTAGTAGAGGCATAACTTGTCTAAAGTGTGTGACTTGCTACAAGCCCTTTGGGTTTGCGCAGTTTGTAAATGAAAGTTCCTTTCAGAAGACAATATCATGCAGAACAAAGCAATCATTTCCTCTTTCTTCCACAGGGTACTACTTCAGTGCACCACAGATGTTTCTGGGCTTTTGCTGTTTCTTTAGTGAAGATGTGCAACAATTATAAGGTTAATTTTTTAGGCTGTGTTGCTAACAGTGTGTGAGAGCCCTCCTACATTGGTGCCACCTGTTCAATAATAGCCTTTGGAGTCATGTTTACTATACATTAGGTATCCCAAGGCAGTAGTGACACAACAAACATAGTTTCCATTTATAAATCCTTGTCAACGTTTAGGAGTTGTGGACATTTGAAAAGATGCTGTGCAGCATGATTCTGTGTGTGGTTTGCACAGAAGCACCTCTCAGAAACCAAAGGCACAACAGCCTTCATTAAATCTTGCAATCCTTAACCTTCAGAGAAGAAAAGGTTGCCTCATTAATGGGAATTTGCAGAGTTGTGGAAAATAGTTTCTTCTTGTCTTTTCTCCTGCACCCAATCTAAAGACGAAAATTCATTACTATCACCATTCTGGAAAAAGAGGTGAATATTTGCATAATTGTTCTGCATGACACAGCAAGAGGTCCTGGGTGCTGCTGCTTCACTGCCACATGACTCTTCGATATCTACCCCATTTTTGCTAATTATATCTGTTCCTGACTTGCCCATCTGGAGTGTTAACATATAACACTCCAGGTAGTAATCTCTGCATGGTACAAGTGAATTGGCAAATGATGAAGACATACTTCTTTACCCTGGCATTTGATACCTCTGATTTTATGACCCACCCTATTTTTCTTTGTAGTTGTGAATTTTTAATTTTTTTAATTGTATTTTAAACTGTAACCTATTCTGGGACCTAGGGCTGAAGTGCAGATGGTGACAATTAGCCTCATACCATAAGGAGAAGGAAACAAGTACATAATAAAAGCCTTGTTGGATTAGCCTAAAGGTCCATCTCCTCTATCTTCCCACTGTGGGCAACCAGATGCCTCTAGACAGCATGGCAGGAGTGAATGTAGGATCTCTCTGGCCCTGTGAGCCATATTCTCCTAGGCCAACAACTGTCTGGAGTAAGTTTAATGCTACACTGTGGATTTGCAGAACCCTGCCCACAACAATACTATATGTTTGTTTCCATGAATTTGATCCAGAAACAGCAGTTCTGCTTTTGCATCTCTTAATACACTATTACATACTCACCAGCTTCCTCAAGAGGTGAGAAGTAGCATTTGAATATAAGATGACTGGATGGTGCCTTTTTATGTGAGTAAGGTGGCTTTGCAAAATTTGTTTAATTTAAATATAAACAAGCATAGTGTATTAGAAGCAAATTGCAGACAAATCTGCAATAGAAAGAGGGTTGTGGGATCCCATTTTTAAAAGCAAAACTGCTGGGTGGGTGAAGAGGGCCTCCTCTCTATTTCTCTGATCTAGCTCTCTGTAGCCCTTTTGTCCAAGTGGCTTGAGATGGAGGCTGCGTGCAGGTAAACCACACATGGGATTCGAGGATTCTGTGTGTCTCATTTACACTTCTCTTTTGCTTCGAAAATCTGATCTCCCTCTTTTTATGTAATGAGGGTGATGCCAGACTTTGAATATGAAGAACTGTCAATGTCATGGAAAGTCTAACTTGCAGGCTGGCTTGTATTTCCCCCAGCCTGGCTGGTTGCAGATGTGTGTCCTGGCTGATACAATTCTATTTTAAGGGGTGAGTAGGGCAAAAGTGTCTGATTTAAAAGCTGCTACGTACTATCTGCTGACCACAATACATAAAGTATTTTTCTGAATTATTTTTCCGAAGTATTCCTCTTTCCTTTTGTAATTATTTGACTGTGTTGAAAGCTCTCTTCCAGTCCCTGTTCTTATAGTGGTTATGCAAAAGCCTGATTTCAATAATGATACGGTTGTTTACCTATCATGATGCAGTAGCTTTTGGGTTCGGTCATAGTGAAACAGACAGTGTCCATAGTGAAACAAATTGTGGCTTCCTGCCAGCCTGTTAGGTTGTAACCAGAGTCACTAGGATCCAATGCCCAAGCTATGATACTTGAGAGTGTTAATTTGAATAAACTTGCAAAATGGCTTTTATTCACTTTCTTATCTAAAACAGATGTTCTGATTCATGGTTCGTCTTGGGTGTACCATTTTGTTTCTTCAACTGGGTGTCTGTGGTCACATGAAAAAATCAACAAATGTGGCCTTCTAACTGCTTGCAGGTCTCTTGAACTGTTCATTTCCTCTGCTTTAATGCTTACTTACCTAGGCCAGACTTCCTGTTTATGGTCAGTCAGAGGAAGGGCTAAGTGAAGTTCGCTATAATTCTCTAAACGTACTCTGCAAATAGGTTTGGTTTGGACATATTCTAGGCAGCCTTCCTTTTTTATTATTATTTTACAAAATTCATACCCTGCCTTGGACATAAGGCTGAAAAGCACTTCTGTTGACTGGTTTTACTGTCCAAAAAATCCTTCCCCTCCCCATCCCCTTACTTCTGAATTGAAACTGATTGGGTGTGGGCTGTGGAAGAAGGCTGGCATGGCCTCGTGAAAGGGAGAAGACCAAGGTGGCTTAATGGTACAGGTTCTGAAGGGGTGTGTGTGTGTGTGTATAATTGAGGTCAAGCCAATATTGTCAGTATGATTAAAACAGTGGGGAACCTACCCCTGTTTATCTGCATTAGATCACCCTTCCATCTCCATATCTCTACCCATTTATTGGTCCTCCTGAGTGTCACCAAGACAGTGGGCTTCCATATTGGTAGCTGATCTTCTGAGGCTTCTGCAGTGGGTGGAGATATCTGCTGGTGCAAAATTGGACAACCAACAGACTGTGAGCTGCATGTGGCCCCCTATCTCATTTTATGTGCTTCCTGAAGCATCTCCATTCTTCCATCCCATCAGACTTCCTTCCTTCCTTCCTTCCTTCCTTCCTTCCTTCCTTCCTGTCTGTTTTCTCCTCATTTTCCTTGGCTTTTAAAAGGTGGTTGTTTCTTCTTTCTATGTAGTTTCAGTCTGGATGGACTGAACAGTTTTTTGAGAGAAATAAATTGAAGTATGTTTCACTATTTTCCTAGTTGTATGGCTTCTTCTCTGTCTCCTGCCTTGCACCACCATCACCCCGGCTATTTGAGAAGAATTAGTTTACTTTTGCCATGTGTGTAGACACACATACACACGGCAGACGCCTACCAGTTTTTGCTGGGGAGTGCGTGGGTGAATGAGGAACAAAGCATCCACACCCACAATCACTTTTTACAGATTTGAGTGTAACTTGCATTTGCTTTTTAAAGCAGGAGCTATATTGGTCTGTTTTATTCTTAAAAATCCCTCTCTGAGCTTCATTCAACCTAACTACCCCAGCGGAACTTCGTTATAAGCAGAAATGCATAGTGCTGCGAATTCTAAGAAGAGGTAACCATGGTGAAAATTGTAGCGGGGTGACCTTTATTCCAAATTAGTTAGCCCAGAATACTTGTCTCTCTGGCTCTGCTCCTCATCAGTTCTGACTTTGTTCGCCATAGTATACCTCCAAAGGAATATGTCCCCTGCAAAGGAAATCGGTTGCCCACCTCTGGCCTACTGTAGTCTATTGCTGTATGGAATAAAGCAAGGCAAGCTACCATTTTCATTGAAATATGAATTGAGAATGTTGCATAATTTAGCAAATTCACTAGATTCCATTCTGAAAGATTCAAACTGGTGAAGATAACATATATATAAAAAACTTGATTGACAGGGCTGGTACTATAGTTCCCAATTAAAGCCCATCAAATGTATTATTAGTGATCTAAAGGCCAGTGATCTATAGCACCAAACACCTGCTTACCAGCAACTGCAGTTCACATAACAGATACAGGGACTGGCTCAGACCCTGCGGCAGATCCAGATGCCAGATGTGTTGCCCTCTCTACTCTGGCAGCACTATTACAGGATCTAATAATGCCATCCACAAAACCAGGGGTTAGTTTACTTGTTTATTTTCCAATGTGATATATGGCATCATCTGCCAGCACTGCTCTTACTAGCATTCTGTGTAGAACAAATATAGACCATTCTCTATGTGAACGGAAATCTGCATTAAAAATGGCAATATGGAGAAACGGGTGTGTGGTGTGTGTGTGTGTGTGTGTGTGTGTGCATTTCAACCTTCCAGGACGCTTTGTAACTGACTGTAAAGTGACCACACTGGAACAGAGGAAATTCAAAGGTAGAGTGCAGTGTAAAACCATTGAATTGCAATACATCAAGAGGTTCAGTGCTATCACTTATGGACTGAATGAGCACAATAATCTTATCATGACATTTTTTTTAATTGGCTTATTGATGGCAATATGTCTCTGTTGGTTTTTGTGAATAGCTGCTGTTAAGAATCTAATTATCACCATCTGTGCATTTCTGCATTTCATTTCCTTCTGAGCTCGCTGATTACAACCCCCTCATGTGTTTCATTTAAACCTGAAACTCAGTGTAACACTCATGCATCTGATGGACTGTGCTACACAGAAGCTTATGTATAATGGTTGTGTAAGTCTTTGAAGTGCCATGAGACACTTTGCTGTTTTATAGTGAACATTTGAATTTAAAATGCATGTGTTCAAACTTAGGACTTCTTGCTTTACTAAGCGATGGCTGTGGTTAGAGAAATTATAGCTGCTGTGTGGGGTCTATATTTTTCTAAACTCTGTGGTTTTGTTGCAGTGCCTCCAACTAAATGCACGTGGCATTATGTCTTTGGACACACAGCCCTTATGTAACCTTGATGTTAGCAGTCTGTATTTTAAGTCCTGGAAATCCTTAATAAATTTTGTTGCACTAAAATTATGTGTTTGTAAAATTATGTGCGTCTCCTCTAGAAGAAATAGCTTTTAATTTACTGTGTAGATCACATTTTCAGCTTTATTTCTGAAGATAAATGTTACATTGCTTTAATCAGATGTGTATCCCATTTACTTTTGAGACTGCTTCAGAAGTGGCACCATGTGATCTTTGTGTTGCATCCTAGGGTATATTTGATAGTCAAAAACCAAATGGTAAAATGTAAGAATGAAGCCATTGTTTTTGCCCTTGAGGACAGTAAGGCAGATTTGCAAAAGGAAACAAAGGCTTCTTAATTTTGTGCTTCTGATTTGCACACTTTCCAACCTTTCTGAGGTTGAGGAGTGGAAATAAGAGTCAAGTTCCTTCTCTGAAAAAACAAAACCCCACATTCTTCAAAATGACTACACTACAGCTTTTTCCAGAATAGAGTAGCACCTCTTAAATTCAGATGCCCTAGGTAGCCATCTTCATTTATTTTAGATTTGACCTACCCTGTGATTATGGAATATCTTGTTTTTTGCATCACTACTACAGAGAAACAGCCCCAGTCCAGGAGACTTCCATGTTTATGTCTCATTGAAATCAATAGGACAGGTTAGTCATGACTAATTCAAATTCCATTTATTTCAGTAAGAATTGCGCCCTGCTAACTTTTTGTGGAACAAGATTCATGTCACTTGCCCCTGCCATTAACAGTACCTATTTTCATTTTGAGTGATTAGAACACCACAACAACCTTGGATTACTTGCTCAGTTCATCCTTTACATTTCAGAATACTTCTTTTTAAAGAGACAGTGCTCACATCTATGTAAGCATGCATTAAAATTGAACCATATTCTGTCTTTAGGACTAGATTAGATGTATTTTAGGATGCTCGTATTGTAAACCACCCTGTGATGCTCGGGTGAATGGTGGTATAGATATTTAATAAATGGTGATGAAGAACATGATGATGATGATAATAATATTACAGGGAATCAGGTGACATCTAACTTGAAGAGGTGCTGTACTGTTAAAAAAAAAAAAGTTCAAGCGTGTATTTGGGTGGCACAGATAGCCTGTGCTCCAGAATCTTGAAATCTACCACATTCTTCCGCATTTTATTGCGGGTTCATTTATACAGCAGGGGGTCAAGGCTAAAATGGGGGCAGGGAGGTCCTATGAAGGAACATACTCCCCTTGCCCCCTTGTGCCTCTGCATGCAATGCAATGCAATGCAATGCAATGCAATGCAATGCAGGGCAGCAACAGGCATGCATAGTTTCTGCTTAAGGCAGCTATAGGAACACAGGAATCAAGCCATTAGTCCACCTAGCTCAGTGCTGTCTGGAATGACGGGCCATGACTCCAGAGTTTCTGATGGAATTGCTGCTGGAAAGTGAAACTGGGACGTTCTGCTTGCAAAGCAAATGGTCTGTTACTGAAGCTTTCCCTGTAAAAAGCCAATTTGCTTTTTGTTGTTGCTTTTTGTATAATAACAAAAAAACCCAACACCCTATTTCATCACATTTTGCTGATTTTCTTAAACATGCAACGTTCATTAGAGCTGAATAATCCTAAAAGGTGAGCCTTTAATGTTTGTACCACTACATTATGTGAATAATCTGAATTATGCTCAGCATTAACAAACTGGAACAAACTGTGGTATGGCTCAATAAACACATTTGAGTGACAAAAGTACAATTATTTTTTTACTGCACATGTAGAAAGGTTAACAGTAACCCTTGACCTGTAAAGAAATGAAGTAGACACAGCCATCAGTTCTTGTATCCAGCCTGCAAAGCGGAATGAAACCACTTCCTCAGTTTACAAATAAGTGTTTTATCAGAAGAATGCACATTACTTGTGTTTTGGGTAAATTGAAATTTCTTTCCCTAACAGGACCAGTGGTCAGGGATGATGGGAATTGTAGTCCCAAACATCTGGAGGGCCGGAGTTTGCCTGTGCCTGCTTTAGCAAGTTGTAGAATGCGAGAGAGAGACATACCAGTTCTCAATTTTTGCAGGCTTCCTGAAACTTGGAGCAGCGCTGCAGTTTTAACACCAGCTTTTCACTAAGGAAAAAAAGTTCCTCATGGCTGTGATGAAAAATTTTCAGCAAATGTTTTTGGGGAGTGCAGACAGCAGGATACCTCTTCAACTATTCCTGTGCAGTCCTCTGCTTGCTCTCCAGTTGTTAAACTGAGGAATACTGCAAATTAACTTGTGCTCTTTTTGCTTTCTTTTCCGCAGTTTATTAGGCATTGCAGTTTATAAACTACTTGCCAATTTATAAACTAGTGTCTAAGTAAGCAAACAGTCATTCATTCTCTGCATGAGAGCATATGTTCAGTTGACACTTATGTTTTTCTTTTCAGTGGATTTGATGGAAATAAAGGAAATCCGACCAGGAAAAAACTCAAAGGATTTTGAGCGGGGGAAAGCAGCACGGCAAAAAGATGACGTTTGTTTTACTATTTTCTATGGTACTCAGTTTGTTCTCAACACCTTAAGCTTAGCAGGTAAATGTGTTTTCTTTGGATTTATCTTTTTACGATCAGGGATGAAAACCCCACCTCTTCCATGTTGTCTTTAGTTTATCCTCTTAATCCATATTCTCAAATGTAACCGAGTTTTAAAAGTTCTTTTCTATTCCATTCACCTCTCCTTCTACTCTGTTTTCTCTCCCTGAGTTTTCTCTGTGTGTACTTCTCCATGTCTTATAAGATGAAGTAGCCTTGCAAATAAGTACCAAAAATGCTGCATACACTTAGTTATGTTGTGTCTTTTGAATTAATATACGCCACCTCTTGGCCCTTAGCTCTGACAAGTTTCTTGCTTGGAAAGCAGCCTGGCTCACTTTAAGGCCTGATTAAAAGCTGAGTGGTTAAAACTAAGAAAATGGAAGTACTCTTACTGAATGTGGTAGGCAGTTTTAAAAAACATACTTGATTTCTTATTCTGATTTAACCTTATATTTAATCTATCTGAGACTCTGTGGACACATCCTATGTTGTTGTTGTTTAGTCGTTTAGTCGTGTCCGACTCTTCGTGACCCCATGGACCAGAGCACACCCGGCACTCCTGTCTTCCACTGCCTCCCGCAGTTTGGTCAGACTCATGCTGGTAGCTTCGAGAACACTGTCCAACCATCTTGTCCTCTGTCGTCCCCTTCTCCTTGTGCCCTCCATCTTTCCCAACATCAGGGTCTTTTCCAGGGAATCTTCTCTTCTCATGAGGTGGCCAAAGTATTGGAGCCTCAGCTTCATGATCTGTCCTTCCAGTGAGCACTCAGGGCTGATTTCCTTAAGAATGGATAGGTTTGTTCTTCTTGCAGTCCATGGGACTCTCAAGAGTCTCCTCCAGCACCATAATTCAAAAGCATCAATTCTTCGGCGATCAGCCTTCTTTATGGTCCAGCTTTCACTTCCATACATCACTACTGGGAAAACCCTAGCTTTTACTATACGGATCTTTCCAGCTAGGGATTCATCCAGCCCAGCCTTTCGCATGATGAATTCTGCATATAAGTTAAATAAGCAGGGAGACAATATACAGCCTTGTCATACTCCTTTCCCAATTTTGAACCAATCAGTTGTTCCATATGCAGTTCTAACTGTAGCTTCTTGTCCCACATAGAGATTTCTCAGGAGACAGATGAGGTGATCAGGCACTCCCATTTCTTTAAGAACTTGCCATAGTTTGCTGTGGTCGACACAGTCAAAGGCTTTTGCATAGTCAATGAAGCAGAAGTAGATGTCTTTCTGGAACTCTCTAGCTTTCTCCATAATCCAGCGCATGTTTGCAATTTGGTCTCTGGTTCCTCTGCCTCTTCTAAATCCAGCTTGCACTTCTGGGAGTTCTCGGTCCACATACTGCTTGAGCCTTCCTTGTAGAATTTTAAGCATAACCTTGCTAGTGTGTGAAATGAGTGCAATTGTGCGGTAGTTGGAGCATTCTTTGGCACTGCCCTTCTTTGGGATTGGGATGTAGACTGATCTCCAATTCTCTTGCCACTGCTGAGTTTTCCAAACTTGCTGGCATATTGAGTGTAGCACCTTAACAGCATCATCTTTTAAAATTTTAAATAGTTCAGCTGGAATACCATCACTTCCACTGGCCTTGTTATTTGCAGTGCTTTCTAAGGCTCATTTGACTTCACTCTCCAGGATGTCTGGCTCAAGGTCAGCAACCACACTACCTGGGGTGTACGAGCCATCCATATCTTTCTGGTAACAACACTAATGTCTGTGCACAGTATTTGGGTGACTAGGAAGGGAGCATGTCATCCTAGAAAATTGCAGACTATCAAGAAGTCTGAGAATGTACAAACCATGCTCTGATGTTTAGAAGTCATGTTCATTTCAAGGGATATGTGGAATATCGAGGAAGGAGAAAGCACATATGCATTACCTCTGTGCTACAAAATGAAAATCATTTTCATATATCCATAATTATCCCTCTTGAAGCTTTAAAAATCCTAACTTTTAGTGCCATTCTTTTTTAAAGGAATGCCTTTTTGGTGAGATTTTACTATTTCTTCCTGATTGAGTGTTCCTTCACATACCATTTAATTTTGCAGCTGACTCAAAGGATGATGCTGACAAATGGCTGTGTGGCTTGAATATCTTGCATCAAGAAGCAGTGAATGCTTCCACTCCAGCAATTACAGAGAGGTATGTGGAAGGAACCATTTCCCATTTTTCTTATGATAGGAATTTAAGAGTTTAGGAATGCAATTAATTCCACAGGGTAAGAAAAGCAGCAACAACTTCTTAATGTGCTACGCCATGTGTTCTGTACTTGGTACTGAAGAATGCTAAATTGTGGTTTGAGGACCCGATCCCCGCTTTGAGGAATAAAGACATGTGGACACAGTGTACAGTGGTGCCTCGCAAGACGAAATTAATCCGTTCCGCGAGAGTCTTCGTCTAGCGGTTTTTTCGTCTTGCGAAGCAACCCTATTAGCGGCTTAACGGATTAGCGCTATTAGCGGTTTAGCGGCTATTAAAGGCTTAAAGGCTTAGCGGATTAGCTGCTAAAAGGCTATTAAAGGCTTAGCAGATTAGATAAAGGGGGGGAAAAGCGGAAAAAAAATCTCTAGACTCGCAAGACATTTTCGTCTTGCGAAGCAAGCCCATAGGGAAATTCGTCCTGCGAAGCAACTCAAAAACGGAAAACCCTTTCGTCTAGCGGGTTTTCCGTCTTGCGAGGCATTCGTCTTGCGGGGCACCACTGTATAAGGTTAATGGGCAAGAAAAGGCCACAACTTTATTGATTACAGCAAGTGAGAAGGTATTGGCTTAGGCATTGGCCCACGGAAGATTGACTCCACCCACTTGGAGAGGGGTGAGCCTAAAGAGGGGTTATTCACCAGTAGGGGGAGCCTGTTGATGCTAATACAACTATAAGCTCTCTCCTGATAAAATAATTGAAGTGGCCCTTTGGCCCTCAGCTCACATAGAGACTCAAACTTGACAGTGAGCAATAGGTTCATGGAGCTCTCATTTTTCTTGAAGTGGTAAATATAGTTTTGGAGGGTGGTTTGGATTGGGCCCATGGTGCTGCAGGTATGGAAGTTAATCCCTTTTCCCTGTCCTTTTTTCTGTTTCAAACTGTCTCTCTGAATATGCTCTCTGGGGGTGACACAGAGAGAAAACAGGGGTGTGGGGGGGAATTTTGACCTCCAATGCAGCCCTGATCTAAATCCTGATGTAAATCCCTGTCATTCACCTGGTTCACACATCATGTCAAGCGTATTGAAAATAAACTATGGTTTAACATGAATGAGTAATGTGCTTCTCAAGTCACAGGTGCTTCACTTCTCCATGCCAGGAAACAAGGTATGGTCTTTGGGTTTATTTCCATCCAGGCAAGTCATAAATAGTAAGGCAAGAACAGACTTTGGCTTGTGCTCATGATGATGGCTTGTTTCCTGGCAGCAGTGGAGGAGCAAAGCGCCTGTGCTGGCAGCACACTGTTTATTCACACAAACCATTGTTTATTTTAACTATGTTTTAATGTTACATGTGAACCAGGTCATTGGCATCATGTATAATATTTGCAGTATTGTTTCTTACATGGCATGAGTTGGTTTTCCTTGTTAGCACCTCTTTTGTACAAAGAGGAGAAGAGCAGAAAGAGGGCTAGAAGACCCATGCAAATAGGAAGAAGTAATTTAAATTGCTGCTGTTATTTGTTTGTTTTTCTCCAACTCCTGCAAATGAAAAACTGATAACAGAATGAAGAGGCAATTCTGCTTCCTTTTATCTGCACTGAAGCTAAAATTGCTGAATGAGTTTGTTTAGTTCTTCATAAAACTTACCAGTGCTGTGTCTTATGTATTCCTTATAGCTGGCTCAGAAAACTGATTTACTCTGTGGATCAGTCCAGAAGAAACAGGTAAAATTGCTGTCTTCAATGTCTGCATTGTTTGTGCTTGGGTCTGTCTTTGTTTGCAACTTTTTAATTGGGATATCAGTACAGTGGTACCTCGGGTTGCATACGCTTCAGGTTACATACACTTCAGGTTACAGACTCTGCTAACCCAGAAATATTACCTTGGATTAAGAACTTTGCTTCAGGATGAGAACAGAAATTGTGCAGCAGCGGCGCAGCGGCAGCAGGAGGCCCCATTAGCTAAAGTGTTGCTTCAGGTTAAGAACAGACCTCCAGAACGAATTAAGTTCTTAACCCAAGGTACTACTGTACAGTAATATATATATGTAGGCATGCATATTGAACTCTTACAGAAATCAGGCCTGAATAGGGGTGTAGTTGCTCTTGAGCAAATCCATAGTTGATCCATAGTTGATTATTGCATCCTGTTTTTGCAGCCTGCACCAAAGATGGGTGGTGGTGTGATCTGAAAGTCTCCCATCATATGAGGAGTAGTTTTCCTGATTGTGTATAGTCTTCTTTAGATGTTCCTTTTGAATGTATGAAAGGCAAGAAGCAACACTTGTAGTGAGGACCCCCCATTCTGAAAACCCTACACCAGGCATAGGCAAACTCGGCCCTCCAGATGTTTTGGGACTACAACTGCCATCATCCCTACCTAGTCAGGGATGATGGGAATTGTAGCCTCAAAAAAGTGGAGGGTTTGCCTATGCCTGCCCTACATGCTAGTAAGGCAGCCCCTGCAGACTACCTCCTATAATGCATTGGCTGGGAAAGGTGCCTGGTTGTCATCAAGGGAGTTTCACTTGCCCATTCACCCATTCAGAGTGAACATCTGAAGAGGGTTTACATTGTTAAAGCCTAAGGGCATATATGTACCACAGACTTTAAATTGGTTTAGTAGTAATTTCATATTCCAAGGAAACTAGTCGTGGTGGACTAGGAATTTCCAGCAAGATTCTTGGCACCTCCACACACTGCAATTTTCCAATTGTGGTGTAGGAGTCATGATGATAATTAAACTGATATAAAACCAATATATGTTTATAATGAAGGCAAAACTTACTATTATTGTGGCCTGCAATGGTTATCCCTTTGACCAGGTGGCAAGTTAGTGGAAGCCTTGCAAAGGGGCTCACGCAAATTTGGAACAGACATTGAAGGATGGGAAGGGACTGAAAATGCACATGAGAAGTTTGGTTTGGACATCTTAAGTAAGGCAGACTGGGGGATGTTGCCATAAATTAGTGTTCAGTGATGTTTGGGAAGAGAAGCTGAAGTATTGGACCAGCAGTGGAATGATCTCCTACCAAATAGCTGACACAGTTTATCAATGCTTGATCAACAAAGAGTACTGCAGCACTTTTACAGATGGATAGGTTACTTTATGCCACAATTAGGGCTCATCCTTTGTGCTGCACTTTCTAGGCATAGGTCTGCACTTTGAAGCTCCATGTCCAAGCGGGCTTTTTTTGGTCCTGGTGCTTTCCCTGGGAAAACCCATGTTTTACCACTGAATCAGAGCAAATGGCCCAGGGAAAGTGCCAGGACTGAAACAAAACCAAAAAACCACTACCACTTGGACATAGAGCTTTAAAATACGGACCTATGCCTAGAAATGCAGCAGAAAATGAAGCCTGGATGAGCCCTCAGTCTGTAAGTCCTTAAGATGCCATAAGACTTGTAGGCAATTTTGCTGCAAGAGATTAATACAGCTACCCCTCTGGAAGTTGTAAATGATTGATCAATGCATTTCAGTGCATGTAGCTTCTGTTAGTAGTATGTGACAGCAACAGGGTCAGGTTATTCAGCAAGAGAATTTTTATGACTAAGGTTGAATTTTTCTCTCGGAAGAAGGGCAAAGTGCCAACTGCAGAGTGTATATTTGATGGCAGCTGTGCTGGCACCTGTGTTTAGATATAAAACACCACAATAAGGAAAGGTTGTGATGCATGGGAGATCCTTGGAGCAGCAACGCCTTTGCAGTTGCCATAAATGTGCCCTATCTGACCTTAAATCCTTTTTGCTGTGTTTTGTTCACAACATGGAACAGCAACACAGCTGATGTTATCCCAAGATTAAGGAAGAGAGAACTGGTAGCATTGCTTTTTGGGCTCCATATTTAGCAGGGAAAAACATGAACTTGGTTTGAACCTTCAGAATCCTGATAGTTGATTAGGAGGTGCATGCTTAGCAAAGTGTAAAATCCCAAGTTCAGACCTTGGCATGTCCATTTAAATGATCTCTAGTAGTGGGTCTGAGAAAGATTTTTGCCCAAGACTTGGGGGAGCTGCTGTCAGTCAGTATTGGCTAATTGGACCAGTTTTCAAATTCAGTATTGTGATGTGCAGGAGATCTTTAGTGGAACAAATCTTAGGCAAGCTACATTAGGTGTTGGGAAAGTGGAAATATGCATATGTAGTATCTATTTCCCCCCCCAAATTATTTTTAACATTTCACTCTCTTGCCCTTTGAGTTGATAGGAGACTGAATATGGAAAAGCAAAGGTAACTGAGAGGGTAATGTGAGGGCTTACTTAGAATTCAAAGGCCACTTCCTTTTCAACATTAAAATTGTATTCAGACTAAGGTGAATGCAGTGTCAAAGTCCACCTACCTTAAATTTAAATTCAGCAAGTGTATAATGGAATTATATTGACAGGAAATATCTCAGACACAAAGTCAGAGAGTAGTACAGGCACCAACACTGAGCTCTCTGATTGCTGAAATCTGGTTTCTAAGACACATCTTACACATTTTGATGATGATGATGATGATAATTTTTTATACCCTGCCCATCCAACTGGGTTTCCCCAGCCACTCTGGGTGGCTTACAGCATATCTAAAGACATAAAAAACAGCAAGCATTTTTTTTAAAAAAAACAACAACCCCCAATACAGGGCTGCCTTCAGATGTCTTCTAAAAATGTAATTCATTATCTCCTTGACATCTGAAGGTAGGGCGTTCCACAGGGAGGGTGCCACTACCAATTGCTTTTCTCTGCAATCATGAGATCTAGCCACAAATTCCTATAATTAAATATTAAAGAAGCTTCAAATACCCCTAGTTCTTGAATCCCTAGATTAGGGAAAGGCAGGAAGCCAAAGTTGTCTGGTTCTGTGTTTTGAGAGTACTTTAAGACCTGCTTTTTAGAGTTGCATAGTCATTGTACTGTTTCTTTGACACTGGCATCATTCAAATGTCACAAATAAACCATAGTTAATGGTTTGCTGTGAATGCATTGATCTTGCCCCATTTGCTCCTCCCTGGTACTATGCAGGAGCAACAAGCAAAATCTCTAGCTGAATGTTGCAACTGAATTAGTGATGGTGGTCTAAACAAGCCATGACCAGAACAAACCTTGGCTACAGATTGTGATTTGTTTGGCACTAAACAGACTATGGGCTCCAGTTCTGGCATAGTGCTAAGCCAGGGGTTGTCGTTTGTTTCTCCTGCACACTACTGCGGTGGTTAAAATCTAGGAAGATCAACCTCATTTTGATAAACCATTGAATGTGGTGTGTGGACTGTGCTAATAGCAATTTAGTTTTAGTCAAGTCTACAGAGTGCTCTGCCTCCATTTTTTGGTAAATGGGGTTTTCAAAGGGTAGTTGGTACAAGTTATATATGTAGAATACTTCCAGGGTAGAAATTTTTTGGCAGGATTAAGTCTGAAATCAAAGCAGCATGCCATTAAAATGTTATGGTATATCAAAAGGAGGACTAGTGTCAGAGAGAGAGAGAGATTTGTAAATGAGTAACATGAGTCTTTCCTGCTTACTACGGACTGCTTTGTTATAATTTCTGTTCCAACATCTAGCTGTGTGAGATCAAGGCTAGTTTCATCAGTAAAGTAAAGCCTATGTTGCTTAGGGTGGCAAAAACATAGCAGTTTAAGCATGAACTTCGGACTTGAGGCAGCTCCCTTTACTATGTCATACACATTCCTGCTTTGAAAAAGTTATGTTAATCTAAGCTTCAAACTAATGATTTAATTGCTGCAGAGGTGACATTTTAAAGGTTTTTCTGTTGGCTGTTCTTTCAACCCAAAGCACCCAAGCTGACTTCCCACAGGGTGGAGCCCACTGATCTGAACAAGTTCATAACGCTCTGCAATAACATTTTAATTTTTAAAAAAGATTAGAAAAGTTGCACACTTTTTTCACACTTGTTTGACCTTGAGGCTGATGCATTATACCAAATCTGAGAATTGGTTCATCTCACTTAGTAGTTTCTACTCTGGCAGCAGAATACCAAGGTCTATCTCTGATTCGTTCAGCAGGAGATGCAAAGGGTTGAACCAGAGACCCTTTTCTGCCATATATTCCGGGCCAGTCATTTAAGTTGCATGTTGGTGAAATACAAGGCTTGGTGCTATGCAGTTTGGCTACAAGAACATTGCTGTTCATTTCTCTACTTGTTCTCTGACTTTCAGCATCAGCCTTAGAGAGCTGAAGACTGTTCTCCCATCGGTAAACTTCAAAGTGAGCAGTGTGAAGTTCCTGAAAGATAAGTTTGCAGTAAGTATATGCTGATCCTATATTTGTGCTCAGGTGTGTATAGCATATATATAAAAATATATATACTGCATCATCCATATTATTTTATAGTTGATGTGGCTCCAAAGTAATTGTTGTTACATTTGTGGCAACATCAAAAGGTAAAAACCTTGCCCCATTGCTCTGATAATATTCTTCCCAACTCTGATGCTGGATACAGATTACTCTTTTCCAAACTAGAATACAAGAGGGGGGATCTCTGAAAATTTCTGAGGGCTATTTCCTCCTTGTGGCCCTTTTTTGGAGAAGGGGAAATGAGGATGAACTTCCTTAGATTCCAGATGTGTAATCCTTTGGATTATTTCTGTGTCAATGCGGGCAGCCCTCCCATTGCTCCTGAATGGAAGTCTGCGGGAGAATTGGACTTCAAGGAAACATACAGCAGAATGCTTGTCTCCCGGGCCCAATTCCCTCTCCCTTGGTGATTGCTTCATTGCCCCAGTGGAAAACAGTTAGTGTCTGTGCACTGCCCCCCTGTTGCTCGGGATATTTGCTGGTGGTATGAGGGAAATGGATATACTTGCAGTTTGGGGAGTAGTGGGACAGATGTATTTATCTACCAAGCTAGAGGCTCTGCTTCCAGTTGCTTCCATTGCTCTGCTTCCAGTTTTATCACCAGCAGAACTTTTATGTATACTCTGGCTTTGGAAAAAAGAACTATATATTTCACGTTTTCAGTCCCATTTGTTTACTAATTTAAAATGTCTGTGTACCTTTTCCCTTCATTATATTATATTTCAAGAGAGGTTATAGTTAAAGGGTTAATTGTGTTTGCTATGTAGCGTTATCAGCACAGTGGTACCTCGGGTTACAGACGCTTCAGGTTAGACTCCGCTAACCCAGAAATAGTGCTTCAGGTTAAGAACTTTGCTTCAGGATGAGAACAGAAATCATGGCATGGCGGCAGTGGGAGGCCCCATTAGCTAAAGTGGTACCTCAGGTTAAGAACAGTTTCAGGTTAAGAACGGACCTCCAGAACGAATTAAGTTCTTAACCCGAGGTACTACTGTATATATTAAGGATGGGGAACCTCTGGCTCTCCAGATATTTTTGGGCATCAACTCCCATCAGTCTCAGCCAGCAAAGTCAGGAATGATAGAACCTGTAGTCCATTGACATCTGGCCTGGTGTAAATGGTGCTCTTAAAGATAAGCACCCTGACCCAATGGTTCCTCCTTTATCTTTCCATATTCAGATTGTGGAACATTTACTAAGATCAACGCCAATGATTTTCAGACTGCAGCTTTTCTTTTTATTAGGCAGGGGGAAAGGTCAAAGTTTTATAGAAAAAGAGCTTGAAAAGACCAGAGAATCCAGTATGACATGCTTTCTCTGTTTAAATTGTTATACATTGCATACAATTACATTTCTCTTGGTTCCTAATCTACAAAATTAAAACAGTTGAATTCATTTATAACATTTTGAGGTTTGTGTTTTATATGGATACAGCCTTTGGAGAAAACTAAACTCTGTGTCATTGCTTGTTCCCCTTCCCCCTTACAGGAAATAAAAGCTGTTAAAGAAGAACTTAGCTTTGAGCAATTTCATCTGTTCTACAAGAAAATAATGTTTGAGCAACAGAAATTGGTAAAGCTCTTATCCCACATTACTTCCCCTTAGTTATCATGCTGTGTTGTAACTTGAATACAATACTTTCCTAGAATGCAGGCCTTCCCTGCCCCATCACATATAAGCATGTTGTGTTAGTTCCTTTCTTTCAGTTTTGAAGATTGAGAAGCGTAGTTGTCTCTTTAAGAGGAGAAAATCTGTACTATCTTGAGAGAATAGGGAAGGGTGAATGTGTTTTGCAGAATTAGGAAGTACCTGAATGAAGAAACTTTTACTTGAATGAGCAAGTTTACATGCTTTGTTTGTCATTGTTTCCTTCCCCAGATTCTTGATGAGTTCAAGAAGGATTCCACTATGTTTCTTCTAGGGTGAGATGTCTTGTCATGCCGCTTTGTCCACATTTGTGCTTTAAGTTATTGGATATGAAGCTTGTTGGGATGTGATGATAATGATAATGATAAAGATAATGATAATAATTTTATTATTTATACCCCACCCAACACTAAAAACTTCCCGATTCAGGGCTGCCTTCAGATGCCTTCTAAAAGTTATGTAGTTCTTTATCTCCTTGACATCTGAAGGCAAGGTATTCCACAGGGAGGGCACCACTACCAAGAAGTGATTGTTTTTCATAATATATTAAGCAGCGAGCTACGATTATGAGTGGGTGGGTGGGTTTACTATATCACTCATAAACTGTAACAATAATTTCATCACCAGTCTGCAAATGAAAAATTACTCCTGTGTGAAGTTTGACATTTTGTTTTCATTTGACAGTCTTTTGTAAATGACCTGAGGATGTTTTTGTTAAGGATTAGTAAATGCCCATAAGAACAGTACACAGAAGCTGTTAGTAATATCTCACTAAAGGGAACCATGATTAACATTAACTTTGGTACAGATGTTTGAGTACCACGCCATAATGAATACCAAAAAAAGGGAAGGGGGGGAGGGAGGGAGTGGGAAATTCCAGATTACTTTCAATCTCTTACTCTTAGTTAACAGACTGAGAAATACGAAGCCAATGACTACAGTTGTATTTTGTAGATGAAGTAGTTCGTGTATAAATGAGATTTCCTAATCTAATCAAGATTAGACTCATTAATCAGCGTACCACAGTACTCTGTGCCATTGTTGTGTGCTTCAAGAATAACATAACTACTCTTTTTCAGTTTCTTAATTAGATAAACAATTCTTAGTTCATATTTGCATATGTTGCTACAGAGCCCAGTTTGTTAGTTTTCATGGAGACTGCTTTTTTGAGTTCTGCATCCTGTATGTTAAGATCATGTAGGTACAGTAGGTTCAGGTAGAGGTAGCTAGTATTCAGTGCTTTAACCGGTTTTTATAATACTAGTATATATCTAAATTAATATTGTTGAATAAAGACAGCAAACATAATTTCAAATCCACAGTGACTGGGATTATTTATCAGTTTCATTTTCCTAATTATGTTTCCTCAAAGGATAGAATTCTCTAATTTGCTATGGCATGGTCTCATATTTTGGTTGTGTTGTTTTGCTGATGTTCTTTTTTATAATTGTTCTTTTCCTTTTCCTTTCTGTTGCAGAAACACAGATCGCCCAGATGCTTCAGCAGTGCACTTGCACGACTTTCAGAGATTTTTGCTACATGAACAGCAGGTGAGATGATTTCAAAAATTGTAATCAGCAAAATGAAAAGAAAATATGCATGAGTGTAATGTACAGCGTGGTTTGACGGAAAAGACTGCAGGGCACTGGTAGAGCATCTGTTCTGTATACAGATTTAATCCCTTTCATCTCCAGATAGGGCTGAGAATATACTCTTTCTGAAACCCCTGAGAACTGCTGCCAGTCAATATGGACATTTTTACAGAGCTGGGTAAATCAATGATCTGACTCATTATAAAGCAGCTTCTTGTGTTCCTATGCTTAACAGGCATTTCTATCTTCTTCATTCAGGGAGACCCTCTAGAATGCTGTAAGATGTGGCTTTGGAGGCCACAGACAGGAATGAGCAGAAATCAGGGTCACACATGAATGTAACTTGTGTCAGGGGCTCACTTGATCTCACCTGATGATGCCTCAAATTTGCACATAGAAGTAGCTATGAATTTACAGAATCAGATAATTTGTTGCTGTTGTGTATGGTATTATGTAGAAAATATAAGGTGGTGCTAATATCTGATAGCCTTCATCAAATATTTGAAGGCTAGATGATGGAGCAGATTTGTTTTCTGTTGCTCCAGAGGATGGAACCCAAACTAATGGGTTCACATGGCCATGTGTTTGGATAACATGGAAGACATTACTGCAGCCAATCACCTCGCTTAAATAAGCCATACAACATTGCTCCACAACTGGGAGGAGTTGAGCTTTCAGTGTGGCAGCATATATGCTCTTGAATAGGCTCTCTACCTATTAACATTAGGCTGACAGCCTCATTGTGCTTTTGAAAAAATGCTTGCTAAAAGCTGTTTTGTTTCAGCAAGGCTATCCAGACATGTAATGTGTATTTTTGAATTATGCTGATTTTATTTGCTTTAGGTAAAGGATGGGGAACCTGTGGCTCTCCAGATACTGTTGGACTCCATCTCCCATCCACCCCAGCCACCATGGGGAATGATCAATGGTGGAATTTATAGTCCAGCATCTTCTGGTTCTGCACAGGATCCCCGCCCCCCTGTTTGAGGTTTCCCATCAGCAGCTGTAAGAGCTTTCAGTCCCCTGCAACTGTAGACAAAACCTATCTAATGCCAGCTCATTTCTATGGTGGTGACCTGAAAAGAAACACACACATTAATTTAATTACTTGAATCAACGATGGAGATGTATTTAAAGTACATGTGTATACGCTTGAATTTTCAGGAATCTTGGGCACAGGATCTTAGTAAAGTAAGAGAACGGATGTCTAAATTTGTAGATGACACTATGAGAGAAACAGATGAACCCTTTCTGTATGTTGATGAGGTAAGTTATTTATTTTATTTGCAACATTTCTACATAAGCAAAAAAGGAGCCCTGTCTAATTCAGTATCCTATTTCCCCAAATGATTAACCAGATGCCTCTGGGAAGGCGATCAGTAGGGCATGTGCAGGCAAGCACCGTCTTGCAACCAGGAGCTAGTAGCCCTTAATAGACTTGGAGTTACAGGTAGGTAGCCGTCTTGGTCTGCTGTAGTCCAAACAAAACAAAAAAAATTCTTCCAGTAGCACCTTAGAGACCGACTTAAGTTTGTTATTGGTATGAGCTTTTGTGTGCATGTATCTGAAGAAGTGTGCATGTATCTGAAGAAGCTCATACCAATAACAAACCTAGTTGGTCTCTAAGGTGCTACTAGAAGAATTTTTTTTATTTTGTTTAGACTTGGAGTGTGTATAATCCTATTTTCAAATTTACCTAAGAGCCCAATCCTACACACCCCCTCCCATGTTGATGCCTGGGAATCGTGATTAGGAGATGGCATTATCGCAGCTATGCTGCTGGAGAGGAGTTCTGCTGGCTTGGAGGGCTCTACTGGTTGGGGTTCTCCCACCAGCGGTAGCTAGAGGACAGCTCCATAATGTGGTGTTTTGTAGCAGGGTCAGACCAGAGGCCAATTTAGTTTCACTGGATCCAAAGCATCCTGGAGCTGGTCTAACAGCAACAACGAAAAGGGTTGGAAGCCTCCATTTTCTACCCTGTCCTTCACAAGCCAGTAGGGCAATGGATGTGGTTCAGTGAGTTGGTTTCCATCATCACAGCTTGTGGCAGTGAATTCAATAGTTTAATTTGTACTCTTTAACTCAAATACTGTTTCCAGAGTCTCTTAACAATTAAAATAATCAAAAACATAACAAATTGGAAGTAATAACTTGATTAAAACAATAAAGTAACTGATCCCATGCCAGTAAGATAAAACAATATCAAAACATCTAAAAAAAACCTGGCCAATAAGAAGTCTTCGCCTGGCATTGATAAGGCAACAAGAGGTGGCACCAGGCAAGTCTCTCTTAGGAACACAATTCCAAATACTGATCCATACAAGAGGCATGTCCTTTTTGACCGCTGATCACCCTCTCTCTCCTCTTCTTCTTCAACAACAGCAAATCCCATAACCAAAGCAGGAAAATGGTGCGGATGCCACGGCTGTGATCCGTCTTAGGTTGCGGGTCCTAACCAACTAGTTGAAAACTAATTGTTTTGATTTATTTTCTGTTTCACATTGTGCTATGATTCTAGTTGGGGAGATCAGTCATTTGGTTTTGTCCTTTTTAAAAATTGAAACCCACTTATATTTCCCTCTCTCTTTGTTTGCCTTAGTTCCTTACTTACCTTTTTTCAAAAGAAAACAGCATATGGGATGACAAATACGACTCAATAGATCCTCAGGACATGAATAACCCTTTGTCCCACTACTGGATATCTTCTTCACATAATACGTAAGTTACTAAAAATATATATATCTATTCATCATCCTTCATAAAATGGTAAATGTGCAGTTCCTTTTAACACAATCCTTTATGACCTAGGTATCTCACAGGAGACCAGCTTCGTAGTGAATCTTCTCCAGAAGCTTACATAAGATGTCTCCGAATGGGGTGCCGATGTATTGAATGTGAGTAACCTGTTTTCCATACTTCCCCCAGAATTCCAGATGTAGGAATTTGAACTGTACCTGTTATTAGGAGAAAGGGACAATTACAAGAGGATCTTGTGGAACCCCATTACATTCTAGCTTTGTACCTCTACATTTTAGTTTGGCGTCTCCTCATTTTTTCCTGTCACCTTAGTTAAAGTAATTAGGGGCTTCAGTGTTCATATCAGACATTGTGTCACTTTTTTAGTTTAAGGTACCAGAGAAACTGCTGCAGTGATCCTCATGTTGGCCAATAAGAAACCACATAAAAGTTGGGGATCAAATAAAGAAAATGCCAAGGAAGCACAAAGGCAGCTGCAGAAGTTGGTCTGGAGCTTCCAGTCTCTGCATCTGCCTTTTTCTCCCTTTTCAAATCAGAGTTCCACAGGCACTTTCTCTTGCAAAATATTTCTCTAGTTCATAGCAGCAGCAGCAGTAGAGAAGCAGACATCATTTCCCTCTTAGGTACTTTGCATTCTTCTTCCTTGTTGTCTGAATTGCTGAGTTGTCTTTAGACTTTGTGGCCCTTAAGCTAAGGTTACCAGATTTTTTTCAACTTCAGAGTATTTTGTCTGGGGACTGATTTGTAAATCTGGGGACTGTCCCTGGGAAACGGGGACGTCTGGTAACCTTACCTTAAGCATGGCTACATTTTTCTCTGTCTATGGGATCAAGCACTCCAAAGCTCTGGAAACAGAATGTTGTCAGTTGAACATTGCACTTTTTATGTTTCCTTCATTGCCTACACTAGTGGATTGCTGGGATGGTCCTGATGGGAAGCCTATCATTTATCATGGATGGACAAGGACAACAAAGATAAAATTTGATGACGTTGTGCAAGCCATCAAGGAACATGCATTTGTCACATCCGAGTAGGTTTCCATTACTTTTTTAAATGGAAATATTTCCTAAGAATAAAAGATTAAATTATGACATTCTAGGTGATATTTCTTTAAAATCCGCCATTATGATATTATGGCTGTTTGAGGTCATTTTAATATGGATAGAATCGTAGAATTGTAGAGCTGAAAGGGAACCAAAGGGACATCTGGGTCCAAGCCCCTGGTACAGCTGATATAACACAGAACCTTTTACTAGAACCTTTTAAAATATTGGTCCAGTATTGGGGACAGGCGCTAGGTGGGTGGAAAGGGGAGTGATGAATTGACAGTGTGTTGGCTTTGCTCAGCCTGGGACGTACTGAGATGCATGTATATTAGCTTGATTAGGGAAAAGCTGGGTAGGTCATTTGAAAGTCTTTACTTCCACATCCATACATACCTAGACCTCCCCTTAGAAGGAAAGACTAAAGTGCTTGTGGTTTTTCAGTTTGGTAAAACAATGACTAAGGGAAGGAAAGAAAAACAGATTTAAATAGTAGTAGCAGTAATATATAAATAATATAAGAGCAACCAGCTTAGATGGCTTTAAAAGGGGATAAGACGGTATCAGTGGCTTCTGAGATTGCTATATGGAAACTCAGTGTCCAGAATTGGCTTGCCACTGATCAGCAGTTGCTGGGTATTCAGAAGCTTCAGTGCCTCTGTGCCCTGTTTATGAATTTCCCAGAGGCATGTGGCTGGCCACTAGAGGAGGAAGGATGCTAGGTTAGATGGGCTCATGGTCTGATTAGATAGAACTCTAACCTGAAATTGACTTCTTCCCCTTGCCTTTGTTTCTTTTGCCCAAGGTACCCAGTGATTTTGTCAATTGAGGAGCATTGCAATGTGGAGCAGCAGCGTTACATTGCCAAAGTGTTTAAGGAAGTACTTGGGGATCAGCTTTTAACAAAGCCCATTGAAGCTAGTGCTGATCAGCTGCCATCACCAACTCAGCTGAAAGAGAGGTTCATCATTAAGGCAAGTTGCATCTGCTGAAGAAAATGTGTTGGGGGATGCTGGTGTCTCCCTCCTGTCCTCCGACGGAAGATAGCAGCAGCTTGGACTTTGCACCTGGCACTGAAGCACACAATCAAAAATACATAAAGTTTTCTGGAGAAAGCCTTGTATTTTCCAACCCTAGTATGAGAGGCTAGCTCACGCTTCCTCAACCTCAGCCCTCCAGATGTTTTTGGCCTACAACTCCTATGATCCCTAGCTAGCAGGACCAGTGGTCAGGGATGGTGGAAATTGTAGTCTCGAAACATCTGGAGGGCCGAGGTTGAGGAAGCCTGGACTAGCTGATTAGGATGCACTGTCTATTCTGGTTCTCCACCAGCTGTGTGGACTGGTAGCAGCTAACTAAGATTGAAGCATCCTGCACATCTGTATTGAAACAGCTGCAACTACTTTTAAGTGTATAAATATTCATTTGAAGTGCTGTTTGCTTAGCACATGAGAGGCACTGGACAAAGGGAAACATCACGAAGTCAGAAGGTAGTTTTTTCCCCAGGACGAGAGCAAGCATTTGTTAAGAGGGTGGGGGACTCCTCTCATTTTGTACATCTAATAATATGAAACAATACATCTGTGAGAAATGTTTCCAACCAAAACAGCCAGTGTACATGTTGACAGGAATGCATTGCTCCTTAACAAATCCTGGAAATGCAATGTGTTTCAATGAAAGCCACGGAGGAAGTTCAGCTTTTTGAATTTGCACGCTTTAGGCTTGAGCTGCTTTCCTTTAAAAAGGGAGGTGTTTTATAAACGAAGCATGATTTGCACACTCAGCCTACAGCATTCCCCATCGTGGCAAACAAAGTAACCTGGAGAAACTGCATATCTGCTTTTAGGCAGAGGACTTGATGCGACAAATGAATTTGTGTGCAAGGAGGGAAAGCCCCCAAATTGTATACATTTCATTAACCCCTCCCACCTCCACGTTGCTGCCTGAGTAGTCGGTGGCTTAAAAAAATATATTCAGAAGTTATGAATCAGTTTTAAGACTGGTTCATCTACTAAACTTTACAGGTCTGTTCTGTGTATGCAGAGTGATCTCTGACCACAGGCTGACGATTTGCAGTGATAAACAAAGAGAAAACAGCAGTGCATCCAAGTTGGTACAGAGGTTTACATCAGATATTTGTAGCCCCCTCACGCAGGATGCACTCTTAGGTTGTCAAAGCAGAAAGAAAGCCCAGCTAAGAGATGCCAGAGAAATCCCTCAACGTCTTCCTTTTTCATAGCTGCTCTGTTCATTTTTTATTAGCATAAAAAATTGGGGCCAAAAGGTGACGTAGATGTGAACACGGAAGACAAGAAAGAGGAAAAAAAGCAACAAGGAGAGCTCTACATGTGGGACACCATAGACCAGGTAAACAATTGTTTTGTTTTGTTTCTATTTTATGGCACAGAATTTCACAGGTGGCTGAAATAAATCCTACAGAGTTGTACTTGAAGAGGGAAAAGAATGCTGTTTGCATATTGCTGTAATCTTACAGTGCTTTTGTACAGTAGTCTTATAACAGTTATTTTGCGTTCTAGAAATGGACTCGCCATTATTGTGCTGTAGCGAATGAAAAGCTCTCATTCAGTGATGATATAGAGCAGAATACTGAAGAAGAACCATCAAAGGTATTAAAACCGTACATTTGTTTCTGTTTTCTGCATAATTTGAGAACTGCATTTCATTGCTGTGCTCAGGTTTTAGAGAGCATAACGTAGGAATATGACATCACTCATATGTGGCATACAGGATGGAGTAGCAAAATTCCAGGAACCTCGCAATCTCTGGGTGAAGCTCAGTAATAAACTATATGACCTGTTGTGTCACTTACAAAATAAACCTAAGAGATAATGTTTCCCCGTGGTTCTTTTTTCTTCTTTGAAGTATAAAAGTAGCCTTTGACTCTTACTGCTTGATCAGGGTTAAGAGATTTAAGTATAGAGGTCAGCATGCTTGCTAAATTAGTTTTTGTTTTAAACAGACACTTGGGCTGCCTAGGAAGCTTATGGCAATGGTGAACCAGACACATGCTTCATTCTCCAGCTTCTTAGCCACTTCACTTTACTGGATGCATTAAAAAAAACTTTTTGAGTCCACACTTTACAAGAGAGTGAGGATCAAATTCTTTATATTATCCCATGGTGTAGATTGTCTCCTTTAAAGGGACTGCTGCACCTCCTACATTAAAAGAGGTGATCATCAGCAACATGTGCAGCCAAATGGCACCCCTTCCTTTCTCTTGGCAAGTGCTTTTCCAAGCGCACCCCCCCCCTTTCTCAATTTGGAGCACTGCTTCTTCAGATAAAACTTTATGCTTTCTGATGAACCCTACAAGAGTCGAGCTCAGTGTTAGCTTTATAGAGGAATGGCAAATTGAATCTTAACAAATGGAAATTATCCCCTTTCATACTGTAGGAAGTGAAGCGTGCTGAACTGCACTATGGTGAGAAATGGTTCCATGGAAAAATGAAAGAGGGGAGAAACACTGCCGAGAAGCTGCTCCAGGAATATTGTGCTGAAATGGGTGGCAAGGATGGAACATTCTTAGTGAGGGAGAGTGAAGCTTTCCCTAATGACTACACACTGTCATTCTGGTAACAGATAATTTCTTTCCTTTTGACTTCTTCTTAATGCTTTAGCAGTTTGCCATTTTCCTGGTTTTTCTACAGGAATAGCATTTTGAGATACACTTATAGGAGGACACTCACTCAAGCAAAGGAGAGAGGAAGGCTTTCATAATTATCCCTTCAAACTTCTGAGGTTTTAAGGTGCAACAAGGAGGGGGGCATCTGAAGGTGTGCTCCTGTCCCACCAGCTGATGGGCAGTAGGACTGTGCCTCCAAGCCCCCCTCATTTTTCTCCTTCAAACCTAGTGATGAATCCTGGTTTACACATCTGTTATATTTATGGAATGTTACATTTTCACATGAGCTAATTGATTTGCTGAACTCTACAGGTAAACATACTGAGCAAATGGACTTCGTGCTTTTGACTAACATTTCCTGTTTCCAGTGCCAAAATCTGTGCACCATAATGTCAGTTTCTGGCACGCTATGATTTACATGCCATAAATTCTTAGTCTGAATATTTGATCAGTCCCTATTTCCCCTCAATCTTCCTTCCCACTCCTCTTGGTTCACAAGCTGAATAAATAGCAAGAAACTAGAGGCAAGCGTATGGATGTGTTGGCTTTAGAAAACTAACTGGTTCTTTCTTGTCCATGTTTCCCAGGAGATCAGGTAGAGTCCAGCACTGTCATATCCGTTCCTCAATTGATGGAGATACCGTAAAATATTTCCTGACAGACAACCTCACCTTTGATAGTGTCTGTGATCTAGTTCAGCATTACAGAGAAGCACACTTGCGGTGTGCCGAATTCGAACTACGTTTGACTGATGCTGTGCCTAACCCCAACCCTCATGAATCTAAGAAGTACGTATGGCCAAAACAAAATTGTAGGGGGGAGTGAAATGCTATTTTTAATGCTGAAGCTTACTGCTTGTCACAGTTACTGTGGATTATGGGGAGTTTGATTTAAAACAAAAGCAAAAAACTGGCTTAAGCAACAACGGTTTAGCAGTTTTGCATTGAATATGTGCTTTGACTTGAACAGTCCGGAAAGGGAGAATATTAAGCCTGCTGGAAAATCAAGAGCTCCCAGATAGCAGACCAAGGCAGGCTGAGGAGATTTTAGTTATGTGGGATGCTCTTGCTGAGTCCCTTCTCTTCTCTTTCTGCTTTTAAATGACACCCAAGTGTTTTTTTTATAATTCTTATTGTTTTGCTATGAGCTGGAATGGTGTTTGGAAACTGCCATTCAAGGAGCACATCTAGACCATTTGTATCACAGGATATCCTGCTCATTTCGTGTTTGCTTTTATTACATTGGTACAGCTGGTTACAGTCTGTGTTCCAGTGTTAAACATTGATTTCCTTTTGCAAGTGTTGGTATGTGTTGGCTTATTCTGGAGTAACTAGGCCAGCCTGCCAGATATGTGGATACTCATGCCTGCCAAGAGCTTTCTTCCTCATAGAACCCAACTGAAATGCACTTTGAATTAGCACCTGCAATGTAATCAATGGCAGTTGGGAGGAGAATTAAACTCACCCTGCCCAAGCACCTCTGTGCTCTAAAGGTGCGGTTTAAATCCAAACCATGCCTGGTAATGGGCAGTTACAGTGAGCCCCTTTGAAGTTGTTTCCTGGCATCATAATGATGTCGGGTAAATTACGAGTGGGTGGCTCTGCCCACCTGTTGAAGTTGGCTCACGGACCTGTCGACTGGATGCAGTTCCCCACCCCCGCTGCGTTCAGGTGCAAGCCAAGGAGGAACTACCACAAGATGTTGTCTTATATCTATTTTTACTTATAAAATTGGGGTACAAGATTGATAGCGATGGTAAGATCGTTCTCCCTGCCCCCAAAAGAAATGCACTGCTGTTGTCCGTCAATAAAAACTGACTGTGTGTTATTATTGCTCTATTACTTATTAGGATGACCTTCTGCTTCCTGCATCCACATGCATGTTCTTTTCCAGACTCCAAATTGTCTCATTTGGGCTTCTTATGCAGTGTGAAAGTGACAGAAACAAATGCTGTCAGCATTTAGCAGTAACTTGCTATTTATTTCTTTTATAACAGGGACAAAGTCTATACATCACTGAGCATCTGATGCCTGAAATCACAATTTTATCACTGATTTAATAGCTTTTATCTTAATGACCCAATTTTATCATTGAGTTAATGGGAATGTGTCAAGCTCTGAACGCACCTCTCTTCCTGTTTTTGTAGTTGGTACTACAGTAACCTGAGCAGAGGAGAAGCAGAGGATATGCTGATGCGAATTCCTAGAGACGGAGCCTTTTTGATAAGGAAGAGGGACGAACCCAATTCCTATGCCATGACTTTCAGGTGAGACACAAACTTCGTAATTATGACCTGACCTGACATGCATGATCTGCAGGTTGGACCTCAAAGCTATTTGTTGCAAGGACCAGAGGGGAGTATGTAGTCCAGGTCTGACACAAGCTAAGGCGTGTAACAGTGAATGGGTATCTGAGGGGCCAGAAGCACGTAAATGGACAAAGCAGGTAGATGGCTACATTCCATAAAGCAGAGGCCCGAGGAAAGCAAAGAGATGCAAGACACAGGAAACTCTGGGGCAGAAACTCCATCAGATAAGAAACTTGGAGAGAGGAATCAAGCCTGAAGCAACAGAGATAAGGCCAGGTTACCTGGTTCAGCTGGACTAATGGGTGGCTGTTCTCCACTCTGTTCACTATCTGTGCTGGTACTACAGTGCAGGAAAGACCTAGCTAAGAGCTGCTACTCTGCATGGTGGCTGCCCCAGCGGCACAAATTAAGACCCTATGGCCATAATGGGAAAGTAGGGGGTTGGAAGATGGGTGGGGGTGGGTGGTGTAGGGGCTGACTAGGTGGGAATGGGGAAGGAGTGGATTAAATGCAAGAATTTCGGAGCTTGTAATGCTTACCTTATGTACAAGGCAAGTACTGCAAGCCCCTGAGATGTGCATTTCTGAACCAGGAAATTCAAGGATCTCCCCCCGCCCCCCAATCTGTCTCTAGATAGCCAAATCACTCCTGCAAGAGCTTACCTAAATAGGAGGAAAATGAAAATGCCACTTCAAAGCTTAAGGACTGATAATATGATATGGCTGTTGTTGTTGTTTTGGCATTTTCTAAAGCTTGCTCTTCACTGTTTAATCCCACAGAGCTGAGGGGAAAGTGAAGCACTGCCGAATCAAACGAGAAGGCCGCCTCTTTGTCATGGGAACATCTGCTTATTTTGAGAGTTTAGTGGAACTGGTGAACTACTATGAGAAGCACCCGTTGTATAGGAAAATGAAATTGCGCTATCCTGTGACGGAGGAGCTGCTGGAGCGCTACAGCACGGCAAGCGTTTTACCTTTTTAACCAAAGCGCCAGGGCTTTGCATAGAATGCTGGGTGGCTTTCAGGGATTTATTGTGGTACGAGAATATTTCTCCCTCCACCCACAAAAGGTCATCCTAAAGGCAGCTTTAGCCTGCTGAGCATTTTGGGATTTTCAGTATTATCCATGGTACCTCGGCCCCTTGCCCATCCCAGGCAGCATATAAAGCAGAACCAATTGGGCTTCAGCACTGGAACGTGCCTTCAGGTATCTTCAGAATGTTCTCCAGACCAATATTTAATGCTCTGGGAAGATCATTGCTTTTTAGCTATGGATAATGGGATCCAAGGGGGTGAAGTAGGAATTCCTTAAAATTAATAAATAGAAAACCAGGGATTTCGCCTACCTGGGATTTGAAACCAGCTTCGCATTCTGATTAAGAGATCATAACGTTTTATGCTGGTGTATGCCCTAAATATTTTGCTGTAGCTTTTAGTCCTGTCTACCCTAATAACATGCAAGAAGGCCTAGTTAGCTAGTAGTTCTCTCTTTTGACCAGTGTGTCTGGCCAATTGCAAGTCAATGATTCCAAATGTCTACCTACAGGCTACAGTTTTTGTTTTGGAATGGAAGATGAATATATTAAATCAATCTCTCCAGATTTTGGACTATAACTTCCATTGCCTCAGCCAGCATTTTTGTCCTAAGTCCTTATCCCACACAGGAGTCCATGTGTGAGAAAATTTATTCTTTTCTGTGCAGAAAGCAGAGGCACATAATTTAAATTCTTTTTACCAATGAGTTTAATGATAAAATAATAGTAATCCCCCCCCCCCGGTCTTAAAAAAAAATACTGCTAATAATAAGAAAAAATAATGTTATTATTTACTGTATATGCTGCCCATCTGACTGGGTTGCACAACAAACATGTTGTAAATCCCTATGAAAGCAGTAATTTCTAGTTTTAATATGAAAAACCAGGCAGAAACCTTTGCCAAAATCCTACTGACACTTTTTTTGAAACCCCCAAAGCTCTGATAGGGTGGGGGAAACAAAAAACTCTGCTCAGTTGCTACAAGTATATTTGGACAGTATAATTTCTTATGTTAACACATTAACTTAAAAGCTTTGAGTTACTTTTTTCTAGCTGTGCAATTTACTTACTTTTCTTTTTCAATCTTAGGAGAAAGATCCTAGCTCATTATATGAAGTGAAGGCATATGTGGAACCTGGTGAAATAACACCTTCTGTGGTATGTTAAAGTTTTGCTCAAACTTATTCTTGATCTGAAAGAAAAGAATAGCTGACAGATCCTTTATCTTAATTTCCTGTTTAGAGAATTGAAAGAACTGATTGTAGGTAAAGGTGTATTTGGAGGGTGGGAAAATATGTATGTGTGTGTGTGTGTGTGTGTGAGAGAGAGAGAGAGAGAGAGAGAGAGAGAGAGAGAGAATGAGTGACTGACTGACTAATTGACTATAGTCTAACTTAGCCTTTGGCAAACCTATGGACTACAGCTCCGATCAGCACCTGCCAGCAAAATGTCTGGAGGGCAAAGGCTGACCTAACCATTGTTTCTGGATTGTATTCCAGTGTTTGTGGTTGTTCCCCCAAATTCACTTTGACCTAAAGCTCCTTTCCATTTGTTTCTCTTGAAGCCACAGAGAACTGTTAAAGCCTTGTACGACTACCAAGCGAAAAGAGACGATGAGCTGACTTTTTGCCGAGGGGCTTTAATTCATAATGTCTCAAAAGAAGTTGGGGGCTGGTAAGAAGGCAGCTTTTATATTTTTGGTACGAGTTGGTGATGTTTTCTGTAGACCAAGCTGTGTCTCAACCATAGATTTCACTACGTGGCTTTGAGCATTTTTTAAAAAATGTGAACCTCTCTATAATACTTCATTTGGATATGGTGTCTCAAATTTGATTAGAACATGTTTCTCTCTCAGGTGGAAAGGCGATTATGGGTACAAAGTTCAGCACTACTTCCCAGCCAATTATGTGGAAGACATGTCCTCTGATAACACGGAAGATCTTGAGAATCAGGTAGGAAGATACTTGTTATCTATAGTCTAGAGTTTATGCTATTCACAAAATTCATTCAGTTATTCCAAAAAAAAGTGGTAATGCATTCAGACCCTTCTGTGTGTAAGGTTGCCTTTCTGGATGCTGTCCCACATGCGTACAGAGATGCAACATTGTGGACAGAGGGTGGGATTGTATATAGCACAGTGATGTGCACACGAACAGAATGTTGGACCTAGTAGCTCTTTAAGACTTCTCTGTATGAAGAATGTGTATTGTCAGCTTTGAGATTCTTGGCATGTGCCAATTTCTCCCTATTTCTAAAGTGGTGACAGTCATGTGGAATATTTATTTTCTTACGACTCACATGCCAGTAATAATAATGATAATACTAATCATTTTTTAATTTATATCCCACCCATCTAGCTGGGTTTTCCCAGCCTCTCTGGGCGGCTTACAACATATATAAAAGCACAACAAAACATCAAACATTAAACAAAATAATCCTATACAAGCAACAAACCAACCAATAAATCAATAGAAACCAATAACAACAACAATAATAAACAGTTTACAGTTATACCCAAATTAAAATAGCTGCCAACCCCAGCTAAACGTTTAACCAACACCACCCTGACCAAAAAAACAACAGAGGAACCAAAATTTGAACCGTTTAAAACATTTTAGCCAGTTGTCCCACCCCAAGAGTTGTTCCAGCCAGGGGCGTAGGAACAGTGCCTGATTTACGTATAAGCTAAACAAGCTATAGCTTAGGGCACCACTCTTTTGGGGGCCCCCAAAAAATTTAGAGGGAAAAAACCCCTGGATGTACATTCCCAAAATATAAGATAAAAAACAAATAAGCTCTAACTGTATGTTTTATTTTAATAAATATTTCACTATTAATCTACTCCTTAATTGTATTTCACTATTAATATACTTCTTAATTGTATTTCAGTTCAACAATTACTTGGATAAAATACATATTTTGTTATGTGCAAATGGCTTTAGATACCTATTAGGTCCATAAATTACCATTTAGCATATATTCAACACAAAAAAGCTGCGACAATTTGTTGTTGACAAAGGACAGCTGGACATATAAAGGGCCCCATTACCTTCAGTAGCTGAGGGCCTCATCAGACCTAAATCGGGCCCTGCTTGGGAAGGGGGGTCGGACTGCCCCGGATGCCCTCACTGAGGGGGGGTTTGTCATTTGGCATGCTGCTCGCCTGCAACTTCCAAGCCTACCCCGAGCCATCGGGGCAAGGGGAAGCTGTGCTGCTTTGCTGGCGGCATTCCCCCCTTCCCCCTTCGTTTTGACAGCTTGGGAGAGGCTTGGGAGTCACTGGCGGGCGGCACACTGAATGCCCGCCAGGGGCAGCTTGCTCCGACCCCATGTGCGGCTCACTCTGCCCCTGGCTGCAGGGCACACACACTGCTCTGGGCACCTGAGTGGCTATCCTGTGGATGGGAGGGCACTTTCTGCGCCACGCCCCCCTCAGGAGCACACCCGCCCTGGGCAGCGTGGGCATATGATCTGCCGCTGGTTCCAGCAGTGTCCCAGTGCCTCCCAGGAGCCTATGGTATCTGTTCAGGGTGAGCCTGGGCACTGCCCCCTAGGCCAGGTGGAAATGGACCTTGCAACCGGGAGCAGACTTCCCTCCAGCACTCAGTATGGCTTCCAAGCAGTTTAAAACTATAAAATCAATACATAATTAAAGCACACAGTAACAATTCCATTGGGGCATTAAAGCAGCCTCAATTAAACCATACAATAAAATGATCTATTAGAAAACATGAGAATTAGAAACTCTTAAACACTTCACGCAGCAGTTAAAACAATAAAATCAGAAATTCAGCTCTGCCTAAACAGGTGTGATTGCATGCCTGAATAGGCGCTAAATTTTATGCAGAAACTGGCCTGGAAAGATCTTAGGGGAACTCACGCCTTTGCTGTGGTAAATGAGGCTGGGCTTAACTTTCACCTTCTGGTGCTGCCAGGTTAACATGAGGGGAGCCCATGTTTCTTCCTTTACCCCAGCAGTGTTGGGAGCAGTAGTGTTTCTACAGCTCCTGGCATGGCAGTGCAGATCTAAAGTTCATGTGCAATGCTTAGCCAAAAATCCTGACTTTAATAAGGAAGCATAGGCATGAGCTGTGTGTGAATGCACAGAGCCTTTTGAGAGGTATTTTGCTTCCCGTGATATATACTTTTATAAGTAAGTAAATAAATAAATAAAAAAAATATTGGTGTTCAGTGTTACTTATGCCAGTGCCCAGAGGATAAGATTATCAAACTGGGTAAAGGATGCTTAGCTGTACTGGTTAAGAACGTAATGGAGCGTTGAAAATCTGCAATGGTCTCAGAAAGAAGAACCTGATCTTCTGAAAAGCTTTCCAGCTCTGCCAATGAATTTCAAGGAAGGCAACTATTAAAATGTTAATAATTACTAGCTTTGATAGTACTAAGTGCACTTTCTTGATCTTATTGTCACCAAGCAGTTTAATTTTTTATGGTTGCTAGTGACAGGAAACCCATACACTTCAGGAATGAATATCATTTTTTAAGCATTGGTCCTGGGAATTTAATGAATTCATTTTTACATTCCAAGGACATTTGATAAAGGGGGCAAAACAACCAACTTCAAACAGAATAAATCTTTTCATTTCAGATAATTGAGGACAATCCTTTAGGCTCATTATGCCGGGGTATTTTGGATCTCAATAAGTATAACGTTGGTATGTATCCTTCTGACTTCCTGACTCCTTACATGTAAAGTAGCTTGTGTATGTGTGTGTGTGTGTGAGAGAGGGAACAGTTTGTCAAGTCTATCTATTTTTTATTCCAATATATATATAATCTTTATTGTGGTCCAACGACCCATAACATGGATTCAGAATAAAATACAGATTCATACAGACAACCCCCTAGGGAAGGGAGACTGAAGCAATATTTGTTTAGTCGTGGGTATGTTGATCTTTGATTCGTATAACTACTGAAAGAAACTTTGCCACAGCCACTGTGAAATTATTGGACATATTTTTTAGATATATATATCCTTTAACATACCATTGATTGCTCAGTTTTAGTCTGTCTGTATTATCACCCCTGGGGACGCGGGTGGCACTGTGGGTTAGACCACGGAGCCTAGGACTTGCCGATCAGAAGGTCAGCGGTTTGAGTCCCCATGGCGGGGTGAGCTCCCATTGCTCGGTCCCTGCTCCTGCCAACCTAGCAGTTCGAAAGCACGTCAAAGTGCAAAACATACATTTATAATAGGTACTGCTCCGGTGGGAAGGTAAACGGAATTTCCGTGTGCTGCTCTGATTCGCCAGAAGCGGCTTAGTCATGCTGGCCACATGACCCGGAAGCTGTACGCTGGCTCCCTCGGCCAATAAAGCGAGATGAGCGCCGCAGCCCCAGAGTCGGCCACGACTGAACCTAATGGTCAGGGGTACCTTTACCTATTATCACCCCCAATATATCTGAACTGTATTTTAATTTTTGAATGACAAGTTGTCTTCTGAAGGGCAATACTGCAATTTCTTATCCAAGTATAATTTTGGAGGGGGGATGCGGATTTGGAGGTGAGAGGGAACAGATGTACTCCTCTTTTAAAAGGATGGATTTAATGCATGCTCAGAAAAGAATGGGGAGGGCACAACCTCAAATAAAAATGCACTCAAAAGGTTCACAAAATGGTAGAGTGTTTCTGTAAGGCAGAAGAAGCTGGTATTGTTGCCTTTTTGCCACTTAAAAATATTCTTGGACAACTGAGGTTGTACACTGAAGAAGTGTATGGTCCCCAAAGCATTAAGATAAAATTTGAAAAGGTATGAAAACAACTACTGGCGTCTTGTGGCAACTGAAAGTCTAACAGATTATGGTGATCATCATCTCAGGTCCTTTTTCATGTGCCACTTCCATGAGAGGTCTGGAGGGTGGCAACATGAGAACAGATCTTTTCTGTGGTAGCTCCACGCTTGTAGAATGCTCTCCTAGGCATCAGGCAAAACATTCCTCTTCTCCCAGGCCTTTGGCTAATTAAGCAATCTATGGTCTTTTAAATTGTGGGATAAGGAGGGTATCATTTTCATTTGTTACTATGTTGTGTATTTCTGTGTTTTTATACTGTAAAACCCTGTGATCCTCGGGTGAAGAGTGGTATAGAAATCTAAAAAATAATAATAAGCCATGATAAATAAACTACAAATCGATAATGCCAAATTTATTATGCCATGTGGTGTAGTGAACTCTGGTCCACTAAAGCTTATGTTATAAATGAAATTGTCAGTCTTTAAGGTACCCCAATACTTCAGCTGCTCTCATGTGAATCAAAGCATACTATAGAGCAGTTGAAGAATGCTGAGGCTTTTAAATTACTGTTTTGTAATAAATGTAAGTTTTCACTGATTAATGGGATCCTACCGGGATCTCGTGCAAACTTCTCTCAAGTGCTATTTGATATCTTAAGATGTGTTTATTATGTACATATGATTTATTGTTTTGGATTCCCAATAGTAAAAATGACACAGGGAAAACATGGAAAGTCTTTTGTCTTTATCCTGGAACCCAAGAATCTTGAAGATGCTCCTGTTGAATTTGCAACAGAAAAGGTGGAAGAGCTATTTGTATGGTATCAAAGTGTCAGGGAAATCACAACGAAAACTACTGAAGAGGTACTACAGAAGCCATAATTTCCAGCACTTAATTTTTAATAAGAGTGATTTTGATTTGAGCAAAGACTGAAGGACCAGTAACATGGTCCACACCCAGCATCTGATTCCCTTGCAAGCAAAAGGGCTTTGAGAGAAGCCAATATCATCACCATTTTTTAAATTCTATATCATGCCATATTTCCAATATCATGAAAGCATAATACGCACCTTTGTGTTTTGCTTTATGTGCCAATATCATGCAAGTTTTAACTTGAAAATAATACCTCAAAGTGTGATTATGCAATCAAAGCAAGATTTTTTTTGTGGTGTAAGTTCAGGTTTTTTTGGCCCTGCACTGCCAAAATGTTTTTTCTTAAAAAAACCAAAAAAACCCCACACAGAACCTGAAAGCCAGAATTCATACATGGAAAGTCGGGAAGTCCTTGTGCAGGGCTTCACTAGCAGAGCCAGTTAGTTGAATTCACGCCCTTGTTTCAACATCACTGCATTTTGGGCACAGAGAGCGAGCAGGGATAAAGGGGGTGTGCAGAGACAAAATTAAAGTTAAAAATTAGATTTCACAATTTTCTGTTTCTTTGACACCAGCTGAGTGATCTCAGTGGAGATGACTGCCCTGGACTAATGTTTTAACTGTGTTAAATCCTCAGGAAAATTTCAGGGTGTTCTGGGAGAAGAAGCAGTTAATTGCCATGGAATTGTCTGATTTGGTGGTATATTGCATACCCACGAGCAAAACAAAGGACAACCTAGGTAATGTATTTTTAATTATGAATTTGAACTCTTCATCTGCTAGATTGCTAGACATGATCAAAGAGTATACTAGGATGTGTCTAGAGAATAGCAACAAATATTCAAAGGAGGTTTAGATGCCTGAGGAGTGAGAGAGAAAGAGTGAGTTTGGTTGGCTTAGTGTGAAGAATGGAACACTGGGGGAAAACTTAACCAGTCTCCAAAAACATGTGATGTATGAGATTCAGTTATTCATTGCTTGCTTGGTTGGGGCAGGATTAAAAATAATGGTTAAAAGTTGCAACCAAAGATTTAGACATTTCTAACTGCAATAGTGGCTGAGCATGAAAGCTGGGTGCCTAATGTTATTAATGAATCTTTATCTCCAGAGGCCTCTTAAGAGCAGGTTCAGACTTTGAGGCAATGTAATTCTCCAGATGACCTTTTTGAGGTTAGTGGCAAGTATCAGAGGGATTAGGCTAGGCCACCCAGTGTCAGGGAGAGTGGCTTGCATTGATAGCCCTTCATGCTTGTGTAGGATAGGATAAATGGGTATGCTTGAAGACATCATTAGAGTGGGTTCTTAGGCTGCCCTTCACACCCAGTGGTCCCATTTTCTGAGCAGGTTGTATGACCTGTTGACAGTCCTTTCAAATTGTAGTAACCTGCTTCCCTTATTTCATAGAACTCAGTAGGAGCCACTGAAAATTAAGCTAGCCCTCTTCAATGTAACCATTCGTTAATTTCCATTATTTGGTTGCCCGACAGTGCATTGCAAGAGTGGCAAAACTCAGGGAATTGGCTTACATATAGACTGCCAACTCTTTTTTTAAAAAGCCACATAATTGAAACTTCATAAAATTATAAAATCATAAGTATTGCTAATTTCTTTATTTTTTAAGTTTGTACATATATCTCAGAAGTTTATACACTGCTTAATTGACAAAAAAACTTCTGAATGTGTTACAAAACATTCATTAGATATATGTATAAAACTGAATGTTAAAAACAAGGATACATAAAATTTATCAAGCTATAAATGAAGCCTGCATTTTAAAAATACATGATTAAAATTACGTTTCAGCGTGGGCTTAAGCAAATTTGCCTGCTTCCCTGCCACTTTGCTGCATCCTGTTCTCTGGCTTACTTAGACCAGAGTCAAAGCTGCACAAGGTGTAAAGGGCTGAATGCAGATTATAATGTGTCCTGGAACCATTGTTTGGACTTGATGTAGCACCAGTGCCAAAAACATTGGCCATCACTTGGAGAAGCATATTTAGTCAAGGGACAATTAAACTTGCCATCAATATTACAAAGCCTCAGTGAAGGCATATATTAATGAGTGGCTTCTTCCCACCTCTCTCTTTTGCAGAAAATCCTGATTACAAAGAAATCCGTTCCTTTGTGGAGACCAAAGCAGAAGGCATTGTCAAGCAGAAGCCTGCTGATCTACTAAAATATAATCAGAAGGGACTGACACGAATATACCCAAAAGGGCAGAGAGTAGATTCCTCAAATTATGATCCTTTTCGTTTCTGGTTTTGTGGATCACAGATGGTGGCTCTTAATTTCCAGACACCAGGTAAAAATCTCACAAGATTTTACCCATTTCTCAACCCACCCACCACTTTATAAGTAAGCACCTCTTTCCTTCCATGGTATCCTGCGTAATTGCTTTATTCATACATCCTGAATTGCTGAATTCATGCATTTGGGGAAAGTGTGATACCACTTGTTTTTATTATTTGATGTTTTTCTAATCCCTTTAGATTTATTAACGTAGGAAATCTGGCTAACACATCTTTTAATTCTTTCTCTAGATAAATACATGCAAATGAATCATGCCTTGTTTTCCCTTAATGGACGGACTGGCTATGTACTGCAGCCAGAAAGCATGAGGAGTGAGGCGTATGACCCGGTGCCAAATGAATCCAAGAAGAAACTACAGATGATTTTGACAGTGAGGGTAAATGATGATGATTATTTTTTTAAGTAAATTGATTATTAATTAATTAATTAATTAAATTATTACCCACCCTTCACCCTAAGGTCACAGGGTGGACTACAACACAAAAACCATATTTAAAACAACCTACAGTACCAAAAATAATGTGGATCCCAAAAATATAAATCTCAAGTGTCCATAGCCATGGTAAAGAGGTGGGTCTTCAGCACTGACTGGAAGCTGTTTAATGAAGGTTTGCTTTTCTGTGAAGAGGGAGTTCCATAGCCTAGGGGCTGCCATAGAGCTTGCCCTCTCCCAGGCCACCACTCCACTTGTCTATTAAGGTGAAGGAAAGCCAAGAAGGCACCTGAGAGGGTTTGTAGGGAAGGAGGCAGTCTTTCAGATTAACTGAAGTCCTCATCTGTAAAAGTATGTTTACTTTGTTTTCAGCAGTACTTCTGCAGACTCAGCAGTCTGTAACTTCCAGGAGAGATGCCTTGTGGAAAGGAGCTCTTCCATGGAAGGGGACAGGGTCTTTGTGTTGTATCTACCAGTAGCCTGTTTGGTGGCGCACCCCACCCATAGGGCACATGTTCCTTCCCAGTGTCAAACAGTGCTTGCTTGTGAGTTCATTGCCCTTGATCTCCTGAAGACAGAAACAGTCTTGTCCTGCTGTTGCATATGTATTTGGCAATATTTTTTTGGTCTTCCTGGGATTGAGAAGGTTGAGTCAGATTACCTAGCTACCTTTCTATTTAGATAAGGGATTTCTGCCACAAATTTGCTAAAACAGAGTTTAGAAGAAAATGTCTTAGAAGAAAGAAAAGCTAAACGAATTCTGTCACTTCATAATATAATATACCGTATTTTTCGCTCTATAAGACGCACCAGACCACAAGACGCACCTAGTTTTTGGAGGAGGAAAACAAGAAAAAAAATATTCTGAATCTCAGAAGCCAGAACAGCAAGAGGGATCGCTGTGCAGTGAAAGCAGCAATTCCTCTTGCTGTTCTGGCTTCTGTGATAGCTGCGCAGCCTGCATTCGCTCCATAAGACGCACACACATTTCCCCTTACTTTTTAGGAGGGAAAAAGTGAGTCTTATAGAGCAAAAAAATACGGTAGGTCATTCTCATTGTCCTGACGATTAAGTCCTAACATGAAGTATATTGGTGGCATAATCTTGAAGGTCTGTTTGGCTGGATCCGCTATCAAAGTAATAAGATGCTCACAGCAAAAACTGAGCTCTTAAGTCACATTGGTTTCAGTAGGTGGGCCTGGATCACTTGTTGAAATCAGTTGTGACTTAATGTGGGTTTTTTTTTGGGGGGGGAAGATACCTACATAATTTAGCTGTTTGGTGTTGGAGTAGGACATGGGTTCAAATTCCCATTCAGCCATGTAGATCACTTGGTCTGGCATTGTGTTGCAGCCTAACCGACTTCAAAGGGTTGATGTGAGGATAAAACGTGGAGGGGAGGAAGTGTGTAGGCCATGTTGAGATCTCTGGAGGAAAGGTGGGGTGTATTTAAAAATAAAAAAATCAGCAACTAAGTTAAACTGTCTGAAACAGGTAATCGGAGCTCGCCATCTTCCCAAGCCTGGCAGAAGTATTGCCTGCCCATTTGTGGAGGTAGAAATTTGTGGGGCTGAATATGATAACAGTAAATTCAAGACCACTGTTGTGAGTAAGTACTTCTTAACTCTCTATGGAAATACGGGTTCTGCGACAATATAAAAGAAGTTGCGTCGTGCGTTGGAATTAGGGCGTGAAGAGTCATGTTCAAGTCTCCATTCCTCTTCAGAACTTACTGTGTAACCTTGGGGCAATCACTATGTGTCTCAGCCAAATAACTATCATAGAGTTCCTTGGCTGGAATAACAGTATCATAAATAAGTAATAAATAAACAGTATCATAAACAAAGCAAAACAAGTAGAGCAATTGATCATGTTACATAGCATTGCAACCTGGTATGGCATAGTTGAAGGAGTGGCCAACTCCAGCCACCCAGGAGGAACATCATGGCAAGAGGAAGCCCAGCTTGGCTCCAGTGAAGGTACAGCTGCTTGAATGTTTCCTCTCCTCTCCTCTCCTCTCCCCTCCCTTCCCCTTTCCATTTCCTTTTATAGCATCTCTACTAGGTTGTGAGCAGGGACTGTTTTATAGCACTTAAGAAGCAGCTGCTTTACAAGTGTTTAATATTAAGAATTGCATCATTTTAAAACTCCACTAGTTACATACAAAGGATAGAAAAAGTGACTCCTTGGAATGTCTTCAGTACGCCTTCAGCATTTTCTTGAAAACATGGGACATGGTCTATCCAAAGTTAAGCACTTCTGTTGGAGGGAATTGACAGTGTAATTGATGCTCTTCTCAACATTCATGGAACTTTGGCAGGATGGCGCACAAGTTACTTTTGGAATTACCCATTGAAATTATTGAACCCAACTTAGTCATATGTATTAATTTCATTGAGTCTACTTTGAGTACAACTAGCACTGAATACCACACACTAACTTCCCTGCAAGAAGTGTATCAGTGAGGCAGTCAGGTCCCCCCCTGCCTTTTTATAATTCTTTGGCACTCTTTTAATTCCAACTTCTTGGCTGTTTTTCCTCTCTCTGACTGCATTCTCCTAAAAAATAAATCAAAAGAAGCCGTTGTCTTGCTCTATGCTTCTGATTATTCCTGAAGATAGCCCAGAGAAAGAGGATGGAGAATATTCTGGCATCAGCATCGCTGAAGATCATACTGCTACCAGATTATTTAAGAATTGCTTTTTCTTGGCCTTTATTAGTAAAAGCAGTTGCCACTCTGTGTCTGCAACCAGAGACCCCTGAGTTAGCTCAGCCAACATCTTGCAGCTCCTGTGATTTGAGTCCACATTAGCCTCCAAAGAGTTTAGCTTTCTTCTTTTTCTGAGGTGCTCAAGCTTGAATGGGCCGACCCACTTAAGAATAAAAACAACAACTAAACTTCTCCAAATGTTCTACACTTGCCTCAAACTGTGGAGGAGCGGAATGTCACAGTTGCTTGCTTTATATCATGAAATGTTCATTTCATTACAGATGACAATGGCCTTAACCCAGTCTGGGCATCTCAAGAGCAAGTGAAGTTTGAAATCTATGACCCCAACCTAGCATTTCTGCGCTTCGTTGTCTATGAGGAAGACATGTTCAGTGATCCCAACTTCTTAGCACATGGCACTTTTCCCATCAAAGGAATCAAATCAGGTAAATATCAAGTATAACACTGACAGGTTGAACAAAGGTTTTGATAATTTGCACACTTCTTTGGCTTTCAGATCCTAGGTGACATGTTTGCTGCACACCAAAAGGGGAGCTAGGAAAGTCTCCCTCAACTGATATTGATTGACCATAAGTGACTGCTGAATTAAGCTGGGGGAGGGGGTCTTTGAGTCTCAACTCTGTGCATACCATACATATATAAATAAAACACTTTATTAGATCTTATTGTTATGTGGTAAGCTGAGGGTTGTTGTTTTTTTGCCATATCCATGCTGATCATCGAGGCCCTGGAACCAAGTAAAACCTTGGCTGTTCTGGCTTGCTAGCTTTTGACTCACCCTTGTCAAGATTTTCCTGACATGCCAACTGCTCAGCGTTTCATCATGCATAAACCCCCACCTGGAGTTAATTATCCAGTGCTTAAATGATAAATTCTGCAACTACATCTTTCATTTCTTTAGGCTTTCTGTAATTCTTTGCTTATTCATGGTAGTCTGCTGCTCTAGATATACAGAAGTAACTGCTTAATAATTCCTAACCCCTGGAACAAAATTTTTATCTTGCCTTTTTCTGAATTTATATTTATTTTATTTAAAATCATTTATAGACAAGGTTCTTTACAAAATAAAACATGCAAACAGCTATTCAAAGTACGGTAGAGCAGGTATTAAGAATTCTTGATATTTTTTTCTCTATTTTTTTTCTCTATGAGAGATTTTGAATGCTCTTTTGTACATGGTGAATCAGCAATAAATCAGTGGCCATAGAAAATCTGCAAGTTTTTTCAGTGCAAAAGAAATAAGCTCTGTATGTAGTATTTAAGCCGTTTTGAGATGGGGAGGCAAGAAATGTGAATTTAATGGCTGAATTTTCTTCTTCTTGGGGAAGCTCCTCCTCAGCATTATCAGTCCTGCTACAGTGGGCTTATTCCTATGTCAGTAATAAACTTCAGCTATGATGGAGTTCATTCTTTCAGTCTTCATCACACTCTGAACCTGGAATGAATCCTGAAATAAATCCCTGCTAAAGATTGTTTGGCTAGCTTAGATTCTACTTTGCTTTTTGAACTGTTGCAGAAATTGAGATCCCTTGTGGCAGCTTGTGGTTTTTTCCAGCTCTGGTTCATGTGACTGTCTTGCGATTCTCCATGATGCCCTGTCTTTCCTGCTCTGCCTGCTGCTTCCTAGTAAATCTCCAAACTCTGTTCTACTTTCAAGAATAGAACAGGTGAGCTATAGGCTGTTCCGTCATGTGTACGAGTTTGAGGAAGCCTTGAAGTTATAAGTTAACCTTTCTAATCCTACCCCTTTAGGCTTTCGGTCTGTCCCTCTCAAAAATGGATACAGTGAGGATATAGAGCTGGCTTCCCTCTTGGTTTATTGTGAGATGCAGCAGATCCTGGTAAGTGCAGAAGCTGTTTGACTTCCACCATCCACTAGGATGGAGACCTACCATGCACCCAAATGTCCCCTCACCAACTTGGCAGCTCTATTTGCAAAATTGGTGGTGGGATCTGAACTCCATTCATGTTGGCGGGAGCTATTTCTCTTAAACTAACTACTGCATGGGATGTATGTTCATCAGGATTAAATCTGGGGAAGGAAGGATGCTCCACCCAACACGCTGCAATCCTAATGACATTCCCCCCACCTAAAAGTATATATAAAAAAATACTGCAATGTTGTTTGAGCATCAGCACACGTATACAAATGTGTTGCAAGGTTTACCAAGCTAATGTATGTAAAAGTGCTATATAAATACCATTCTTGGGTTAGTGCCTAATAACCTCCAGCAGAGTTCTGTTTCCGGTATGGGTTTTCGCTGTAGTTTTTTCTGCAACATAGCCCTTGAAAGCCACTTTTGAGCGTTGGCAGGTCATTGAATGAGATGTTAAGCAGTGATTGCTGCTGGAAGGGAGAATAGGTGGAAATTGCAAACATGAATGGAAGTCTGCAATGCGGCAGAATTGCAGGACGGCCAGTGCCTCCCCTGCCAACGCTGGAGAACTGGGTGTTGGGGAGTTGTCCCCAGGCTGAATGTGAGCTTCCAACTTGAAATCCAGCCCTGCGCCAGCCTGCTGGATTGATTAATGGCAGACTGGCTTGGAGGGCAGGATACACACACTGGGGATGGGCCTGACAGAGCAATCAGGTTTCCCTCAAGTCCATTCCTGGGGGATTTAAAGTTGCCCATGCTAGCCCCAGCACCCAGATCTGCTCTGTCAATCCACTCATTGTTGCATTTTACATTCTGATTTGGCCTTGCTATGGCAATTGTGATCGCCGTATTCGGAGCCGGGTAGGAATTTGCCTATCAGGCGAATTGGCTATGGCCTGGGGTTTTGCCTATCTCATAGCAATCATCACAACTGGCAGTTTAGGCATTGGGCAACCTTGGTCTTAGATGGGGGGTGTTGTATCTTCGGCCTTTCCCTCCAGAAATAGGGTGTCCTGTTAAAGGGATTTGTGAAGGAGTTGCTTCTGTTCATATGCCCAGGTGGGCCTGGGCCTCAGCACTTCTCTAGGTGACAGTCCCCCTTATTTGATGTAAGTTATTGGAATCCCGGCAGGCAGGCCGGAAATACAGTCGTACCTTGGAAGTCGAACAGAATCCGTTCTGGAAGTCCGCACGGCTTCTGATTGGCCGCAGGAAGCTCCTGCAGCCAATCAGAAGCCACAGAAGCCCCATCAGATGTTTGGGTTCCAAAGAATGTTTGCAAACCGGAACACTCACTTCCTGGTTTGCGGCGTTTGGGAGCCAAAACGTTCAGACTCACAAGGTGTTTGGGATCCAAGCTACGACTGTAAATGGTTACCCCTTGCCTATGCCAAACCTCTTCATCTGTAGACAAAGTTGTGGCCTAATTTGATTTATTGCGTGGTGTCTTTTACTGGTAGCTCATTTGAGTGGAGGTGCGGGGAGTGCGTGGCCTGGGCCTGCAAGTGCCTTTGGCTTACACCCCTTTGACGCCAACCCATTTGTATTAGTAACTTTGTTGTGACTTTTCCATTCTACTCTTCTGCAGTCAGGTGTAACATGGCCCCTGATATAGACCCAGTCCAGTTCCTTTAATGGAAGAATATTGAACAATTCCTTATTAAAACCAGTGGGACAGAAGTGCTTAACTTTGATTTGATCATGGTGTGTGCATTGCAAGAAGGGCTTTCTTTTCCTTTTGAAGGAAGGTGAAGAAGATCTCTATTCATCATTTCGGCAACTACGACAACGCCAAGCAGAGCTAAACAATCAGTTATATGACACCCGACGGAACTTAAAGAATCCCAGCCGAGACGATTTATTGCAAGAGTTCAATAAGAATGAGGGTCAGCTGCAAGTGTATCAAGAGACATGCAACAGGAGGTACTTTGATGGTGACACTGCTCCCAATAAATCCCCAAACATCCTGGATAATATAGCATAAATAAAGGAAGTACAAGGAAGAGTCCAATAAATAACCGTATTTTTCGCCCTATAGGACACACTTTTCCCTATGGGGCGAATGCAGGCTTTCGCTGAAGCCTGGAGAGCGCGAGGGGTCGGTGCGCACCGACCCCTCTCGTTCTCCAGGCTTCGCGCAGCTCTCCGCAAGCTGTGGGAGCCCGCGCTGGGCTCCCACGGCTTGCGGAGAGTTGCCTGCATGTTGAAGCCTGGGCGCGCTGAGCTCAGTGCGCCCAGACTTCGCACAGCTCTCCGCAAGGTGCGGGAGCCCGGCACTGGGCTCCCACGGCTTGCGGAGAGTTGCCTGTTCTGGGGGCCGGGGTCGGGGGAAGCTCGGGCTTCCCCCCACCCCAGCCCCGTGCCGGGGGGGGGGGAATAATTTTTTTCCCCTTTATTTCCCCCCCAAAAAACTAGGTGCGCCTTATGGGACGGTGCGTCCTATAGGGCGAAAAATACAGTACCTTTGTTTCACCTTGATCTGCTAGGAACTATTTTCTCAGCCAAAATAGGCCTGGCTTCTTGAACTAGCAAACTCAAGGCAGCAGTTTTACAAAGCTAGAGAACAAGGCAGCGCCACGGTTCTAGCATATATGGAGGTGGCACATAGGGAATTAAGACTATCAAATGTTCAATAAATGTTAAGATTTAATTTACAGCTTCCTGTTTAATAATATTTATGCACCACTTGAATGTTAAAAAAGCAGTTTACAATTATGACTCTTAGTATTTTCTTTCCTTAAAATTATGTACTTCCTCAGATATCAACTGCTATATAAATGCCATGCTGGCCAGGCAGGGGACTTGGATAGATGCATGTCCTGCCACAAGGCTGACTTTTTTTCTTTGTCCTCTTTTCAGACTGAGGGAGAAGAGAGTCAGCAACAGCAAATTCTACTCCTAGAGAAACTGGGTTCCCTTTGGTGCGTTATTTATAAAGTCACCCGGTAAGAGACATTGATTTATTCTGGAAGCGCAGCTTAGAATGGAGGCTCAACAGTCAGAAAAATACGTTTTTGGCAGGGAACAAGGAAAAAATTACATTGTATATACTAGAACAATCTGTACAAAGCAACAACGCTGAAGGGTGGAGTAGCTTGTATAGTAAACCTTAGTCAGTAACAATGTGTGATGTTTGTAAAGCAAGCTTATCAGTTGAGAACTCCAAGCTCACGTGTACCACAATGATTTTGTGCCACTTGTATGACCTTTGTTTTTATGATGGCCATAATTCCAAGAGCTGTGTGTGCTTTTGAGCCTTTCCAAATCCCACCGCAACACACCTTTATCCTTTTTGCTAAGGCCTCTCTCTTGCTTCTTTTGGTAGGTGGAACTACTCTCCCAAAGTTGCCTGGCAGAAGTCTGCCACTGCCCTCAGTTGTCATCATCTGCAGTAAATTGCCTTTGAAGGCACAGCTGAAATTGCAAGGGAGAAAAAAGTACCAGCTATTATGGACTGTGCAGGGTTATTTCTACACAATGGCTTGATGAATGCCAGATTTCAAGGGGGGGGGGATTTGTGTGTTTTTTGAAATATTAACTTGTAAAATCTTATCAGATATGTTTTGGGTAGAAATTTTATTTTTAAATGTATGTATACAGCAGTGGTATGTGCGTGTGTGTGTATAAAGGCTGATTGGCACTAAAATTTACATGGGTTTGTACTATTTTGAGAGATTAAAAGGTGCCTAACAGTTAACACTTTGTTTTAGTTTTTACAAAAGCAGCTCCTTTTGCATTGGCAAATGCGTATACATGATAAAAATATGTTATGTGTGAGACACGTTTCTGGTAGGCTCATGCAAAGATGAGTGGGAATGAAAGTATCCTGTATAACTTAAGTCTGCAGGGAGATCCTTCAATCCATAGCTCAGTGTTCAAGTTATTCTGCAATGTAATGCATAACGAACAGACTTGATGCTTACCTCCCCTTAGGCTTGAAGTGCAGAAAGAGTAGATGGGCAGTGGTGTGGGGGTTGTAACCCATAGATTTGTGACTAATGGAATTTATGCTTATTAGTTACAAACCACTCACCTCATAGGCATGCCTTATTTGCAGCCTGTTACTGAAAGTTAAAAAGTGCACTAATTCTTCCTTTGCAACTGTGGTTAGAATCACAGAACTGTAGAGTTGCCAGAGAATCCAAGGGTCATCTACCCTCTGCAGTCCAGGAGCACAGGTAAAGAATCCCAACAGATGGCCATCTATCTCTGCTTAAAAACTTCCAATAAAAGATTGTCACCTTCCACCGTAGTTCTAATGATTTAGTTAATGTCACAACAACACTTTTTTGGGGGGGGGGACGACACAGCACTAAAGAAGCAATAGTGGATAAAAATTAACCACTGAGAAAATAAAACAATACTTTAACCACTATACTGTAGTTCTTTTCTGGTAAAGTGCTGGATGAGTGTCCTTTGTCTCCCTGCAGGGCGATAGAAAAAGGCACTCAATTCAAACCACGGCTTGAGAGGTGCCTAATGCCTGTCGATTGACAGATGGGTAGGGCCACTCACATGTCAAAGTGATCACTTGGTTTTGGTTCTCCAGTAACAGTGGTTCCCTGCCCCCTAGTGTAGACTAGTGGCACTCTGCATCCGGATTTGGGCATCAACAATACAGGCAATTGTGTACAAGTGTGTTCTGTAGTGATGTTTTGGAAGGCTGGCGAGTCAAAGTGCATACAGAAGAATGGGGTACTCCTCCCAGGATAGATGACATTGGCTAAAGTGAATGCAATATTTTATTTGAAAAAAATACAGACCTCCTGTACAGTAAATACAACTTAATGGGTGCGATAAAAAAAACCTTTAGACTTCCTGGTTATAAAAAGCTTTCCTCTCCCCCCTCCCATCAACCCTCAATCTGTGACCAGTATGCCACCCAAAGGGTGCACTGACATTCTTGGACAAGTACAATCTACCCATTTACAGCATAAGTAGCCTGCAACTATTTGAAACAGCAGAGCTACACACAAATTTTGATCTAATTTATTTAAATAAACTATTAAAACATCTAGCTATGCATTTATAACAGACTGCTCCAGCTAAAAATGGCCTGCAGGCAGCAGACGACAATCATTAGTCTACACTGGTTGCTTTCTTACTGCCATGTTTCTAACAAATAAATAGAAAAAATAAATAAGGGGGAAGACAGGGAGGGTAATTTTCAATCAAGAGACCCAAGTCTCTTGCATATTGAAGCAATCTACATACATAATTTTCATAATTTAAAATGTTTCTCAAAATGTATTTTTTTATTCAACACAAATTTGGAGCTGAGTTTACAAAAATTGTGTATATTTTAAAAAAGGGATGGCTAATTTATTGTTAGACAACTTCCATCGTCTTGGGCCAAGCTGGCTAGGGCTGAAGATAGTCCAAAAACATTTGGAAGGCCACAGCTTAGCCACCAATGATTTAGACAGTGCTGGTTAGGATACTTCCCCCTCTGTTACTTACAAGTTACAGAAGATCAGCAGCAGTAGAAACTAGCTGCCCTGCAAAGTGCCCCCTCTATACCCTACGGTAAAGTATTTGTTTAAAATATTCCTACCTGATAACAGAGCTCAGTTCTAACATATTACATTCAGTTACTAAAAATTCTGCACTTTTATTTCCTTAAAAAAAAGAAGGTTCAGTATCAGAACTGTACAAACGTCTGCCAGAATATGAAAGCAGAAGCAGAGCTACATCAGAGTCATGATTAAATGTGTCCCTAAGCAGAATGGTACAGTACAATCACACCCCAACAGATATGTATGTTGGAACTGGAATAATGCAGTGGAACATGCATTATAGACATACAGTGATTTGTGTATGCTTTTCGGGGAAGAGAATAGTTCAGATAGAGGCAGAGAAAAAGAAAAGCCCCATTTTCCATCAAGAACCGGAATGTCCTTTTATCATAAAGGGTAAATGGTGTCAGGTGCTGTTTTGTTTGGATCAAGAGTAGATGGTGATGACTTCTCGGCCACCACCTCTGACAAGTAACACTCGCTCCAAACCTTCGGTCAAGACCTCAAGAAATTCCATATCTGGGTCAGCTGAAGTCAAGGCAAGAAACCTCTATAGATTGACATGAATAGCCTTTATAGAATTCTATACCAAGTAAATAAAGCCTTCATGCACACTTAAAACAATCTAAAATCTCTTTGGAACAAATGTAACTCAAGGGGCACAATTCAAGTAGAGATTAACTCTCCCAGAGAGTTGAATTAACTCTTTCATTAAAGTCAATGGGACTTCAAAGAGTTTAATTCTAGCTGAATGATGCATTACTACTATAATTTGCAAATGTTAGAGAAAAATCTCTACCTGGAAACTCAGGTCCCTGTATGCCCCTCCCTTTGGGTAGAAACAGAACTGTACAGTGGTGCCTCGCAAGACGAAATTAATCCGTTCCGCGAGTGTCTTCGTCTAGAGGTTTTTTCGTCTTGCGAAGCAACCCTATTAGCGACTTAGCGGATTAGCGCTATTAGCGGTTTAGCGGCTATTAAAGGCTTAGCGGATTAGCGGATTAGCTGCTAAAAGGCTATTAGCGGCTTAGAAAAAGGGGGGGGAAAGCGAAAAAAAATCTCAAGACTCGCAAGACATTTTCGTCTTGCGAAGCAAGCCCATAGGGAAATTCGTCCTGCGAAGCAACTCAAAAACGGAAAACCCTTTCGTCTAGCGGGTTTTCTGTCTTGCGAGGCATTCGTCTTGCGGGGCACCACTGTATTTTAGTATCATTATGGCCTTTACTTTCCCACTTTCAATTTAAGAATACACAAAGTGATACAGATTGTTTTTATATCATGATGCACACAACAACATAGAACCTAAAACTAACAGATGAGTACCACGCACAGCAAAAAAATAATAATTGTAGAGTTGGAAGGGACCCCAAGGTTCATCTATTCCAACTCAGCTGTGTCTTTGTTTTATTCCTGCATTGCAAACTAACAAGCTCCAAAGGCGCTTGGGATCAGCACCAATTGAATGAAGTGTCAAAAGGAAGATGAGCTTACCTGGGGCCCAGGCCATAAACAAATAGCAGCCTGCAATCTTCCTATTGGCCAAGCAGTCTCTCTCCTGGATGCTCAGACAGTCTCTGGCTACAAGTGCCTTTTTTCAGCTCTGGCTGGTTCACCAGCTACGACTCCTTTTGAACAGAAATGATTTGTCTACTATACATAACATTGATTGGATTATTGCAATGTCCTCTACATGGGGCTGCCCTTGGAGATGACTTGGAAACTTGGCCCCAAATGCAGTGGCCAAATTATTGGCTGTGATTCCATTTAGATCACATATAACCAGTGTTCTAAATCAGCTGCATTGGTTGCCAGTTTGTTTCTGGACTCAATTCAAAGTGCCCATTTTTGTGTTTAAAGTCCTAATCAACTGAGGGCCCAAATATCTGAAAGACCACCTACTTCCCTACTTCTAAGGGCCCTCTTTCTCTGCCCTTAGAAGCTTGGGGTGGCCGCCCAGGAGGCAGCATTCTCGGCAGCAGCTCCTAAATTGTGGAACTCCTCATAGAGCTGCATCTGGCAACTTCATTATACAGTTTTCTGCAAATGCTTAAGAAGTACCTCTTTATCCCAGCCATTGACACCAGAGATGTACAGTGGTACCTCGGGTTAAGTATTTAATTCGTTCCGGAGGTCCGTTCTTAACCTGAAACTGTTCTTAACCTGAAGCACCACTTTAGCTAATGGGGCCTCCTGCTGCCGCCGCGCCGCCGGAGCACGATTTCTGTTCTCATCTTGAAACAAAGTTCTTAACCCGAGGTACTATTTCTGGGTTAGCGGAGTCTGTAACCTGAAGCGTATGTAACCTGAGGTACCACTGTATACAGTGATACCTCAGTTTTCGAACAGCTTAATTCTTGAACATTTTTGCTCCCGAACGCCACAAACCTGGAAGTGACTGTTCCGGTTTGCGAACTATTTTTGGAAGCAGAATGTCCAGCGGGGCTTCCAGAGCTTCCTGCAGCCAATCAGAAGCTGCACTTAGGTTTCCGAACAATTTGGAAGTCGAATGGACTTCCGGAACGGATTCTGTCACCTTATTTTTTAAAATTTTTAGTTTAGAAAAAGATGGTTTTAATGCTGTATTTAAAATTGTTGTAACTTGTTCTTGGACCTTAGAGTGAAGGATGGGTAATGCGTTTATTATTATAGTATTATTAATAATAATATTCATCCTTCCTCAAACTCAGATGAATCCAACTGCATAACCTCTTTTGAGTTTGTCTGCTTCTGTGTGTTTTACATGGGGTCATTAAATTGCCATGAAAAAGGATACAGTTTTCATCTCCATCAGTGTTCTTGGGAGGGCCAGGCATGTTGAGAAGAACAAGTCGTGCATCATGGGATCGGTTTACAATGACTTCGTTCAGCTTTACAGCAGTGTGCATCCTCCGGACATTTGACTGGTTTCTGTTGAAAGATCACAATTACAAGTGGTGTTAGAAGTCAGCATTTGCAAGCTTAAGAGTATTAATGAAAAGCATCGCCAACATGGAATGTTACAAAAACTTTAGTTCCCTCCCACTAAAACGCTAGGTTCTCAAGTACTGCCAAAATCTTGAAATGCTGGTGTGTGTACCCCCTTGTCCCCATTCTGCTTCTGTTTTTGGTAGGTTGTAACAGCAAACGCCACACATACAAGGTTATCAAAATGCGATTCTGTCACTTCATATCTCATTGAATGAAATATGGAATTTCCTCATTTTTGCATTGGCCCTTTTTTATACATCCTGTAAGGGCTGTATAGGAAGAGCTGTAACTAAGTGAAAAGCTAATGCCATTACATAATTTCCTATCTCAATCTCCTGGAGAAAAAGCAATCCAAGAACAAATCAAGGTACAAAGTAAAACTGAGTGAACAGGAAATCTTCAAGTGGGCAGTTAACCCGAATTACAAGCACTCTGACATGGGACAGAGGGAGAACCAAAGAAAACAAGGTTTAGGATGTTGCATTTCTTTTGGCACATTGAGGACCAAAAGGAATGGGATAGAAAGGGGGCTCGTTTTGACTAAAACAGGATGCATTTGCTGTAGCATTCCACCATCCAACCAGGATGCAAATAAAATAATTGCCAAATACCAATACACCAAGTCATGCAACATCTGCAATCTTTCTCTGACCCACAAGAAGTTCAATCTGCTCCTTTGGGCCTTCACAACTATTGCCAGCATCCTTATAAAATGGCTTCTGGCCAAATGCCCATCAACCAGCCCAATGGTCAGTTTCAACTCTGATGAAGCTAGTAAATACCTTTGCTTTTACTCTACTTTAATTTCTTAATTTAATTTAATTTTTTTGCTTCTATTTTACTTTAATTTCCAATTTATTGTAAGTGAGAACATAAGACTTCTCCTGGATCAGACCAGTTAATCATGTCTAGCAGCTACTGACGGTCTTTGCTTCCCATCCAAGAGCTACTTTAAGCACACCTAAGGACTTTGGTATGGCCCATCAGAATCTCTTAAAAACCTTTTCTCCCCGTCCTCTTCTGAGAGAGAAACTTGGGGGAGGCTTTTTGCTGTACACACACCATTTGCTGTTAAAATGCTATCCCAAACCCACACCTCCTGCCTATGCAACTGCCACCATCACATCTAGCTTGGACCTAAGAGGAGGATATAGATTTAGATTATTCAAAACAAGCAAACAAGCAAACTTACAGATTTTCCCATTCGCTGACAGCATGAAAGCAAACCGTAATAAAATTAATGTTAGCATAAAAGGAAAAATGCCAATTGTCTTGAACACAAAAAGAGAAGACATTTTAGTCTGGCCATAAGAGCAGAACAATAAATCACAGTAATCAAGATAGCCTGGTTTATTGCAAAGCGCAATCATGACCACTGCGGGAGGCAGTGGAAGACAGGAGTGCCTGGCGTGCTCTGGTCCATGGGATCACGAAGAGTCGGACACGACTAAACGACTAAACAACAACAACAATCAAGATAGCTTGGTTTATTGCAAAGCGCAATCATGACCATAGTGACCTGGTTCTCAAGGCACATTAAACCAGTTAAAACAAATGATTGTTTGATGTGGATGAGCAGTGTGCTCAAGATGTAACTGAGGGTGCTTTACTCCCCCCAACTCTTGGTGCTGCTGCTGAGAAGGAAGCCACAGTTGGATTTGTTACGACATCGAAACCCAGACTCGTGGTTGGCTTCTCTCAAAACAAACCTTGGTTTTTGCTTGGTTGCTTGGCTGACATGAATAAGTCAGACCATAGTTTGTTGTATGGCAGTAGGGGATGAGCTTGGTGCCCAAGATTTCAGATGAATGCACAGCACACTGCTTGCTCCCATGAAACAATGGTTTATTTTAATGATGGCTTAATGTGACATGTGGATCAGGTCACATGATGTCCTTCAACACACTCATTCTCCAGCAACCTTTAAGTCCCTCCCTGCATTTTCCTTCCTCAGCTCCTACACCACTCCTTATCTTTGCCTCCAGTCTGACATCACAAGGCCCATAGCAATATGAGAATCTCACAACCCCACTCTGCTATCAATGCTCTCAGCATGCAAATGAGCCACACTTTCAGATAACTAGTGCATTACCAAAGAGGCATGTATCACTGTATGCGTTCCTGGCCTCCCAATGCCAGCAGAGTCCATCCCACCCTTTGTGGAAGAAACACCATTTCAAATACTTCGCTCTTGTGCTGCCAAACCAAAAGGCAAAATATAAAGCCTAAGCCCCCAATGATGCTACAGACGTGGATTAAGGTGTGGACATCCTGGCTCAGAAGGAACCTCTGCACTTACGGTTTAATACTGATGAGCTCTCGGAAGTTCTCCACTGCATTGTTACGGATTCGCTTATCAGAGTCGCATTTCTCCTTTGTCCATGTCATCTGGATCCTTTCTGGGACTGCTTCCCCTTCATCTTCCTCATCGGAGTACAGGCTCTCTAACCTTATGATAGAGTGCCTGTCCTTCACCAGCTGAGCCTGGAAGAATAAACATGCAGGTATATTGTTTTCAGAAGTCAACAGTCTATGGCTCTTCTACTTAATGCTTTTTGAGAGTCAGCAGCTGGAAATGATTGAGGAGGAAAGAGATTTTGAAATGTCTTGGTACAGCACAAGAAGGCAAAGAGCTATCAATGCAACTGTGGCCCAGACCTCAAATTACAGGGGAGATTGCTCTCTCAACTGCTGTTTTTGAAGCTTACAGAAGGGCTAGGATTCTGCTAAAGGTGTGTGTGCATGTGTGTAGGTCACATGGATTTCATTAAGGGGAGGGGGGGCTACCACCTTTCCCACAATCCAAGCTTTGGTAAGGCCTTGCAAATGCAACAACATTTGCAGCAGGCTTGTAAACAGCCCCTGGTAAGGCCAGCTTTTGCGAGTCAAGGCTGTGCTTCCAGGTGACCAAGCAGGCAAGAACAGAAGAAAAGAAGAAGAGCTCTATTGGAACAGACCACTTCCCTAAACAGATGCCTATGGAAAGCACATAAGGGGGGCTAGAGCAAATCAGCTCTCTCCCGCAGTTGTTCCTAGCAACTGGTATTCAGAAGCACTGGAGGTAACATACAGCAGGTTTTAGCCATAATTTTATACACCAGTCATGTTCCCACATTCTCAATAGCCCCAAAGGTTGCAATCTTTCTTCACAGAGGAACCGATCCAGCTCCTTGATCATTTGCGCTGCTCTTTTCCTCAGCTCTACCAATACCCTTTTTTAGATGTGAGGATCAGAACTGTACACTGTATTCCGAGGGCAGCTACATCATCAATTTGTATAAAGGCATTATGATACTGGCTGATATGTTATTGGCAGTTCTCATTTTTAGTCCTGTTCCTAATGATGCTGCCAACCTCTCCTCTTTCAAGCTCCCAAAGGTACATGTGGGCACAATGACAAGTAAAAACATTTGTGGGCTTATACACAAGGCTGACTGACTGAGAGAAACAAGGATTTTGTTTTGGCAAAACAGACACTTGCATTTAGAAACATGAGAGCACCACTGAAAACTGAGGCGTAGGAGTGAAACTTGTTGCAGGTGTTTGGGCACAAAAGACTAGGTTTTAAGTGCAAACTTCATTTCAATGCATATGCCCGATTCCAATGGCGGGGGGGGGGGGGGATGTGAAACACATATCTTAAAGCAATCACTTCCTGATTCCCCATTGTCTGAGGTGGGATGGGTGGCAACCAGACAGTGGTGGCATTTCATTTATGGCCGAACCTCCCAAGTGAAGTTTCCCAGAATAGCATTTTTTAAAATAACCCTTTTTTTCCAATACGGTGAGGTGAACGTGGCAATTAGAGAAGAATTGGTGAAAGAGGTGTCTGCAGATTTTGGGACACGTTCATCAACACTTTACATGATTTGATACCAAAGCAAAACATACCTCTCTTTCTCTTTCTGTTTTGGTCAATCTCATCTGCCTCAGCATCTGAGATCTCTGCTCCATCATCAGAGTCCGTTCGTAAGTGTAGGCGGAGATATCGCTGTTTTGCTATGAAAACAAGAACAACAGTCTTATAGCTACACACAATGCATTGTCCCAAACCCCGATCGACCACAGAACAAGATAAACCGCATTACCATTTCCACTACTTCTACTTCAGCCTCTATTCGGAGGTGGTAGAGGAAGGTGGCCAGGTCTTTCTTCATCTGGATGCTGTTGTCATCCATCTGAGCTACAGTGAAAATTCTCATTTTACATTTTCGCCAAACCTGTAGAAGCAGAAAATATATGTGTATCTTCTCAAAACTTTCGAACATGTATGCAGAGCCTGTAGAACCTGGTAGTATGCAAGGCTGCACAAACCTTTAAAAAGACAAAGCGAAAAAACCACTCTTTTAAGTTTTATAAATGCAAGGGAAACCTGCCTGAAACCCTGGAGAGCCACTGTCAGCCTGCATCAACAATACAAAGCTAGGTGGACCAAGGGTCTGATTTATATAAGGAGCTTCCTGTGTTCCCAAGTTACATAGTTGTGTATAAATGTGTGAAGGGCTGTAAGCTCAGTTGTACAGCACATGCCTTGCATGCAAAAAGTCACAGGTATCTCCAGACAGGGCTGCGGAAAGCTCCTTCCTAGAACTCAAGAGTCAAAGCCAACCTTAGTAGTAGAAAATAGTGAGCTAGAGCGACCAATGGTCTGACTTGGTATTCAAACAGCTACCAATATTCTGACACTGAGATAGGAAAATAGTGTGCATGACATGCTACACCAGGATGGGGCTGATGGGAACTGTAGCCCAGAACACCAGGTTGAGAAGTGCTGCATTACTAAAAAGTAGGTGATTGTCAACATTTGACTCTCCTAATCAGAGCACTGGGCACCTCCAAATCACCAGCTGAGGTTGTTTGTCTCCTTCCCAAATGCTGCAGCAACAGTCATGCCAAAATAGCAATGGCAGTCTGAGACCTCAGCAGAAAGAGTTCCTCTTCTTGGATGGACTTTCTGTGTAACTTCCTGTTTCATGCGACTGTCAGTTCTTAGAGCAGCACCTACAAATGAAGCTAAGTAAATTTCAACCATATGGACCGACTGCCAAGATTACTCTTCAAATGTTGCTAGTTTCGAAGGCTACTGCTTCTGTTGATTTATATATGGTTTTCACTATATTTTGTTGAGCATTTTTCTAAAATGGTTTTTGGATGTGCACTCTTTTTTAGAAACCTTGTAGGTTGCTTGGGTGCTTTCAGGCAGAGCCAGTTATACAAAATAATAAGCTAGTGGTCACATCCGCATCATACATTTAAAGTGCTAGGAAAACACCTTAAACAGTCACAGCTTCCTCCAAAAAATTCTGGAAGGGTGGATGAGAATTGTTAGGAGCCACCATTCCACTGCTAGAGCTACAATTCCTGGAAGTGGTTTCACTATCAATCCCTCTTCACAGGGAACTTGGAAGAACTGTAGCTCTGGGGGGGGGGGGATTGTCAGCACCCTTAACAGATGACAGCTCCCAGAATTATTTGGGGGAAGAAATGAATGTTTAAAGTGGTATCATAACGTTTTAAATGTATGGTGTGAACGTGGCCAGTATTCCACAGCTTGCATTGACATACACAAGCAAATGGGTGAGCCCAACCTGTCCATCTGGCTCCTGGCACTCTTACTTTATGCTGTTTGAGCAGAAAAGGAAGCAGCATCAGCATGCCTCCATCATGCACAATCCACCAGACGTCGATGTTCCCTTCATTGTAACGCTCATGATTGCCAGGGTAGAAGGAAACGTTTTTGGGCACCAGCAAGGCAAGGTGGGCTGCAGTTGTACAGCGTACAGTGTCTGGAGGCAAAAGGAATAAAGATGCATTGTAATACAAAGCAAACAGGATTGTGCGACACTAACCTGCCTTCCTACTAGTGGGTGGCTTTGGCTGTCCCCCTTAGTCCCAGTGATGCTCTTGTAGAACTCAACAGGGAGGAGGATGGAAGCTAAACTAGAGTCAGTTGGCTCAGCCTCTCATCGGCTGTGGCTCCACCTAATGTTGGCCACTCTGCCTTCCACCCTACCAGAACCAATGGAGAGCAGCCACTACTGATGCAAAGCACAGGCAGAGATACACACAATGACATCAAAGCATAGTGAAAGTCAACACCAGCTGCAATAAATGGGGAAGGGGGAATTCAAAGTGATGCTACCACTCCAGAGGCAGCTTTCTTTTTTTTTGGAAACACACCATTCCACCCCAAATTGGGCTTTCTACTATGAGAAACCAAATTTACAGCATTTTTCACACATCAAGAGCAAGAACACCAACCAACATCCTAAGAACTTGCCTATAAAGGTTTTCCAGGCTCTTGAGTCTTCACTTTGCCTCCAGCCATACGGCCACCCCAGGACCACTGTGTTATGCTTCATGCCTCCCAATCCGCACGACTGTATCAAGTGGGAAATGCCATCCCGGACTTTATTAGCTACAACGACTTGGCAAAATCCTTTCACCTTCTCAATCTCGATCATATTCTTGATTGTCTGTAAGACAGCCAACAGGATTAAGGTCAACCCTCATGGGGCAATTAAAAAACATTAGAACATGCAAACAGATTTCTCCACTTGCACATGTTGACTTGCATTTATGGGAGGGTCCTCCTTACCAAAAGAATAATTAGTACAGGGATTTCCAAGAAATAGATTTATATATGTGGCCATGTTGGCTGAAACAGAGGGATGCCTGAGCAAGATTTCTGAAGGTTGTAAAAATGGTGTCTGTGTCTGCTCTCTACTCACAATTAACAAAGAGGGAATATACAGCATAAATTTTGCAAATAACAAGAAACTGCACAGTACGATCTATCTGCATAACTTTTAAGTGTATGCATTTAAATTATTGTTTCTTTATTATTCTCCTCCTCTCAGATTCCCAGGGCAGATTATGAAATTTCAACACACAAGAAAACAAATGAAAAAAACTTACAGAAATACATGAAAAAAAATATGTAGAGGAGCATAACACATGCACACCAGCAAAGACAAAATAGATAAAGTTAACTTTAAAGGTCTGGAAAAAAATAAGTCTTGCCTTAGAACCAAAATGATGTCAGACCAGCCTCTCTAGGTAGAGCATTCCATAATGGCTGCCACCACTGGGAAAGCTCTTTCCTCAGCAACCTCTCACCATAACTCAAGATGGCGGAGAAACCCAGGAAAAGGTCCCTGATTAAAATATTAGTGTATAAGCAACTCCCGGTTTGTGCAGGGGTGGCATCAGGTAATTGCATGTGTAGCCCACCCCGCCCCTGCCCCGTTCCACACCCTTTCGGAGCCGAAAATGGCACATGCTTGGGCAGTCACACGCCAGTCAAATGCATGCAAAATGGTCAGTCTGTACTGACAAGCAAACTTAAAGGTCCTGATCTCAAGACCAGAACTCTAAATGGAGCCCAGAAACAAGTCTCATTGACACAGCACAATTTCACGTTTTTGGTAGAGAATTTAAATTATTTTTTTTAGTGTGGAGGACACACAGCCTTTGCTGGGAAAAAAGCCTTGAATAAACAAAACAACACTGCACTCAGACATTCTTTAGTCTTTGGTTCAGCTGAAGCCTTAGCACATCTCTGAAAACACATTATTGGCTAGAAAACGATTTGCTTGCCTGCCAAGAGGCTTTTTCTGGATGGAGCCTCAGGCCTTAGAAAGCCATAAACTTTCTTGCCAAATGCTCTATGATACGTACACTTTGTGTTTAGACTCCCCCCCCCCATGCCCACCTGTTCAGCCGCCTGTGCTTCTCCATAGCTCTCCAGGAAGTTGCCTTGTATCGCTGTTCCAATGATGGTCAGTCCCTTGCCGGCTTTCAGCTGAGAAGCAAACGTCAACAGTCTGGGGTATTTCACATGCAAATCTTCGTCCAGTTTCAGAAGCACCAACAGCTGCGGTCTGAAAAGAGAGGAAAAGAAACGGTTTGGGGGCCAGGTTTTTGAATATTAAGCAGCTCTTAAGGAGCACTCTGGCTTGGAAGCATTGAAGAGCTATTTCACCAGCTGGCTTTTATATATTCAGACAGTTTTCACTAGGAGACTGGCTCATCAAAAATTCAGTTCACATGGGAAGTTCACATCTAAATCTAAGCCAAACAGGCTGAAGGCTGCATACTAAATAAAGCTACCCACCCAGACTTTCAAGGGCCTGACTGGGGCCTGGGGGTGGGGGGGAGACAGCTGGATCACCATATTTATTTGCGCAACATGTGTGACATTTCTATGAAAGAGGACCATACAGCCAGAAAGTATGTAACAATTTGATTTATGACAGGGCTTTTCATATTAGTGTTCCTAGAATGCTGAGGCAATCCTTCATGAGAAACTCAGTAATAGCAGAAAAACTTGTCTGAAAGACAGTTCCAACACCATTTGTTTCTTCTCCCTCTCTCCAAGGAGCTCAGTGTGGCGTATATGGCTACTTGCTCCCAATTTAGTCTTCTGACAATCCTGTGAGGATGGCTAGGCCCAAGGTCACCCAGTGAGCTTCATTCATGAACGGCTGCCAGGTCCTAGTCCAACACTTTAAGCATTGCTCAACACTGGCTAATTGCTATGCCTCTCTCATTACGACTCTTTCCCTGCAATAAGTAGCCTTGGAGAAGTGGAGGGTGTGCATGAGGGTGTGATCTTTAGTTGCATAAACCCAAGCAGGACATTAGACATGGTGACATGGGAGGAGATGGAAGAAGCAACAGAACCTTATGTGAAAATTACAATATCTAAGGCAAGAGGTTCATAGCTTAAAACTGTGCATTGCTGAAATGTTTCATTTTGGTTGTCTTCAGTTTGGCTCCTACTAGTTCTCTGCAGACAGTCTTCCAGCATTTTTGTATTGGAGGGAAGAATCTGCACATAAGAGCCTCTTCCACACATGTTTTTTAAAATAAGTAAAAAGTCCTGCATCAAGGGGCTTGCAAAATAAGCATTATTTTGATTTCATGCAAGTTCAGAATCTGGGGAAAACACAACTCTCCATTTCATTAACTGGGAAGAAACAACAAGAAGTCACCTCCAGTTCTTGGTGTGTGGGGGCCCTTCTTCCAATCTCAGCAGAGCATATCGGGCAGCACTTAGAGACAAGCCCCGGATCCCATCACCCCATTCCTTCTCCGCCCTGTAAAACACAATTTACAAAATTAAGCCAGCTTAGGGCGCGACTCCCTTTCCAGAAAAAACTGTATTTAGATCACTTATTTGGTGTCTCACAGTATAAATGGACTTCCCATGACTATAATAATTTAATAATAATTTATTATTTCTACTCCGCCCATCTGGCTGGGCTTCCCTAGCTAGACATCCATATTCTATTCATTTGTTACCCTTGTATCTCACTCTTCCTTTGGGAATCATAGAACAGTTTACATAAAGTTCCCAGAGTTCTCCCTATATAACAGGGAGGTGTTCCTTACCATTTGGCCAGACAGACAATGACTTCCAGGTGGTGGGAATTCAACACTATGTTTGAAGGGCCACATGCTCCCCTTCCTACCGTACTAACACTGGCCAGGTTTAGACCCACTTAGAGAGGACAATGCAACAGTACATATTTCTAGAACATTCACTGGACTATGTGCTTTCAAAGGGTGGGTTCATCCACACTTCCACTTGCCCGCTGTTTCCCAAGGGGTAACCCACTGTTTATCGCTGAATCAGAGCAAAAGTCAATTGGGTTTTCTCTGAATTGACGTTTGCTCTGATTTCGCACTAAAGAGCCAGTTTTCCAAGGGAAAGCAGCAAGGCAAAGACAAAACCTCTTGGACCCATGCCTAGAAAACACAGGGCAAGCAGAAAACCACTCAGTTTTCTAGGCATGGGACAAGCAGAAGTGTGGACAAGCCCAAAGTCATTTGTTTGCCCAAAGACTTCCACAATGATATTTCCTCTCCTCTGCTCCCACTATTTCAAGAACTGCCCCTGTGGAGCAGATGGGGGTGGGGGTGGGGAAGCTCTGTTGTGCAAGTAGAAAACCTTGCGTGACTAGAACAACTTTGTTGGACACAACCCATAACAATTCAGAAATTAAATGATAGAATTAAGCATCCTTCGGAAGATCCAATTCAGGGCTTCCCAGGGTATAGCTACTGTTAAACGGATAGCTCTGTGTGCATGCATACACCCACACCCAGCAATCACATTATCATGTTATTTTGATCAAAAGCTACTTACCCCTGGTATTCAATGTACTTGTAAATCATGCCTGCAATGAGCATTGCCACTAAAGCATAATACCAGGAGGAGATGAACATCAGCGCAAGGCAGATACTCATGCCTAAAAAGGACAAGGCCCTGAAGGAAACAAAAATCAAATGTTAGCACATATTTAGAGCTGGTTCACACATGCATGGGCATTCCTTGATTTTGTTACCCTTGGTGATCAGCGGCTGAATGTGCAGATTCCACCGAACAGGACTGTGTTGGAGGTGATACGGGAACTCTTATCTGTAATTTTATATATCAGTGATGGCTCATTCACACATGCAGATCATCACCTGATGTTGCGTTGTCATCATGCAAAGGGCACATTTGTATAAATGGTCTGCTGAAAAGCATTTCCAAAACTCTTAGCTTTCCACTTTTAGCTTTTCACACACTCTCAAGTGCCCTAACCCTTATTGAGGAGGGATCAAATGGCTATATGAATAAGCTTGTGAGACACGCTCTCTCTCTATCAACTTACCAGTGGTAGTACTTAAATCTGGGCCTCCAGTTTGGAGTTCTTAGGAGTGTTTGCACCGCACAGGCTAAGTTGACAAACAAGTAACACATCAAGAAAAACCTAGTTGAGGGAGGAAACAGAGAAAAGCACATCACATTTAGGTCTGGGCCCACTGCAGAGAACAAAGCACAAAATTCACAACTAACATAATGAAGACCGGTGTGAGAAAATGGGTTTTAAATTAACACAACCAATTTAAATTGCTTTTATAGTAACCCTCCAATCTAAAATTTCCAATATTTGGGGAGAAACTTTAGTGATACAGTACTGTTGTAAGTCTGTAGGATACGCATGTCTTGAGGTTTCTATTTGGATATATCCAGGTTCAAATTCTTTCTTGGGTATGGATGGCCTTAGACAACCCCTCACACATGTTCCAAAGCCAAAATCCTGAATTGAACCCACTGGGAGAAGAGAGTAATACAAATTTATATTAAAGACAGGCTCTCTCTCTCTCAACCTCCTAATTACCCAGGCCTTGGCCCAGTCAACATATGGTAGCTACCAGCTCTAGTCAAGCCCTAGAGTTCAAGGGAATTTGCAGGCCTTGGCACATGTGTATTGTTGCACTGGCCAGGAGTGTAAGCCAGGAATTCCTTCTATACAGGTGGCCCTTAGGGCAGGCTACTGTTCTCTCATTTGCACCTCTACTCCTCTACTGAATCTATGATGCTGACCTATGTTGCAAGACATGCAAAACACTACAGACACTTAGAAAGTGCTATCAAAATGTTTTATATTATTACACCTGGAGGGAGTTCAAAGGATGTCGTGTGGAACTTTCTTATCCCTGGTGACATGCTGATATCCATTAGAGTCAGGCCTGTACAACATGTGAGCCACCAAGCCAAACATCAAGCCACTTGCCCTGGTATTCTTGGTGCTAAAAATCAGCAGAGGCGGCTGCCTGTTAGCTGACAAGCCACCATACATGGCACATGGGTTTGGTTCAGCACTGTAGACCATAAGCTGTGCAGGCCTGGACTACAAGGTTATCAGTGTTGTCGCTTCCTAACCCAGAATAGGAAGAAGCATTTGAGTGATGAAAATTCAGGTCCTGTTGTCCTTTGTACATTGTTCAATCCTGGCCTGAACTACTTAGCATCAGGGTTTGACTCTGTCAACTTGGATTTGGCCTCATTGGTTCATAAACTGCCATGGCAGCTGGGCTTGGTGGCATTTTACCCCTGAACTGAACACCTCCCAATCCTTTTGTTTAACTGTGACAAACTGGAGCCACCACTAAGTGGCGCTGGAGGCTTACATTCTACAGCTGGCCGCTGAAAGCAGAGAAGCATACAATTGCCATCCTGTTTCATGCTGCAATAGTTTTCCAAAAAGGCACATAAACTGTGTTCCTGGGAACTTGTTTTCTCTGAAATAAGCTACTATCCACCTTCCTCTGCAGTGCACAGCCAGCATGTCTTATTAGGTACACTCTTAGTACATACACAACCCTATAGCTCAATGGACCTGGTCAGCAGTCTCCACAAAATCAACTGTGCACTTTAGCACAATTTCCAGAATTGCCTGTGGTATGCAAGGTTTCCTGGGCAGACAAGTCTATGTGGAAAGCAAAGCTGAAGTATAATGGCACCTCCTACTTCACCAAGACTCACAGGCAATCAAAGTGTGCAGCAGATTTTCAGCTAGTTTCAGCTAGTTCATGGCTACGGGGTGCAAAATCACTGGTGCATTTCTTCTTGGCTCCTCCTAGCTACCAGCTACCATCTTTAATTCCCCATAATGTCCCTAGTTATGACACAGTATCATTCCAAGGGGCATTTTAGTGGATTTAAAAAGTTACAACCAGCAGCCACAGCAAAGAACCAGGACGTCTTAGTGACTTTTGTGATCCTTGCCTTCAAAATTCATCCCCACTAAATTTTGTTTTAAAAAAACCTTTAATACAGCTGGTCTGCTTCTATTAAGTGCTGCTAATACAAAACCTATTTTATGGCAGTAAAACTTCTGGGGGTAAAACTCACATAGAAAGAATCGGGGCCACCATGTCAAGGGATGCAATAAGAATGCCGAGTTCCGCGATCAGTGCTGTGAGCAGAAGGGCCCAGGTTGGCTCACCATTTGCCTTCCCGTGGCCAAACACCTGTAAAGAGAGATTGCAGAACACAATGAGTTTGCAGTGCCTCATTTAAGTTTTGAACAGTTTATAGAAAGCATCTAAAGCTTGTGCTGGAAGTGAGGCAGGGGGGATAGAGAGTGTAGTACTTTCCAGGCATTTATTTGTGAAGAATCAAAATGTGCATTATAGCTCCAAGGGGAGGCATCTCAGCCTTTTCCCACCCAAAAAACATTTAGTAGAACATCTGTAGGGAGCCCTCACATGTACAAGAGATGATGATGATGATGATGATGATGATGATGATAATTTATTTCTACCCAGCCACTCTGGGTGGCTTCCAACAACAAAAGTGAACGCCTGAAACAGGCCAGCTCTCTGATAGCTACCAGTTTTCCACTGCTCAGTATATATGACCATCATAAGCTCCCCCCTCACTAATAATTTTATTATTAGTAGTAGTATTTTCCCTCTGGGTTCTTCACCCCTACACCACTAGAGTTCCCTCCTTGGGTTTATTTTTAATTAGGAGTAAAAGCTTGCTTTCTTAAAAGACATGGAATCTAGCCTTCTCAATCAAAGAGTCAGCTTCCTGTTAGGACCCTATTTATGCCTCAGGGAGCACACCAAGCTCCCAGATTCATAAGGCTCTTTTCCAGGAACTTGCTTGGTGCAACATGTACCAACCCATAAGAAAGGAATGATGTTGTCCTTGGCGATTGCTTGAAGCAGCCGAGGGGCACCAGTGAGGCTCTGCAAACCTGCTCCGCAAGTAGAGAAAAACGAGCCTATCACAATGACCCACGGCGAGGGCCACGCAAGGGTGCCCACCACTAAGTTCCTGTTCACGGCATCACCATATCTGCAGAAAAGATGGGAACGAGTCGAATGAAAAGAAGCCTTGGATTTCATTAAATGGTGAAATGTATTTTTCCAAGTAAATTTCAAGATGCATTTCCTAAAATGAGTTACTGTTTATGCAAACAATTTAAATTTAATGCTTTAAATATTAGGGCATAATGAAGTGGTTACAAACAGCATTGTTACTTACTAGAGGTCTTTAAGTAGAAGTTGGACAGCCATCGGCTGGAGACCCTCAAGCTTTGAATGTCCTGCATCTAGCAGGGGGTTGGACCATATGGCCCTCAACACACCCACACCCACCCCTACCTGATTCTTAAGTACACAGGAAACTTTGATCAGTGTGGATATACAAAATGATATATAAAGATGGTCTTTGACTTGGTGGCTCACATCTCTAACTGGATATGCAATTTCAGATGCAAAAGTAGCTGGCTACAAAATGTCTGTTATTTTTGACTGCAGATGCCATGCAATCCCTTCCCACAACAGTGTCCCCGTTAACACACAATGCTAAGCCAAACCATGACTTACCACAAACAATAAAATGGAGAGTTCTCTCTTTCCTGGAGAGGAGATCACAGCCACTTTCCTACTCCTCAACGATTTTGCTGCAGTGCTGCACTAAGCCATGGTTTGGCTTAGCATGGGGCTTGTGGTTTAACCCTTCCAGACAAACCATGAACTCTAAAGCATAGGCCAAACCTTGGTTACAGTTTTGCTTGCATAGAATCAACACACACACACACACACACACACAGAGAGAGAGAGAGAGAGAGAGAGAGAGAGAGCGCCTTGCACATCAGCAGCTGAAATTGGTAAATGTGATACAGAATGAACAAATATCAGGCAATATGATGAAGAGAAAGGTAATTCCACACAGCAAAACTGAGAGGCAAAGCCATGATTTTGACCACATCGTTATACACATGAAAGTAAAGCAGAAATTTAATGGTTACTTACTTATCTCTAAGAACAACACCTTCAATGCAAGCACCAAATAGCAGCACACAGCTGAAATCTGAAGGTGCACATTCCATTAAAGAAACCAGCCTGATTTCTGACAGTGTCAATAAGATGCAACACATCCCTATAACTATAACACTTGCCATAAAAATCCTTACATATTCCTATAGAGTTGGGGTAGGGAGCCTGTGGCCCTCTAGATGCTGTTGGACTCCCATACCCATCACCCCCAGCCAGCATGGGCCAGTGCCACTCAAACTGCATAATGTTGCACTGCATAGGTAAATCATAAGTTTAAGGGCAAGGGTGGGGAACCTTTGGCCTGAAGGTCAATCTCAGCCCACCAGGATGTCCAATTAGGCCTGTGAATCCATTTCCTCAACTCTACATCTACCTGTTTATCAGTTCGTGTCACTGGGTGACATCAACTGATGGGCATGGTGATGGGCAGGGTTCAATCCTGCTGGATGCTACTTCACCAGTGCATGTCCTTCAGGGAACATGCTGACGAAGCACCCCCCACCAACCAGTCAACTGTAATGTGCAAGTGGGACCACCCACCTATCAGTCACTTGGCATCAAAATAACAGCAGAAGATTGACAAGTGTCAAAATTGGCCTGCAGGGTGGATGGGTGAGATAAAGATCTGACCTGACAATCCAAAAAGGTTCTCTATCCCTGGTCTAAAAAGGGGCGGGGGGAGTGACTTGTAGATGGGACCAGTTACTAAAATGACACTTAGACGGAGATAAGCGTTAGGTTGGAACATAGGATAATAGATGTCAAAATATGCAGTGTTAGGATAACAGCTAGGGCCAGAGGCAGATGTATTAGTGTAGAATCCTGAAACATTGGAAACTATTATTTAAGAAAATGTTACTCAATTCGCTACTTAAATAGGAAGCAGACCACTCCAGTGTGAAGCAGAGCTGGGGTTGAGTAGGCATACAAAGGAAGAGTCCTACTGCTTCCTCCAAGTCAGTTGGTGGTGGCAGCAGGAACCTAAGGGAAGTGTGGACCCAGTGGAGTATCTGTGAGGGCCTACACTTAGGGACAACCTAAGGACAGACCCTTGCAAAAAAAACTGCAGGAAAATCACAATGGGCAAACAGTCTGACCTAGTATGGGGCAGCTTATTTATTAGAACCACCACAATCTTTTTTTTAATTTTTTTTTTTTTTTTTTTAGGATACAGACTAGAGACGTAGTTATAATAGCTAGGATAGTTCCAACAGGAATAGACTTCTGGGCATCTTTGAGGTCTCCAGATCGGTTTGAGCCAGCCATGATCCCTTAAAAGAAAAGCAAGAACGTAGGAATGAGAAGCACTTCTCCCACACACAGAGTTCCAAAGTGCCCAGAGGTATAAAAAATCTGCCCGTCTCCGTATTCTCACCTGTCACTGAAGGGAAGAAGATGCCAACGAGCACTGTGAAGGAAGTTGCTATGTCTGCATAAACGTAAAGGTGAAGGTTGTTCTTATGTCCAGCCACATCAACAGATGGGCGACCAGCTTTCTCCAGAATCTCACCTTTCTCCAAGTAATTGCTCCAGATGTTATCTGGGGTGGGGGAGCAAAGGAGCACAGAGTGAACAAATAACTTACTGAATGAAACATCTGCCCACTTTCTTTGTTAGGCATAAGGAAAATGTTACCAGAGGATTATTTTTTAGTTAGTCCAATATTGTATCAGGTACCCTATTGTTCAGGAGTAGCACTCTCTTCCTCTTTCTCTCTCATATATATACACACAAAGTCATTGGGGGGGGGAGTGCACCACCCTCTTTGAATTCTGTGGTTTTACATATTAAGACATAATAACAATCATCAGTTCTTAGCAAGTCTTAAAATTAGGTAAATACAACCTCAGATGAACAACAGCACATGACATATTACACCGTGTCATAATTTAACACTGACTTGGGGGAGGCACAAGCTTACCCAGGTTCTGCATCTAAAGCAAGTAGGTTCTACAACTTGTATAAATCATATAGTTTTTTCTTCTGTAGCTAGGAAAAGCAAAGAGCTTCACAGGAGGACCCCATATCTCCACACTATGACCAATGGAGAACTCATTCAGAACTCTTTCTACACACTAAGCAGTTAAGAATTTAGTGTCTTGAATTTCTTTTTTAAATCCAAAAGAAGGAATATTTTCAGGAAGGGTTATTCTGTACCTGATCCTAAGTACAAAGCAGTGTGCTGCAAACATTCAGGTGTGTCACATCACTGACTTTAAGCTCATATTTTAAGCCCACATTTTCAGTGTAACTTCTGGCGTACCCTTTAGTACTATTTTAACGAAACCTAAGTATGTTTAACTGAAGGAAACACACATTCTTCCCCTTTTTACTCTCCCTTCCCCATTCCTCCATAGTCTCCCCTGTGTTGAATTTCAGGTTACAAGCGCCTTTGTAAAGCACAATGCACACTGCTTGAGAAACAGAAATAATTAGAAAGGAAGGAAGCAGCCTTATGCAGAATCAGATCACCAGTCCATCTAACTCAGTGTAGTGTCACACTAACTGGCAGTGGCTCTCTAGGATTTCAGATAGGATATTTCCTTTCCTATAAATGCTAGGGGATTGACACTGGGACTTCCTGAATACAAAACATGTGTTTCACCAAGGCCTTTGACCATAACCAGTGCCAGTGCCATCATTATGCCAACTAGGCAGTCGCCTAGGGCACAGATCTCACAGGGGCGCATGACTGACCTCTGAATGGTACAGTTTTATACTGATTCCTTTGTTATATCTTGTACGTTTCTGATAATATTTCACTTTTATTTTGTATTTTGAACGCAGTTTCTCAAAGTTCAAACTTATTAAAAACTCACATATGCTCAACAATGTTGCAGAAGAGGCTAGTTGGCTTGGCAACTATATCAACTGAACAAGCCCAAACATCAGCACTTGACCTGGAGGATTGGTGACAAATTTTGCAAAGGAAAAGATTTTGATGTGCCTAGATTGGAAACTTTGAAGAGACTTACATTTTAACATCACAATTCGCAAGATTATTCAAAACGATTTGTGTGCTAAAACATTTTCTTTTGCATTTGAGAAAGACTGTCAAAGATTGTTGCATAACTTTTTATTGCAATTTAAAATAAATTTAGCAATTAGGTTTTGGGCTTTCCATTTTTCCTACAAACCATCTGTTTTCGGAAAACTTAGGTTAGAATCGGGGGCGGGGGGAGTGCAAGTAGTTAGCCTTGCCAAGGGTGCATAATATCCTGGCACTGGAACTGGGCATGTTCCAATAATAGTAGAGAATCACACGGTAATATCTTTGCCTCTACCTTTCAAAATGCCACTAGCAGCTCCAGGAATCCCTACAATCTCAGTAACGTTGTTGAACTGGAAATACTCATCACAGAATCCAGAGGTTATATTGAAGCCTGGGCAGAAGAGTTCCGTCAACTGGGAGGGCACAGTGACGTTGCCAGCGACTGTAGTTTTGGCACAAACATCAAACTGGTCCCTTGAAAGAGTCCTGTTGCCTAACATGCAAACTCTGGGAAGACACACAAGGTTTGCAGATTTGTTATACATAAGCTTCATAGATTTCTTGCAAATCCACAAAAGAAAAGCTCTCCCCTGAAGTCCATAAAAAAGCAGCAGAAAGTAGATCACTTTTGAAATGCAGGAATACAACAAGAGCTTTGCTGGATCAGACCAAAAGTCCACCACCTCCTCAAGCATCCTGCTTCCCAGTCACCGATCAGATGCTCCCAGGAAGCCCAAGAGGAGGCCATGAAGGAGCCAGCCCTTTCTGGCTGTTGCTCCCCAGGAACTAGTATTTGGTGACCTCTGAACCTTAAGTTTTGACAAAGCTATTATGATTTGTAGCCTTATTCTCCATGACTCTGCCTAATCTTCTTTAAACTCATCTAAGCTAGTGGTCATCAGCATACTTTATGACACCAAATTCCATAAATTCCGTTTGTGTTATATGAAGCAGGTAGGTGATTGACTGATTAATCTTGTGCTGATTAGTGCAAGTATTAGGAATGCACATTAATTCTACAAAACACTACCATTTCTTTTCTCTGTCATCTTTTTTTCTTCTATACTACAGAAAACTACCCTCAAGCATTTTAGTCTTTCCATGCAGAGAAAAATGCAACCTAAACATTTGGAGGACCCTTTTCTGCACTTTTCCTTTGCTCTAAAAAGGCACTGAAGGTCTTCTTTTCTCTTAAATGCTCATTATCTCTTGCTCTTCCCTATGTTCCTTCCCTAAACTTGCATTTCTCCCTCCCTTAAAGTTAATCTAGATGTGGGAAAACTTTTCTCTCCATTGAGGGCCAACATTTGTATTTTCATCCTTATTTTTCAGGTGTGTGGACTGGATTGGAAGGGGCAGTATTTCATTTGATAAAAATAAATTTATGCAGGTTCCCCTCTTTTCCCAGCTGTATGGGCTTAGGGGGGGAAAGCTCCATCTTCCAACCCAACAGCTAGGATTTTTTTTCTTTTCATTGATAGCACTATTGTAAGGAGATTTCAAACAACTCTGTTTCAATTGTTGGCATTTACTTACGGAAAAACGGGTGGCTCAAAGATGGATTTGATTGCTCCAGCATAGATGGACAAGATGGATATTATGACACAAGCCAAAAACAGAGATGCAAATTTGTTGACATATTTCACGCCTACAAAGACCACCACAGCCATGAACGTGAGGAACAAGGTCCCATACACTCGCATGTTATTCAGCGTGGCGTTGGAAGTGTCATGGGCCCCAGTTGGATGGAAAATGGCCGCTTGAGGAGCAATGTATGTCTGAAACAGTTAGAACACAGTGTCTACAACAAAAAGAAAGCAATTTATGATGTCCTTAGGTTCAACAGGACATCCCTGGCAAAACACATATATATCCAAGCTAAACCAAATTTATGTCTTGCGTAGCCAATGATCATAAACAAAGATGAACCAAAAATTTTTTAATCAATTTTTCAAGATTCCAGCATGTAATAAGTTGTCACAGTGGTGCCTTCTGAAGTTTAAGGAAGTTCTGAAGGCTTAAGTGACTCTGCTCAGTGACTTTCAGAGAGTAATCTCTCTTGCAGATTTTGTGCTGTGGGGGGTGTCTCCGTGGATTTTAATGCTGCTTTACTACTTTAATTTATGGAATTGTTTTTGCTTCTGTTTTCATCCTTTATTTTTTATATCGTAACGTAGCAAAACAATTTTAGATGATGTGAAATCTGTATTGTGAATATAATTTCTCAGAAAGCAGGATATACATTTAATAAATAAGTAGATGAAATACCCTTAAGGTATTATTTTAAGCTCTCTGGAACTGTGAGCAAGGCAAGCAAGGCACTGGGCTTTGCTAAGGAGGCAGGAGGGCTCTGGGACTCTGCTAGAGCCCTTGTGACTCCTTCTCAAAGCTGCGTAAGAATCCCTGCATGGGGGGGGGGCAGTTCTGGAGGGTCTTGACTTTACGCATTTTTGTGTCTTCATGTGAACTCCTGGAACTGAACCTTTGTGTAAGATGAGATATGCCTGTAATTCTAACATTTTTTCATCTTTCCCTGAAATGTATTTGTCACTACTTACTAGCAAAATTTCAATGGCACCAAGGATGTACATAGCGCCTGCGAATGTCGTCCCCAAGTAAAAGCACAGTCCCACTGCGCCACCAAATTCAGGTCCCAATGATCTTGAGATCATGAAGTATGAACCACCAGCTATAAAGTTAAAGAGAGAGAAATGTTTTGTGTAGGATTACACAAAGAACAATTGTAAGCTAGATGTCCAAAAAGAAGAATCAGAAGAAAAAGTTGCTTTACGTAAATTAGGTACAATTTTTTTCTATGCTTATTGAAAACAGGCATCATTTTCGTAACTAACAATAGCTCTGCTGTTAAATGAACTCAGTGAATACAGAATGTTTCAGAACTTGGCTCAAATAAGTTTTGCTCTTTCGTTTCCCAAACAGGAAATTTTGCACCTGAAATACTAACAAATTTATTATGACATAAGCAAGTGTTTCTCAAACTTGGGTCCCCAGTTGGTGTAAGAAGTGGAAAGAAAATATAGGTTAGTGTGCAAACTCATAGTCGGTTAAAAAAAAAGAAGCTCTCAAACTGCTGTGCCTTCTCATTTGAAATATTGCTTTCATAACCACAAGGGAAATGATCTTTTCCATAAAAATGAAAACAGGCCCATGGGATTCTAGAAGCAACCGGTCACCATTGGGATTGTGTGCACACATGCATATACACACATGTCCCCAGTGCAGAACAGCATTCTCAGTACAGCAAAGTGTTTAAATCTATTAGCACCAAGTTCATTCAGTTAAAAAGGAAAGGAGGAAAAAGAGAATTCAGCCATCCAAACCATGCCAAACCTAACAGCTTGCATTTCCTTTCGCTCACAACATAACCAGGCAAAAGATATCACCATAGCCAATTTTCCATTTTGCTGAATGTCATGACAGAGAGTGGTAGGCATACTCATTCATTTTGGCTTAAGTGCGAATTCCATGCAAACTAGTGCAATGAACAGAGGTCAAACCTTATAGATTACATTCAGGATCCATGTACAAGAGAAGCTGATCTATTAAGCTTGAAAGGATACATGCTTCCTGTACTCATCTACTTGGTACACGGATTCCAAGTGGTTTAAAACAGAATCTTCAATGGTTAAGTTACACAGTACCTGGAACGACACCATTTGTTGCAATAGCACTCATCGATATGGCTGTCAGCATAGTCTGTGAATAGGGGGAAAATGGATGTTTACAAGTAACCTTTGCAAAGAAGACTACAGCTGCTCCACTATGCTACCCTTCCTCCACCTGTTGCTCTTCAGATATTTTGAACTACAACTCCCATCATCCCTGATCACTAACCAAACTGGTTGAGAGCACAACAGGCTGTACTATGAAGGTAGAAACCACCAAGTCTGAAAACACAACACGTTTTGGTGAATTCCCAAAGCCCCCCCCCAACTCACTTTCCCTCTTCATGTGAATAATGTGTGAAGAGGACTTATTTACTTTATTTATTATTACATTTATATCCCACCTTTTCTCCAAGAAGTTCAAGGTAGCACACACCTTTCTCCCCATCTCCTAATTTTATTCTCACAACAAACTTGTGAGGTAGGTTAGACCGAGAGATAGTGACTGGCCCAAGGTCACCTTCATGGCTGTGTGAGGATTTGAACTGTGGTCTCCCAAATCCTAGTCCAGCACTCTAACCCCTACTCCACACTGGTTTGGTTTGTTGCCTTTCAGCTGCCTGGCCACTATTACAAAGTGGAGATAATGCACAAACTTTTACAGGGTTTTTATTAATTTTTCCAAGGCTTTTGTAGTGGACAAGAGTGTGCTAGACTTTTGTCATTATCGTTCTCCTTTCTGTGTTCTGTAGCCAAAGTATTAGATTTATAGTGCTCTCAGTGAACTATAGTGCCCTGCAAGACAAGTCTCTTCCACAGAGCTGGCAATTTAGACAGTGGGAAAGACAAAAAGGAAAGGGGTCACACAAGAGAGACACACAGGCAAAATAAATAGCCAAGTTGGTTGAGGCACTGAGGCACCCAAGCAAGGTAAGTGAGCAGACATTCCCCCAACTAAACACCCACTGTTTTCTATCTTTTAGGAAATAATACGGATATTACATGATTGGGCAAGGAGTCTTATTATGCAAAAGGAGGCAGGCAGGAAGGCATCTTGAAGAGAAGAGCTTTGCAACAGAGTCATGTACTCACACAGCAGCAGCAGATTAAGACAATCAGGAAGGACTGCAGAACACCAGCCGTTCCCACCATCCATGTCAATCGCAGGAAGAGAATGACCCCAAATATATTCTGCATACACGGCAGGTAAACACCCATCAAGGTGCCCATGCTGGGTGACTGAAAAAGACACAAAGTATGTAAATCAAGCCTCATTCCACAGTGAGTAACTCAGTAGTATTGCATGTACTGGTTACTGGCATTGATCCAGGGATGTCAATTTGGCATCTGTGAGCATTAGTGTGGCTGGAAGTACTTCCTATGGTGCCTAAAAAGGTCTTAATAAGCATCTATCCCAAAAAAACACGAGGATTGCTCTTTCTGCCCATTCCCTGTTTGCACTGGCTCAGCCTTTCTGATATTAAACATGACTTTCCTACATAAAATGTGCCACCTCAGAGATCCTTGCATTTCACTGGGTGCCAGAATTGGACAATCTCCCTGTTCTGTTCTGTTCTGAACAGTTGCAAATAGCTTCTCTCTTGTAGGAAAGTGCAGTGGGTGGCTCAGGTACTTGACCCCTCCGTGTAAGTTGTGGGTCTACTGTATATGAAACAACCTGAATTTACTTGAATTTGATTACTGAACATAAGTATAATAATCGAAGTTGTTCATTCTGGGTTTTGGCCAAAAGGATCCTGCTATGTCTTACAAACACTAAACACACAATAGAACTTGTGTCTAGGGTCTAAACTGCAGCACAGCTTCTAGCCGTCAAAAGACTGTCTTTCCCTTCCAACCCTGCCTGCTGGCCAAGGACTTCAATGAGAGTCCTGCTACCTTTAGAGGTTAGATATGTGTCAACCCTAAAACAGGGCCTTGTCAGTGGTGGTGCCCCCAGGCTTTGGCATTCTCTTCTGAGAAATGTTTACCTCCTAGAAATGCTACTGGGCAGCCACCTTCCCTCCATCTCAGCACCAAGTTAAAATCATTTTAAGAACTTGAGCATTCAGAGAGAGAAGAGTAGGAAAGTTTTAAGGTGCTGCTGGGATTATAGCTGTTTTTATTTTAGAATGAAGTCTGTATTTTTAGTGTTTTAATTAATGTTGTTAGCCACCTTGCATAGGCTTGTAGAAAGGCAACTACCACTTCTGAAGGGCCAGCAATCCCAAACCACTCAAACTACCACTTTCTCCACATCTCTTTTGCCTCTAGAATGGGAAACAAGGTGCCGTGTGTGTGTGTGTGTGTGTGTGTGTGTGTGTGTGTGTGTTGTTATTTGCCTTGTCAGGCGGAAGGGACAGGCATAGGAAGGAGACTCTGCTTGCTGACCCTTAGGGTCAGGGAAGCCTGTTGTTCACAAATGTGGAGAATTATTCACAATTAATAGCCTCTCAAACAAACTCCAGGGGACAAAATTGACTAAAACCTCCATTGATTTCTCTGTATAACAGAAATAGCTGCTATAGTTCTGAATCACAACAGAATCAATGCCCTCTGCTTTGAAATTAAAACATATTGAGCTTTTGTGGCTTGAACATAGAAGGGAATCGTTATTCCATGATGGATATAGAGGTTAAGCTTAAGCCCAGACATCTGAATTAATAAGCATCTACAAAAGTGTGACCCATAAATGGGCTGCACAGAACCCACGGGAGGGGGGTGACTAAAGAGGTCTTAACTGATGACTAGTGTGGATTTCAACATTGCAAAATGCTACTACATCATGCTACAAACAGCAAAAACAAAGAACTGTGCCCAATTGAAATGTATTAGTACCAAGCCCTAAATGGCTAGTGACCCAGGTACCTAAAAGAGCACCTTCCCCAATGTCAATCACCTCAGACCCTGCAATTGCCAGGTGAAACCTTGGTGGTGGTACTGTCACTGGGGCACCACCCAGCTGGCATTGACGTGTGTGACAGGGCTTCTCAGTTGCAATTCATCTGTCACCCTCACTGAATTTCACGAGGAATTTAAAAATATTTCTGTTTACTCAGACATTTTATGCCAGAACCTGGCAACCCTGAAATTACCAGCAGAGAAATATGATGGTTTTAAATTGTTTTAGAATGTTTTCAACTGTTTCTAGAATTTTTTTTTTAAATGATATTGATGTTGGGCTTCTTTGGGAGGAAGGGTGGGGTATAAATTGAATAAATGAGGAGGAGGAGGAGGAGGAGGAGGAGGAGGAGGAGGAGGATACTACTTTAAGCAGTAGTTGTAGTTGTTTTAATTGAGGGGAAAACCCTACATACTTTTGATATTTTCTTTCTTGACCCTTCTGTGCTTTCTGCTTCCTCATGTTCCTTTGCTCCTTGAGTGAGATTTGTGTAGCTGACCAGCTTGCCAAGCAGGGAAGAGACCTTTGGCCGAATATCCAATTCCTCCTGCAAAGGAAACACAAGATGGTGAGGTTTAGTAATGACAGTAAATACTTAGCATTTACATAGTGCTTTCCGTGCTCAAGGCACTATATTTATATGACCTCAGAAATTGTTACAACAGCCTTTGAAGTAGACCAATGGGATTGTTTCCATATAACGGGGGGCACCTCTCTCCAACATGCCGCCTGCAGATTGATGAAGTCTCAGAGCTTGTTATCCTACACGTTTCCTGCCAACCACCTCGGTTGGCAGAATTGGCACTACTACAGGTACCATGAAAAGAGAAGACTCCCTGGAAAAGACCCTGATGTTGGGAAAGATTGAGAGCACAAGGAGAAGGGGACGACAGAGGACGAGATGGTTGGACAGTGTTCTCGAAGCTACCAACATGAGTTTGACCAAACTGCGGGAGGCAGTGGAAGACAGAAGTGCCTGGTGTGCTCTGGTCCATGGGGTCACGAAGAGTCGGACACGACTAAATGACTAAACAACAACAACAGGTACCACATAATGCCCACTCCACATTTGTGTAGCGTTCCTCAATTGTTTAGCATGGCAGTGCCTACACTTTCGAACTCCCTGCCTATTGAGATCAAGCAGGCAGCATCACTGCACGCTTTTCGATGCCTGCTAAAAACATTTATGTTTAGACAAGCCTACTCAGGTGCTTCAAAAGTTGAGGTAATTCAATCTGTTCTAGTATTTTTATTTTTGTATGTTTTAAGCAGAGTTGTATTTTTTTCTTGAAATCAAGCAGCATATAAATTTTATTAAATAATGAATGAATGAATTTAAACCAGCAAGCCACCCCCCTCTACCAGCTAAAGACCTTTCACACAGAAAGCATTCCTTACAGGTGGTTCTGACTTGCGCTGACTGACTGTTCTTGCATTTTTCCATACAGAATTACACAAAGTATAATTGTGGCGCAGGCCACAATAAATGTGTTAAGTTTTTAAGAAGGTGTCATAAAACTTTCTGCAGCAGACCAACATAGCTCTCCTCTGAAATTCAGTGGCAATTCAAAGTTCTTCTGAGTTGACTATGCTATTTTAGGGTTATTGACCCTTAATGTTTTTGGTGATTTATTATTGTAAGCTGCTTTTAGTGCTACATCTGGCAGATACTTACAGCTGATAAAATGATCAAACAAAGAACCAATAAAATAATGTTGTCTGGGTGGAGAATGACAGCAGGCTCCACAGTGTAACTTATCAAATTTGAAGCCAAGCAAAGATTTGAATAAAGATCTACCCATTTCTGCCTTTGTTTCCCCTCACCAGTTCAGCCTGCAGGTAAACTCCCTGATGTGGTCTGAAAGAATATGGGTATATATATGGCAGACCACACACACGTATATATGCCCAGCTTGGAAGAATATGGGTAAAAGTATATTGCTGTTGCTAAGCAACTATATCATACACCAGTGACTGTAAGAGGCCCATGGGACAAGGAAGGCCTAGTCCCTCAGCAACCTTCCAAGCCCTGCTTCTGGAACTTTCTGCTGACATTACAAATAAAAATAAATGACTTATCTAGTCATACACACACACACACACACACACACACACACACACTTCTGTAGCTGTAAGGAAAAACCTGCTTTCAGGATTCTACTCAGCTGCTTGCAAAGTAATAAGCATGCTCCTGGCCTTACCATCTTCCAAAAGACACTGGGAAAGCTGATAAGCACTGGGCCTCCAGTTTAAGTTTGATAAAATAAAACATGTCATGTTAAGAATAAATGTAATGAACAATTTCCAGAGGCATACCTGTGTTAATCTATTGCAGGAAAAAAGAAAACAAAAAGAAACTGTTTCTATGTCATAATAAAACATGTTAGTCTTTAAGGGGCCACAAAACTTTTAGTTGTTTCAATACAATTAAACAACTGATAACCTATTTGGTTACATGAAGTTTATGCTCTGGCTGTTGTGCAATGATTTCCTGCTCCTTTATTTACCCCTTACCTTAAAATATTATTTGTTTGAATTTCTGTTTTTTTACACTTCGATATGCTTTTATATTACTGTTTTACTGGTTTTCAGTTGTATTTTTGTTCTAATGATATTGTTAATTTTTATGTCATACAGCACTTTGAGACTTTAAGAGGTTTATAAATGCGTTTAAATAAACAAAAATATGGGCCTACTTTTAGAACTTTTACAACATAATTCTCTCAGGCACATCATCGCAGTACTGGCATCTTGCCTGTCAGTCTTTGATGCCACAAATGGGATTTGCAGAGGGTCCGGGTGTTGGCTGAGGGGATCTGCTAAATGGACACCAAAGGCGTAGCTCAGCAAAAGAAGTTTGCTGGAGAGTTTGCTTTCAAGAGGCAAACTGACATTTGCTGAAAAAGCAAGCAAGTCGGCCAACCTTTCCCAACAGTTACCACAAAGATGTTTTTTTAAAAAATACAATGCAACACACCCAAAACAAAAACAAAAGGGCCGACTGCTGGAGCCAAGTAGAACATTCCTCACAGCAAATGGGAAGCTTCTGAAGGAGCTAATGAACTGAGGAGAGGCCTGCTGAGGCAACCTCAGGAGACCTGAAGGGCCATCTCCATGGAAATGCTTTGTACAAAATGGAGGAGCTCACTTGAAACCTGATGAAGCAGCTGCTTGCTAACATCTATTTTTTAATTTTTTTAAAAGGCCTGGCAGGAGACTGAGGCATGGTTCTATAGAGAAAGGCAGAAAACTGCTCTCCACTTTTGTAGTAAAGTCAGTACCCAGAAGGTAGAGCAGCCATCTGGCAACATTTCTGCCCTGCATCCATATGCTTCGTCTCTTTCCGTAAATGCCCCCAACTCCAGCTAATGGAACTGTTTCAATTAGGGCTGCGATGTTTAACATACTAATCAGTTTACAGTGCAATACTGCATATGCCAGCTCAGAAGTAAGTCTCAGTGAGACTCACATCTAGGCAAGTGTCCATAGATTTGCAGCCTAAAAAACAAAAGTTAAAATCGGGAGGGGGGGGAGTTTTAGTCAGCTCAATTGGATAGTTTCCCCCAAAATCATCATCTTTAATACAAATACCAGAACTGCAGATTGAAAGCCCCACTTTAAAAATAGATTTGCTGTTTTGTCTTGTATAGAAGAGGTATCCCTACCTAAGACTACACCTGTTATGCCACAATGCATTTTTTTTAATTCAATCAAGTAAACAAACAAACCCTTGTGTGATTAATAGTTTTACATTTTCCCAATTCACTTGCAAATACTTCCAACATCGAAGGCCGGCAGATGCCTGCAAACAACAAGTGAAACTAATTTTTTTTGTAATTATAAAAAAAATGCTAAAGGAGTTTTAATTAAATTAAGATCTTTTTGCTGGGGTGTTTCAGTTACATTAGAGCGTTTTGCCAAAGAGCTTTTAATTAAATTAGTTCTTTCTTTTATTCATTGTACCAAATGAACACAAAGGAACCAGTTCCATAGGCGGCCATGTTGTCCAAATAGCCCAGTTCTGACTGCTCTGACTGACAACAGCTTTACAAGAATTCAAGTCTGCCTCTTTTAATGCTGGAGGTGCTGGGGATTAAACTTGGTAACATGGGCAAACAAAGCATGCCATCTACTACTGAAACATGAATGCTTGCCGGCATTAACAATATCAGAGAAAAAGAAGTCAATTGAAACTTTCTATTGTGTTCTCTCTCACACCAATAATTGCCCCACTAATGGGATATCAAGAGCAAAGGCACAAACCTGTGAAGAGCCATTTCCCCAGGACTCATTTTGAGACATGACCACACATCCCTTGGCAGAAAGGTCACTGCATTCTCTTATTCAAACCTAACACAGGCAAAGGATTCTCCTCTGTGATGCAATACTGAAGGTTCTGGGTTGAAAAGACTAATGCCAACAAGACATTGCAGGGTTAGGACTTGTCTTCTTTTTGAGGCTGCATTTTAAAAGGAGGCATTCCAGACCTGTCAACAGCAACTTGGCTGGGGAAAATTGGAAATGCCTAATAAAAATTTCTGTGGACTAGTAACTGCTGGATTTCTTTGCAAGACTCTAGTTTACTCAAGCTGTGAAAATGCAGATCAGAAAAGGTCAACTTTGCACTCGTTTATGTGCTCTTTTGCATGAATTTTAAAATGCCTTCTTTAGCACAGCCTAGTGCCTACAATTATTTTGGACTACGGTTCCCATCAGCCCCAGCCAGCAAAGCCACGTTGGCTGAAGCTGATGGAGTTGGTAGTTCTAAACATCTAGCAAAGGCTGCTTTAGCTACTTGATTGCCCACGATTTTCTCCAAGAGCATGATAGGAAATGGGTAGTCTGGATAAATAAAATTTTGGACATGGACAGGACATGGTTTTCTGGGATTGCTCCAGATGAGGAACCACCACACCTAAAACTGCCACAGTGGGCCAGGGCAGTCAGTGATGGGCCTACATAATAGGGAAGAGGCATTCAGAGAAACCAAAGGCACATTGGGGACTGAGACAACCTAGATAATGTGGAAACAAGTGCTGCAGGGATAATGAGAGGACTGTAGTTCCTATGCTCTTTGTCAAGAAAGATTGCTCCACTGGCTCTGCTAAAGCAAGGGAAGGAAGAGTTGGCAACAAGGGTGAAACAATTCCCCAAGGTCATTGTGGGCTTTCACAACAGCCACCTACTTAGATACACAGGGAAAAGAGACTTGAGGAAGTGGCTCAACACATTTTATCCTTGATGGGGCAAGGGGGGTTAAGCACATCCATCCACCTGCCACCTCTCCCCTGAAAGCTGTCCCTTCCTTGGCTGGGGCTTATAGCAGCTGGCATCCAGCAACACCTGGGCATAAAATGAGCCCTGCTAAATCAGGTCAAAGGCCCACCTAATCCAGCATCCCATTCTCACTGTGGCCAACCAGATGTGCAAGGGAAGCTGACAAGCAGGACCTCAGTGCATCAGCGCTCTTCCTATTTGGAATTCCAGGAATTGGTGTACAGAGGAGAGCAGTCAAGAAACCTGGAAATTGTAGTTGTTTATTCCTACTGAAGTTTGTTGCGAGTGCTGAGTGTTGTTTGGAGACCCCTATTCCCCTCACAGAGCTACAATTTCCAGTCAATCCAGTCAATCCAGCTTCCCAGTGGACTCTGGGAATTGTAGCTGTCTGAGGGTAATAGGGGTCTCTTAACAACTCTCAGCACCCACAACAAACTACAGCTCCCAGGATTCCCAGCAATGACTGTTTAAAGTAGTATAATACTGCTTTAAATGTATAGTGCAGATGGGGTCAGAATCAGCTTCCCACATTTTTGAGTAACATGGTTTAGGGACCCCTAAGAAGCTGAAGAATGAACAAAAAGTCAAGGCTGATTTAAAATTATTATTATTATTTTACCTCAAACAAAGCCAAGTTTCTGTCATAATAATCTCCTCCTTTGCCTGGATCAGAATTGTTGAGGAAAGGACTGCTTTCTTTATGGTTGCCATGGCCTGTGGAAAGAAAAGAAGAAGATTCCAGATCATTTGTGGAAGAAGACAACCTCATAATTATGAGAAAAGGAAGAGACATAATTGGTACACTTTCATCGTTTTGTTTTCTTTTTCCACCAGTCTGTGATCTTAAAATTGATGGCTTTCAGAAATTTATCACTCTTGGAGAACTCTTTATTTCTCAGCTGACAAATATACATACACACGCACACACATGCACACTGCAAAGCATGCTGGGATTCTATCTAGTGCAGACTCTCACTACATGCGGAACGCCAGCCAGGACGGGTGAGAGGGAGTGTCATTACCCTATAGAGGGGTGGACAACCATTTTCCTGTTGAGGGCTGCATTCCCTGGCAGGGGCCACACACTGGGGGAGAAGGCAGAAACAAAAGTGTTCTGGATTAAGCAATCTGTAATAAAGCCTGTTGCACCCTGATGTACTCCAAACACTCTCTCAGAACACCCTCTTTTCCCATCTCTGCTCTATCATTGACAATGGACCTTCCTACAGTGGCCAGGAGGAGACCTTCGAGGGCAGACCTCTTCCTCCATCCACAGAGAGGGAGATCCACAAAATCCAATGGCCCCTGAGTAAGATTGCTCTGGAAAACACTTCAATAAGTACTAATACTTCTCAAAATGTGCCATCCTGCAGCATACATCCCATTGACTTTAAAGGATATGTAATTAATGTTAAAAACAACTTGCATTTGGAATTACACCTGCTATGAAGGGCTGTACCAAGAATTGTAAGAAAATCTTGATTAAAAACTTTGAAATTCCAACTTCAGCACAAATTTGAACTTCTAGCTTTAAGCTTTTGTTATAAGGAAAATCAAAGTGACCCAGAAAAACCCAGCCCAGCCCAGCCAACAACTCACTATTTGACCTAAGGGCTGCCACTCTTCAGTCAGTCTCAGTTACACATCTAAAATAAAGGGGTGAAAACAGTGGCCTGCTTTACTGAGATAACAAATGTCAAGAGCCTAGAATGTTTTCTGGTGCAAGTATTATACAAATGCTGATAAATTATAGGGGAGCTCTGGAACTTTAAATGTAGATTTCAGTCTTTCAAATCCACTATTTGTCACTAAAACCTGGACTTTGCTCAATTCGAGTCCCACCAGCTATGTCCAAATTTCAAAATAATATTTTCAGAAATCGCAAGATTAAAAAACAACAGTAGTAACAGCGATCTGTACACCCAACTAGCCAACTGGCACAGGATCCGTTCTGCCTCAAAGATTTTTATTTTCAGAGTTAAGAATTAAAGCCAAGTATAAAAAAAGAGAGTCAGGTTTCCCATTAGCTTCTACACAGTAGTATAGTTTACTTGGTTACTTAGCTATAGAACCTGATACTCTGAATTTGTTTGCTTTACAAACAAAAAAACACTGCAATCTATTCAGGATTGTTTTAGATGGCTCTCGGCCAGGAGAAATTATGCTTGCCTGCTTCCAAATGAAATACAAGGAGGAAATGGAACCTTCGACTATTAAAGTAGAATAGCAGTATAACTGCTAATAAAGAAATATCTTGCCCTCCTTTTGATTGGATGATTTCTAAACCTGTCAGCATTCCGACCAGTTGGGGAAATGGCAGAAAAGGAGGCCCCATCCCACGTAGTCATCAAGGCAAATTTTCAGACATCCTCACAAAAAGCTGATGTATTCCAGAGAGGCAGAGCAGGATTCAGGCGTGCATAATCTGTTTGTTTGCTTTTTGTTTCATTTTTTGTTTACAAGGTTCACCAGCTACAGCCAGATGCAATAGTGAGACAAGCAAACATATGTACACTAAAAAGTATTGAACACATTGCCTCTGAGCACATGCTCAACTCAGGAATTGGTGTTCAGTACCAGAACAAAGCTCACAAGTTTGTTCACAGACAAATCTACTCCTGGTTTCTCCAGCTCGCCAGACATAATTCTGATTCAGCAGCTTCATTTGGGGGGTGGGGGGTGGAGCATTTTAGTTGTTGCTGTAAAGCAGGGGTCAGCAAACTTTTTCAGCAGGGGGCCAAGTCCACCGTCCCTCAGACCTTGTGGGGGGCCGGACAATATTTTGGAAGGGAAAAAAATGAATGAATTACTCTGCCCCACAAATAATCCAGAGATGCATTTTAAATAAAAGCACACATTCTACTCATGTGAAAACATGCTGATTCCCAGACTATCCGCGGGCCGGATTGAGAATGCGATTGGGCCAGATCTGGCCCCCGGGCCTTAGTTTGCCTACCCATGCTGTAAAGCCATTGGAAGTAAGAGTACCTTGCCAGAGAACCTACTGAAAATCACAGAGATCTACCAGTAGACTCTGATAAGAACATCTTAAGAGCCCTGCTGGATCAGGCCAGTGGCCAATCTAGTCCAGCATCCTGTTCTCACAGTGGCCGACTAGATGCCTGTGGGAAGCCCCCCAAGTAGGAGACCTGAGAGCAACAGCGCTCTCCCCGCCCTCCCAGCAAGTGGCATTCAGAGGCATGCTGCCTTCGAGAAGGGAGGTAGAACACAGCCTTATCCTCTATGAATTTGATTCTCTTTTAAAGCTATCCAAGTTGGCGGCCGTCACTACACCTTCTGGAAGCGAATTCCTTAATTTTAATTATGTACTCTGCAAAGTTCTTTATTGTCATGTGAATTCTGGACCTTACATCTGCAGCAACCCTCAGTTTCAAGCATTTTAACTGCAAGTTTGCTGATTTATAACTTACCTGAACCATCTAACCAAAAGTTGTTTAATACGCCTAATTCATGCGGAATTTGTTGAAATATTTAACTTTGTACTTGCAGAGTTATTCAGAGTTTGGGTAATGTTTGGGTAATCCTGATTGCAGGATATTGCTCCATAAAGATATACAAATTTATTCCAAAAATAAATGGTTATGCAAGCAGTGTTAGACATAATGAACTATGGATATTTTTAAATAGTTTTATTCACTAGTCCATTTTGGCAAGTACTAGAGGGACAACTGAACTTGCATTTGCCAATGGCTAGGTCAATGTGGGTGGTGTTTGATGGTTGTCCGTCAGTCTTGGATCATGACTGATACACATGGGGAATATATTATTTCTTATTTCAACTGAGCAGACTTCAAATCATCCTTGCCTCAATCCTGGTGGCATAGCAGCCGGCAGTTGGCCAGAAGGTGCTCATACATGCTGCCTTTGGCACCTGTGCATCAGAGGCAAGCTGTAATAGTCGGTCAAAACAGTTCTCTGTATGAGCAACTTGTAGCATGCTGTCATCAGATCTGCTGCCAACCACCAGAGAGTGGCTCCCAGGTGTTGAAATGTAAGATTCTAGCCTTTCCAATGTTCAGTTGTAAGTGGTATTCATCATACCTGTTAAGGATTAAAAGCGTTAATCATTTTTGGATGTACTTACTCTGACCCACTTGCACAAGGTTTCAACCTACAGGTTGGGAAATACTGTATTATAGGAAATGTAGGCAGGTTAAAGTGTTTGAGGGCTAGTAGCTTGTGTACAGTTATTTACAAGGTGGCCTTTGATGATATGTGGTTCTCTGTCTAAACATGTACTTTCTCTTTGCTCTTTTCAAATCATTCCCATAAGTTCCAAATTCCTCCACTGTCAGCTCCAGAGTCAAAAGGTTTAAAGTCAAGTTCACAGCAAGGACATCCTATTTTAATCTCCATCAATATGTTGATTTGGGCATTGCAGACAGCGCATTAGATGAATTGTTATATTCTCAGTGGGAGTACATTACTACCCTGGCAGAAACATTCATTAATCAAGATCACCTTCAGTTAAATATCTGACTAATCTGCACATTTCACAATTGCTTCAGCTCATAAAGCTTAAAAGTTAACACATTTCAAGGCCAGCTCCCCTGTATTTGGATAAATGCTTTGTAACCAATAATTTTTTCAAGCAAACAAAAATCATGACTTTCTTATGTAACGGGGTTTTTTGTTTGTTTGTTTTCACTATTCCAGCTGTCAGGTGTTATTTAACTTCTCCAGACACTCAACAGGAAAACCACCTTAAAAGCATCCAGCTAAACTTGCAAATAAAAGACAAACAAGACACCTGCATGTTCACAAGTCGTGAAATCATTCATCTTCAAGCACCTTCAGCTGTCTTCTATACAAGCGTTCTAAGAATATGCAGGGTGAAATGAGCATGAGGAGCGTGTAAGCTTTGTGGAGTGCTGGCAGCTGCCCAGAAAGGATTCCCTTTTTACCATCCCACCTCCAAAGACATTGGCGTCTTTAGCAATTTTCATTTTTAGAACCAATCTCAGGACTAGCCTTTAGCATGAGTCACATGATATATTACAAGGCCAGGGGGCACACTGGCAACTAGATCATATTTGGGGAAGGACCATAGCTCAACAGTAAAGTTTGCATGCAGTAGTACACAAGTTCAATCCCCAGCATCTCCAGATTTCACAGAAAAATGTATTGCTTATGGGTTGCAGTCAGCTAAGTTATACTCAAAGCAGATCCACTGAAATGAATAGACCTAAGTTATTCTTATCGTTTAATTTTGATGGATCTTGTCCTGAGCATGACTAACATTAGATACAACCCTGTTTTCATTTGTTTCAGCATTTTAAAAGCTGCCTTTCTGTAAAACTATGAGAGGTGGCAAAACGTAAAGAATGAATTGTACAAAGATATTTTCAAAGATGTGCTTCATACATTTGGAGTGGCTGGGATTCCCTATTGAACACACACTCCATGGCAAACTCGGATTTGTTGACATGGAATGTGTGAAAAGGTCGTTTGTTACTCACTTTCCCATTCCTTCCTATAACATGGGTTTAAGCCAACTTCAGTCAATGATTCCAGCTGCAACATATGTAAGTTCTCCAAAGCGAGCTGACGTCAAGAGTTTGATCTTCATTAGCAATATTGAATTTTGCTTCAGAATAGACCAATCAATTACTGGAAGCCTGAGGCATTTGTGTCTTAACTTTAGGAAATGCAGTTGCCAACACATGGGCAAATCATTTGCCTTTTGCCTTTTTAAAAAAAGGATTATTAAACACAACAGAATTTCATTTAAGGAATTAAGGGCTACCTCACATGGTTTGTTATTATTACCTAACCAAGCCCAAGACTTGTGACCTCTCTCTCTTGAAAATATTTGAAAAATTTATGCAATAGCCAAAAGTAACTCAACTAAAATATTTGACTGGGGCCAAAAAATAATAATTCATATGCCATTAAGTGCATTTTGGTTGCAATCCTACACCTACTTACCTGGAAGCCCCATTAAATGTAACGGAACTAAGTTCTGACTTGACATGTAATGTATAGCTATGACTGAGCTGTTCAGGATGGTTTAAATGCTAGATTTTTTAAAGTTAAAGGTTTTTCAGGGCACACTGCCCTCATAAGGCACTTTACAACTGGAGTATGAAGATGGGAGATCAGGAACTACTGGCAGATCTCTGAGTGACTTGGAATACAGCAAAAAGAATTGGCCTCCCAATTGTTTAACAATGGCAGCAAAAATGACCCCCACCCTCAAATTATACTGCTGCAATGAAGAAAGCTTGGGGGTGGGGTAGAGAAGAGAGGAAATTTTGTGCAGTAGTAAGACTGTAAGCTCCATTACTTTCTGATGCTCAAAAGAGATTTTGGGACTCAGGAATCTTTCCTTCTCAGTTAATGTCTTTTGCACCATGCTCTAGTTGGTGCATCTAGAGCAGGTATCCCCAAACTCAGCCCTCTAGATGTTTTGGAACTACAACTCCCATCATCCCTAGCTAACAGGACCAGTGGTCAGGGATGATGGGAATTGTAGTCCCAAAACATCTGGAGGGCCGAGTTTGGGGATGCCTGCTCTAGAGGAAAGATCTCACAAGCCTTAAGTCTGTCCAGGGCTGGTTTACAAGATTCTTAAAACACACGGAAATATAATTACAACACATCACAACAGCAGCTAAGGATTTTTCCAAGTGAAGGACAATTCAATCAAACACAAGCTTGAATAAATGTGTCTGCAAAACATGCAGACAAGTTCAAAGCTTTAATATTATTATTTTGGTAATCATAATTGATTATTTATATGTCGCCCATCTATCTGGGTTGCCCCAGCCACTCTGGGCGGCTTCCAACAAATTAAAACATCACACACAGTTTAGGGTGATTGAATGTATTTTAAGATACATTAGTCCAATAGGCTACCCTTGCATTATATATTGAAGGCACTGAAAACTACCAGCATGCTTATTTTAGCATGTCTGAAGAACTGTGCTCAGCACATGCAGAAGTTATTTACAACTTCAATTTTAGATCTGGCAGGTATCATACCCATTCCAATTGCCCAACTATAGAATCACAGTATTGTTAAGTTGGAAGGGACCCCAAGCTTCATCTAGTCCAAGTCCCTGCAATGCAGGAATCACAGCTAAAGAATCCCTGACAGATGGCCTTCTAACCTCTGCTTTAAAAATCTCCAGTGAAGGAGAGCCCACCAAACTTTGAGGTGTATTGTGTTCAATACACACTCTATAGCTAATTTTCTGAAATGAAGCATTTCCAAAAATGGGAACGAAAAACAAAAGAAACCAATAACTACCCATTTCAAATGTTGCTACCTGAAGGATTCTACAAGAGAAACAACTCTGCTTCAGAAAGAAAGAAAGAAAGAAAGAAAGAAAGAAAGAAAGAAGCATAAGCAGACCAAACTACAGAAATATTACAGGTCCCAAATCAAGGAATACCTACCCCTCAGCAAGAACCCTTTGCCTTTCTCTGCAACGGGGCTCACCATTCTCCTTCTCCTTCCAGTCCTTTAGACCACATTTAGCACCAGTTATTTGTGAAGCACCAGGGTGCCAAGAACAAAAGCAAAACAGATTCAGTTGTGTACTTCCCTGGAATGGACACCAACAGTCTCTGACTACCGGCTGTACAGCTGCATGGTATTGATCAGCCAAGCACACTACATAGGGCTCCTGATCATCAGGCGAAATCAAAACCAATATGACCCTGATGGTATAACCCCTCCAAGCCTCACTGTCAAATATAAGCTATAGTGGTACCTCAGGTTAAGTACTTAATTCGTTCCAGAGGTCCATTCTTAGCCTGAAACTGTTCTTAACCTGAAGCACCACTTTAGCTAATGGGGCCTCCTGCTGCCACGCCGCCGCCACGCGATTTTTGCTCTCATCCTGAAGCAAAGTTCTTAACCCGATGTACTATTTCTGGGTTAGTGGACTCTGTAATCTGAAGCATATGTAACCTGAAGCGCATGTAACCTGAAGCGTATGTAACCCGAGGGGTTGGCTGAGAACAAATTGAGGTTGGTGGGGTAGTGGTCGCTTGCCCTAATAGACCAGCACCTTCTGCCTTGTGGTATGCGGAAACAGCACACCTACAGTGCAAATAAATCCCTTTCTGAACGGTGATAGCTCCCAGATAAAGATAAAATTACATTTTACAAATAACAGAAAGATGCAAGTGCACACAAGCCAAGAGGGTTATGCTTTCCAAATCAAGACAACAGATTCCCACCCCCCAAAGCTTACAAACCAAAGAATGATAATGGCGGAGAATAGAGGGTTGGGGAAAGATACAGGACAACCTTGTGATTTGGTAAAGGATGTTCACAAGTGCCCAGAGCACACCCTCTGCATGCATTAGGGCTCAGCTTCAGTCTTTGGTATCTCCAGCTGAAATTATATCAAGTAGCAGAGCTAGGTAAAGAAGAATCCTTCTGCCTGAGCCTTTGGAGAGCCACTACGTATAACAGTAGATGCTACTGGAAAGGCAGGAGATCTCTAAGAAAACAAATCCCAGTTTCCTAGGCTTCCTTGCAGAAGCCACAAATAGTAAGACAGCTACAAAACAAGTCAAAATTGCCAATATAGGTGTGTCCTTAGGTTTAAACCACTGGCTAGTCATTAGGGGTAGGGAACCTGTGGTCCTCCAGATCTGAGTTCTCCAATCTTGGACTCCAACCCCCATCATCCCCAGCCATCATGGCCAGCTGTCAGGAATTATGAAAGCGGCAGCCCAACAGCATCTGCAAGGGAAAGGTATTTCCTTTCTTTCTTTTTGGGTGGCTAATCCTCTGCTGGGCATTTTGCCAAACCATCACCAAGGAGAGACGGCTCCTTCTGGTCAGTCAAGCAAGAAGAATGCTGAAGAGTTGAGCGATAATTTGGGGGGTGGGGAAGAGGACACATACATACATAGGGCTCAGCTTCAGTCTTTGGTATCTCCAGCTGAAATTATATCAAGTAGCAGAGCTAGGTAAAGAAGAATCCTTCTGCCTGAGCCTTTGGAGAGCCACTACGTATAACAGTAGATGCTACTGGAAAGGCAGTGAGAGCCAGTGTGGTGTAGTGGTTAAGAGCGGTAGTCTCGTAATTTGGGGAACCGGGTTCGCGTCTCCGCTCCTCCACATGCAACTGCTGGGTGACCTTGGGCCAGTCACACTTCTTTGAAGTCTCTCAGCCCCACTCACCTCACAGAGTGTTTGTTGTGGGGGAGGAAGGGAAAGGAGAATGTTAGCCGCTTTGAGACTCCTTAAAGGGAGTGAAAGGCGGGATATCAAATCCAAACTCTTCTTCTTCTTCTTCATACACTCATCAACTGGGCTGATGTTTTATGGCAAAACATGTGGCCATCCAGATGCTGATGAACCACAACTCCCATCTTCCTTGACCACTGGCTAGGCTGGCTTGCGCTGGAGTCTAGCAACACCTGAGTCTAAGAGCCCTGCTAGGTCAGGTCAAAGGCCCATCTAGTCCACACAATTGCCAACAAGATGCCCATGGGAAGCCCACAAGCAGGACCTTTGCACAATAGCACTCCCCACACTTGTGATTTCCAGCAACTGACATTCAGAGAAAGTCTGCCTCATAACAGTAAAGGCCTTCATAGCTAGCATCAACTGATGGCCTTACGTTCCATCAATTCGTCTAATCCTTTTTTAAAGTCATCCAAGCTGATGGATGACTATGGGTTGTAAAGACCTACTTCCTCTTCCAACATTCAGCTTCCTTGGATGTTCACAGGTTCTAGCATTATGAGGGAGAAAATCTTCTCTTTCTCCACAGCTGGCATAATCTTATACACCTCCTTAATGTCCCTTGTTATTATTTGCTGGGCCACAGCATACCCACTCCTGTGTTTAAAGGTGTACACATTTTAGGGAGCCTAAGCCAATGAATGGCACCCAAACCAAAGCCATGCAAATAAACCCACAAGTACCAGCCATTACCAGACTGCCTGCCCATCCATGCCAACCCTGCAGAGTGCAATGCAAGGTGTCAACTTGGCTTGTTTGGCTGCTATCCATGCTATGACCATGAAGGTTTTACGTGACACCCTCCCATCTGGCATCTTCCTAAAGTAATAATAATCATAACAGCTTCTGTACATCTAGGCTGGTTGCCAGAAAGCGATTTAAGTTTGCCACAGCAGAGGCAGATTTAGGGGAGTGCACTGGGCACGGAGCCTTTGGGACGCCACAACTATGACGTTGAATGAAAGGTGAGACATGGGAGGATAAATTTTGGCATCGCTGAAATTTGAGGCGCCAAGGTCTGCCGCTGGCCGTAGACCATCAGACAAGTGAATTCCATCAGACATGATGCTGCTATCAAAAGCTACCAGAATGTGGAAGAATACAAAAGGGATTCAACCACAGACTTGCCAGCTCTTGCAATTTAAGACTTCAAGGATGATCTCATTTTCACCCAAGTAAACCAGGTTAGCAAAGGCTAACTTGAATGACTTGAATGCACAAACCAGCCATCACAGTTCCAACACCACAGACATAATTTTTGCATCAGTACCATATCAATACACAATACTTTTTGATGAAGACAGTTCACACATTCAGTGCTTGTGGCAAAGAAATCAAATGATAGACAAGCATAGAATCATCGAATCATAGAGTTGGAAGAGACCACAAGGGCCATCGAGTCCAACCCCCTGCCAAGCAGGAAACACCATCAGAGCACTCCTGACATAAGGTTGTCAAGCCTCTGCTTAAAGACCTCCAAAGAAGGAGACTCCACCACACTCCTTGGCAGCAAATTCCACTGTCGAACAGCTCTTACTGTCAGGAAGTTCTTCCTAATGTTTAGGTGGAATCTTCTTTCTTGTAGTTTGGATCCATTGCTCCGTGTCCGCTTCTCTGGAGCAGCAGAAAACAACCTTTCTCCCTCCTCTATGTGACATCCTTTTATATATTTGAACATGGCTATCATATCACCCCTTAACCTCCTCTTCTCCAGGCTAAACATGCCCAGCTCCCTTAGCCGTTCCTCATAAGGCATCGTTTCCAGGCCTTTGACCATTTTGGTTGCCCTCCTCTGGACACGGTCCAGTTTGTCAGTGTCCTTCTTGAACTGTGGTGCCCAGAACTGGACACAGTACTCCAGGTGAGGTCTGACCAGAGCAGAATACAGTGGCACTATTACTTCCCTTGATCTAGATGCTATACTCCTATTGATGCAGCCCAGAATTGCATTGGCTTTTTTTAGCTGCCGCGTCACACTGTTGGCTCATGTCAAGTTTGAGGTCAACCAAGACTCCTAGATCCTTTTCACATGTACTGCTCTCAAGCCAGGTGTCACCCATCTTGTATTTGTGCCTCTCATTTTTTTTGCCTAAGTGCAATACTTTACATTTCTCCCTGTTAAAATTCATCTTGTTTGTTTTGGCCCAGTTTTCTAATCTGTCAAGGTCGTTTTAAAGTGTGATCCTGTCCTCTGGGGTGTTAGCCACCCCTCCCAGTTTGGTGTCATCTGCAAATTTGATCAGGATGCCCTTGAGTCCATCATCCAAGTTGTTGATAAAGATGTTGAATAAGACCGGGCCCAAGACAGAACCCTGCGGCACTCCACTAGTCACTCTTCTCCAGGATGAAGAGGAACCATTGATGAGCACCCTTTGGGTTCGGTCAGTCAGCCAGTTACAAATCCACTAAGTGGTAGCATAGTCAAGACCGCATTTTACCAGCTTCTCACAAGAATATCATGGGGCACCTTGTCAAATGCCTTGCTGAAATCAAGGTAGGCTACATCCACTGCGTTCCCTTCATCTACCAGGCTTGTAATTCTGTCAAAAACGAGATCAGGTTAGTCTGACATGACTTATTTTTCAGAAATCCATGCTGACTATTGGTGATCACAGCATTCCTTTCTAGGTGCTCACAGACTGTTTGCTTAATGATCTGCTCCAGAATCTTCCCTGGTATTGATGTCAGACTGACTGGGCGGTAATTATTTGGGTCCTCTCTTTTCCCCTTTTTGAAAATAGGAACAACATTTGCCCTCCTCCAGTCTGCCGGGACTTCGCCTGTTCTCCAGGAATTCTCAAAGATGACTGCCAGTGGTTATGAGATCACATCTGCCAGTTCTTTTAATACTCTTGGGTGCAGTTCATCTGGCCCTGGAGACTTGAATACATCTAGACTAGCCAAGTATTCTTGTACTATCTCCTTAGTTATTCTGGGCTGTGTTTCCTCTGCTGAATCATTTGCTCCAAATTCTTCAGGTCGGGCATTGTTTTCTTTATTGGAGAAGACTGAGGCAAAGAAGGCATTGAGGAGTTCAGCCCTTTCTGTGTCCCCTCTTTGCATCTCACCATCTTCTCCTCTGAGTGACCCCACTGTTTCTTTGTTCTTCCTTTTGCTACGAACATACCCATAAAAGCCTTTTTTGTTGCTTTTAACCTCTCTAGCAAGCCTGAGTTCATTCTGTGCTTTAGCTTTTCTGACTTTGTGTCTACACGTGCTGGCTATTTGTTTGAATTACTCTTTGGTGGTTTCCCCCCTTTTCCATTTTTTGTACACATCCTTTTTTAATCTTAACTCAGTTAAAAGTTCTTTAGATAGCCACCCTGGCTTCTTTAGGCACTGTGGGAGTCATAAAGCCACGGTAAAGGCTTGTAATATTGCAGGTTGCCCCCTGACCTTGGCTGACCAGCACTCTGAGCTTTACAATGTAATGGAATGTATTGGAGCTGTGTTTCCTCTGGGCAGTGATGCCCTATATGGTGAAGGGGGCAATAAAAGCCTTGACCGGATGAGGTAACGTGAGACACTGGCAAAACAGCCATGCGGCTGGAGAGGGACAAAGGAATAAAGAAGTAACCAGGAGGAGGAGAGGGAAGTTCGAGAGGAGCTGCTCCTACCATCATGAAAATATTGCTGGCTCTCTGTGTCATAATTTTATGCTAAACTTCGCCATTTGTACAGCTGGCTCTGACAAGTGGTGCCCCGTGTGAGGCTGAATAAAAGAATACGTCTGAGGACTAAGAAAACCGTGTGAGGCAACTTAAAGAAAACAGTCTGAGGCAGACTGAGGCTTTTAAAAGGAAACCGTGTGAGGTTTATCGATCCTAGCAAAGGATATCATCGGCTCACTACGCCCGGCCAGGGTTTCAAGCGCTATTCATCTTAAAAAGATCCCGGTGAGTTCCGATCCCTTATTCATATTGATTTTAGAAAAATGGGCAGCTCTTTGTCTGCTCCCCAACAGAAGTTTTTAAAAGACTTAAAATTTCTCCTCTCCTCCAACAAATTGGAAGTTACGGATGGTGATTTAATACAGCTCATTCTGACTATTGGAGAGCATTCCCCCTGGTTTCCCGCAGATGGGACTTGGGAATTAAAACTTTGGGACAAGATCGGGGAACATTTTCATGGGCACCCCAGCATAAGTGTTCGGATTTTAAATGCATGGTGCAAGGTTCGTTATGCCATGGACTCTTTATCACCAAAAAAATATCTCTATGGCTGCATTGCCAACACAACCTTCAGCTTCTTTACTTCAGCCTGCTGTGTTAGAGACTGTTCCAATACTTGCTTTGCCAGCAGCAGCTCCAGACCCCAAACCTCCGGACTACAGTTCCTCACCTGAGGACTCAATCCTGCAAAAATACAGTGGTCTGGCTGGCAATGATCCTAATCTTTCAGCGGCAGAACCAGAACCAGAACCTTTTCAACGTGCAGTCCTTGCCTGTTCCTTAATTCAGGATACTATGGCATTCCCTGTTATTGTGCCCCCTGCTGGCGCTCCAGCAGGCACCCAAGCCCAACACCAACCTTTTGACTTTAAGATTCTGAGAGAGCTGCAACAGTCAGTAAAGGCCAATGGACTCCAAGCCCCATATACGCAGGCGCTTTTAGAAGCCACATTAGCCCAGCTCTTGGTTCCAGAGGCCCATACAGTGTTGCCCCCATCAGCTGGTGTTTTGTTTGCCCACGAATGGGAAACTGCCTGCCGTGCTTATGCTCCAGCCTTGTTACAACAAGTCAGAGGAAATAATCCAAATGTTACCCTCGCAGACGTCTTAGATGCCATGTTGGGGCGTGGTCCCTTCGTTCAAGCTTCAGTGCAAGCCACACTGCTGCAAATCTTATTGAGGGACACTGCTCTTGCTGCTAAACAAGCAATGAGAAAAATCCCAGAACCCAGTATTCAATCAAGGTGGGGTTCAATCAGGCAAGAGGCAAGAGAATCATATTCTTCCTTTATGGACAGGCTGCTTACAGCAATGAGTCGCCAAATTGAAAATCCTGAAGCCAAACAAATAATTATCAAACAATTGGCCTTTGAAAATGCCAACGAGGATTGTAAGGTTGCGTTACGACCGATAATACACAATCCTGCCACAGACACAGCAGCCATGCTTCGCATTTGTCAGTCTGTAATTACAGCCACCCACAAGGCTTATCTGCTGGCAGCAGCGCTAAATGAAAACCAGCCTGTAGCCACCGATACAACTTATTTCCAGGGTGGCAAACCAGGATCACCGATACCCCAGGGGGGGTAGAACAGTGGCCTCTACCACACGCAACATCCGCCGCCGCGGCACCAGCTATCTCGGAACAGCTTATTTCTGAACAATTGACTTTCGGCCACATTGAACCATCTTCATCCCACTGGCTCCAGCAGACAGGGAACAGTTTGCTTTTACATTGCCAGTATATAACAATTCGCAGCCCACCCAGCGATATCAGTGGGTTGTCCTGCCTCAAGGCATGCGGAACTCCCCTACACTTTGTCAACATTTTGTGGGTGAAGCATTGAAACCTTTCCGCATGCGCCACCTAGAGGTGCTGCACACGAGCTGCACCTGGCAGTGTTTGCCTTCCTAACCATTTGCCTTGCCATCCTTTGCTGCACCGTTATACAAGGATCCAGCAGACGACCCAGTCCAGTGGAAACCACCATATTTCACCTCATCGGCTGGCAAGCAGCTGTCGCCAGAATCCTACTCTGGCTGGCAGTATCCACGGCTCAGCCACTTTTGAACTAGAAGAACAGCGTTGTTGAATAAGACTTTTAGGGGAGAAAATTATCATAAGATATGGAGGGATAATATTTTTGTACAAGATATGATTATGTTTGCCAGTTTATTGCATGCTTCTAAATGTTGGGTGTGTATGCCAGTCATTCAGGCATAATGCTTCATGGTGTGCCTGTCAATGGATCTTTTCAATTTACTAATATTATATCCCCTAAGCAAACTTTTTGTTATTTTCAAATTAAGGAGGGGAAAGAATCATGGGGCATATATCCAAACTGTCAATATACATTGAATTTCACTTTTAATAGCTCTTGTTCTCTTACAGGAACAGTGACCAATCTCAGTGCTATAGTAGTGACACCAGTGCATGGCTATTAAACTAAAAGGAAGCCTACCATGCAGCTTGGAATCAGAATTCTTATATTCTTGGCTTCCGGATTTTAGTGATCATTATAGTAGTTATTGATTTTAGTGATCATTATAGTAGTTATTTGCATTATTTTGTGTTGCTGTATCCAATGTATTCTTTCTATAATTTCTATATGTACTGCATGGTTCTCCAGTCCGCGGCCCGCTTCCGGTGTCAAAGAGTCGCTTATCGCGTATTGACTCTGGTATAAAGTAAAGAAAGAGGGAATGTGGGAGTCATAAAGCCACGGTAAAGGCTTGTAATATTGCAGGTTGCCCCCTGACCTTGGCTGACCAGCACTCTGAGCTTTACAATGTAATGGAATGTATTGGAGCTGTGTTTCCTCTGGGGAGTGATGCCCTATATGGTGAAGGGGGCAATAAAAGCCTTGACCGGATGAGGTAACGTGAGACACTGGCAAAACAGCCATGCGGCTGGAGAGGGACAAAGGAATAAAGAAGTAACCAGGAGGAGGAGAGGGAAGTTCGAGAGGAGCTGCTCCTACCATCATGAAAATATTGCTGGCTCTCTGTGTCATAATTTTATGCTAAACTTCGCCATTTTTACGGCTGGCTCTGACAAGGCACCTTCCATGTTTCCGTCTCATTGGTATTGCCTGAAGTTGTGCTTTTACTATCTCCCTCTTAACAAACTCCCAGCCGTCATGAACTCCCTTTCCTTGTAGTATTACTGTCCATGGGATCTCACCCAGCACTTCCCTAAGTTTTATGAAGTCGGCTTTCTTAAAGTCAAGAAATTGAGTCCTAGTATGCTTGGCTGCTCCTTTCCGCTGTATAGTAAACTTCAGAAGAGCATGATCACTCGCGCCTAATGATCCTTCCACTTCTACCCCACTAACCAGGTCATCAACATTGGTTAGGACCAGATCTAAAATGGCTGTTCCTCTTGTTGCTTCTCCCACTTTCTGGACAATGAAGTTGTCTGCAAGGCCAGTGAGGAATCTGTTTGACCTTATGCTCTTGGCTGAGTTTGACATCCAACAAATATCCGGGTAATTGAAGTCCCCCATTACTACTATCTCCCTTCCTTTTGCATGCTTGGCCATCTGTTCCAGGAAGGCATCATCTATGTCCTCCGTTTGGCTTGGGGATCTATAGTAAACTCCCACAATGAGGTCACTGTTATTCTTCTCTCCCTTAATTTTGACCCAAATGCTCTCACTTTGGCTTTGAGGTTCTAAATCTTGGATCTCTTCACAAGTATACACATCCCTGACATATAACGCCACTCCTCCTCCTTTCTTGTCTGGTCTGTTTCTCTGAAATAGATTGTATCCCTCCATTATTACATTCCAATCGTGGGACTTATCCCACCAGGTTTCAGTGATGCCAGCATGTTGAAGCTGGTTCTGCAATGTTGCAGAGTTTTGAAAAATTAAAAAACAAAGTGCGAGACTGGCTTCATTATTATCAGATAATGGAGGCATACAATTTGGACAAGAAAATTGGCTTGTGGTTCGAGGACCCGACCCCCGCGATGTGAAATGAATACACAAGGACACGTGATATAAGGTTAATGGGCATGGAAAGGCCACAACTTTATTGATTACAGCAGTGAAAAGGTATTGGCTTAGGCATTGGATCTCTAAAACACGTGGGTTTATTCACCAGTAGGTGGAGCCTGTTGATGCTAATCCAACTATAGGCTCCCCCCTGATGTCACCGAGGGTCGTGCCATGGCCTCCCGCCAAGCAGGCATCGGACAGAACACACGACCGCCAGATTCCTTTAACGGAATACCCAAAAATTGAAGGCATAGGCGATGGCCACACCTAGCCCTTCGACACACCACAACACATTATTCCAATGCCTAACCTACCCACCAATACCACAAAAGTTGTGACGATTGCTACGAGGTTGTCGAAAAAAGCCTAATGCCAAATGGAAAAACTCCTACCAGGCCCCCTGGACAACCAGGGCGACCAACCTAAGGTCCATAGCAAGGCCAATGACCTAAGCCCTAACTCTAAGGGAGTGGAGGGTGGGTGACTCGCGACGAGACGACGGCGAAGAATGAGGCCAGGGAGAGGCTGGCACCGCAGCATAAGGCTGCTGAACACGCCCCTCCGAGGCACCTGGTTGGATGCCAGCAGACGGGGCGTGGGCGCCAGCCAGGTGAGGTGGAGGCAGGGGGCAACCGCCCCCTGCTAGGGGCGGTGCTCGGGCTCCCGCCCACAACCACTCCCCTCTCTTCCACGGAGGAGAGTCTTTCCAGGTGGAAAAATCAAAATTAGAAACAGAACTGTTAGAACCCAAAACTAAGAATTTGTCAAGAATGTATAACTTGCTGCTGAAATGGAACACTCAGGATGAAACGGTGAAATCTGCTATGATTAAATGGGAACAAGACGTTGGACACAACATTATGTTCACTGACTGGGAACAGTTATGGACCACAGGTATGAAGTTTATGGCATGTAATGCCCTAAGAGAGAATATTATGAAAATGATATACAGGTGGTACATAACCCCAGTTAAGCTTGCAAAAATCTACCACTTGCCTGATAATAAATGTTGGAAATGTAAAGAAACTGAAGGTAAATTTTTTCACCTTTGGTGGACGTGCCCAAAGATTAAGGCTTTCTGGGAGATGATATATCATGTATTTAAATAGGTCTTTATATATAGCTTCTTGTGGAATCCAGAGGCCTTTCTCCTGGGCATAGTCGGCCAATTGGTGTTAAAAAGGATAGAACTTTCTTTATGTATGCCACAACAGCAGCAAGAATACTCATCGCAAAGTATTGGAAGACACAAGAGCTACCCACACTGGAGGAATGGCAGATGAAATTGATGGACTATATGGAATTGGCGGAAATGACTGGCAGAATCCGTGACCAGGGAGAAGAGTCGGTGGAAGAAGATTGGAAGAAATTCAAAGATTACTTACAGAAATATTGCAAAATTAAAGAATGTTAGAGTGATGTTGGATTGAAACTCAGTGGCTTCTAGCTGTACAGGCTTTAAAGTTATATATAGATTAAGATTAAGGATTAGGATTAAAAAGGTTAAAAGAATGGAAAATTGGTCTTTAATAGGTAAAAATTTAATGTTATATTATATTAAGATTAAGGATTGGGATTAAAAAGGAGGGAAAGGAATTGCTGGACAAACAAACTGAATTGGAATATAAAAGAGGGAGGTATGAGGAGGTCTGGGAAATAAGTAAATGTAAAAGTAGTGATGAAAAGATGGAATTGTTTTTAACTGTTTTTTCTTTTTGCTTTTTGTATTCTGTATTGTGTATTTTTCTTTTTCTTTTTAAATTCTCTTTTTTATTATTAACGTGTTTCTTTTCATGTGAAACTTTAATAAATATCATTTTTTAAAAAAAGAAGCTGGTTCTGCAATGTTGCATCATGCAACACAAATGTGCCTTTGCAGGGGGGAGGGGGACAGGCACTGCATGCCTGCTGTGAGCCCCACCTATAGGAGAAGCATGGACCACTCTAGCCAAAACATCACTCAATCTCCTCATTTTCCCCAAGAAGCAACAGGAGTTTTGCAAATGTTGGGTAGGGCAACTGCAATTAACATGCTGGAGCCTCTCTCTCTCTTTAACACAACACATTCTTGGGCTCCTATTTCAGCAATTTAAACTATGCAACAACAAGCCTCAACAAGTTAGCCCTCTTGGAGAATTAACACAGCTCAGCAAAACAAACTCCTTGTTTTCGAAATGTGAATATGAGGTGAGGCTTTGATCACACAAAACTTGCATCCAGATGTATAGACAGACAGACAGACACACACACACACGACACCTCACATCACACAGGCCTTGTTTCCTGCAGCAAGCTAAATCCCCTGCCATGTGAGAAGTACAGCCGTGAGCATTCATTTTGTCCTGAAAACACTTACATTGGGCGGTTTCCATGTGCATGAAACACAATGGCCTTAGGCCACTGCGAGAAACTAATCCTCATTGTAGTTTTCTCCTTCAGCAGCTATGCCTCTTGGACAGAAATTTCTACAAAGGTCTCACTAGTTTATATGGCTAGCAATGGGGGAGCTGATGATGACTGAGGCATGTAAATTCATAGTGTACTGAATGGGGTGGAATGCATGGGCCTCTCTAACCAGAAGGTGGTCCAAACTGATAAATCAAGGGAAGGACCTGAAATATCACTGTAGGTGGCCACATCCCTCAAATCCCCCATGACTACTGAGAACTCCAGGATTGACTCCTGAACCAGCCTACTTGCGGAGACAAAAGGAGACACATAAAACCTATGATGAAGGGCGTTTGAAAACTGCAGAAGTATCTGCAGAAGCAACTGCAGAAGTTTGAAAAATCCCTACATGAGTACCTCGGACACCTTTGCTCATGTGTATGGAATTAGGTAATTGTAAGACTCTGGACTAAGACTCTGGTTGGGGTGTTTTAAAAGCAGATTTTCCAACTACACAAATTCCCCATAAGACATCCCACACTAAAAAAAAGAAAGAAAATTATATGACATAATTAGGCTAGCAGGCTAGAGGTCCTCAATCCCAATCAAATCCTTTAAATACAACAACAACCTACAAAGCATCCTGCATGCAAAGAATAAGAACACACACAACAGAAACCAGAACATTTCATCATCTAGCCCAGTGGTCTTAAACGGCTCTAGACTTGAGACTCACCTCTGATTCCCAATCTGCAAAATGGGACCCAACTGTACTTTTCCACTCCTGCTTTATAAACAGTGCTAGCAATGCATTACTATTCATTCTAAAATGGCAACTCACAAAGCACTATTCTTAGCTTTGCTTTAGCATTAGTACTAAATGAAAGCCAGTGATGCTGACATTTGATCTTAGCTGAAAGGCCAAGAAGCGACTGACAGACTCACAGTTTCAGTCTGACACCTGGGCATGTTTCTCCTAGATGATGATGATGATGATGATTAGGGTTACCATGGTTACCAAATAGCAGGAAGCAGATGACAGCATCAGTTGCCAATTCTGGGTATCATTTACTAACCAAAATCCTACACTTTAGTGATGTTAGTTACTGAAAGTGTACTTGCGTCACATTAGAGCTCAATGAATTGTTTCTGGAACTCATATCTTAATTCTAGAGACTGTGTACAGCATATAGTGACTGTATCCACTATATACCCTCAGAACTTTGGGTGGAAATAGGAACCAAAACTTGTAATTTACTGTTTTGCACATTGCATAACAACTCCTTTGCTATAAGCAATTTTTATTGTTTGACCTTTATAAAATAATAATAAAAAAATTGTGCAACAGTTGGAACTATGTCAATGGAATTTTTTACTAACCTCTCAATCAGTTTCAGCATTTTTTAAATGCCTCCAATATCTTAACAGTCAAAAATTGTAAAATTTCTTCCTGGCATTGAGGTTTTTCATTAAAGCAACTGAACACATCTATAAGGTATGCCAATCTTAAAAAGCCACATTTATGAGTTGTCAAATAAAAAAAGCCTATGCCAGCGATTTATTTCTCAAAAACTTCAGAACTTCATGCTGAAGCACTTGTGATCACTTTTAAGCGTAACAACAGTTTTGTGTTCAGAACCCATTTCTTTGCTGAGAACTTCTATCCAGAGTACTAGCTTTAAATTTCGATTTCTGCACATTTTCCTAGAACAGAATTAAGGATTTCACTCATGTTTGGTCCAGTCATACTGAGCTGGATTACAACATGGTGGTGGCAGCTTTGCTGCAACCCACCTGGTGTGGCCTCAGGACCCACCTGTGGGTCCCAACTGACAGGTAGAAGACTATGACTAGCCCATGCCAACATATAAACAGAACAAACACCCTGAACAGGAACATAGAAAGCTGCTTTATACAGAGACAGGCCATTGATCCATCTAGCTCAGTGCCGCCTCCACTGACTGGCAGCAGCTCTCCAGGGTCCCAGGCAGGGGTTTTCCCAGGGATTGAACCTGGGGCTTTCTGTACGCAGAGCTGGTGCTCTACCACTGAGCCCCAAGCCTTTCCCCTTGTAAGACTTTACAAAAAACCCCAGAATGCTTGGTTTGCCAGCTTGCAAATAATTCTATCCTGTTAAGGTGGAGAACATTATCAACGAACAAAAACACTTAAGATTTTTTATTCCAAGCACAGAAGTCCCACCAACATACACAAAACTTGGAAACCACTTACCAGTACCAGCTCTTATGCTGCTGTTGTGCTGAGTGTCGCCCATTCTGTGACATTTGCTTATAAAAGGAAATAATGAGTGCAAAGGGGTTGTATGTTTTTTTGGTAGACTTCTTTGCTGGCCAAGAGATCAGGAAACAGCCTTAATCTCCACTTAGCAGGGGGCTTCACTGCTGCAAACAAGCCAGGTTTAAGCTGTTCATTAAAGGGTAATCAGGTAGCTTTCCCCCCCTTTTTTTTTGCAGCAGAGGGTAGAAGAGTGGCCACTGCTGCTGAGAGGCAAGGGTACCAACCAAGCTGTGAACCAGGAGGCCCAGAGTTCACATTTCACTTTGCCAGTGAACACACTACAGTAGATGGCTCTTTAGGACCACATTTCCCAACAAAAGTGGTTTCACTGAGCACCCTCCAGACACAGGAAAAACAAAACAGAAAAGCATCCATCGGAGATGGCAAAGCCAGAGTGGCTGGGGAAACCAGCCAGATGGGCGGGGTATAAATAAATAAGAATTAATAATAATAATAATAATAATAATAATAATAATAATAATAAATGCGAGGAACTCTTCTTTCTATTTTTCTTCTCAGAATCTACCCGCTCCCCAAGAGTACAGTTCCTATTTATTTTCCATAGCTGGTGGGAAAAGCTGCAGGGATGTATATAAGGACATAAGAGCTTTTTGGACCAGGCCAATGACCCATCTAGTCCAGCATCCTGTTCTCAGTGGCCAAACAAATGCCTGTGGGAAATCCACAAGCAGAATCTGAACACAAAAGCACTACCTTTTCCCGTGGCTTCCTGCAACTGTTATTCAGAAGCATTGCTGCCTCCAACTGTAGAGGCAGAGCATGGCCATCATGGCTAGCAGTCATCAATAGCCTCCTCCATGAATTGGTCTAATCCTCTTTTAAAGCCATCTAGGTTGGTGACCATCACTGTCTCCTGTGGCAGGAAGTTCCAAAGTTTAGCTATGCACTTTCTAAGAAATGCTTTGGTTTTATCTTCCAACATTCAGCTTCACTGGGTGTCCATGAGTTCTAACTGTTAGGCGAGAAAGAAAAGATATTCTCTATCCACATAATTTTATAAACTTCTATGAGGTCACCTCTTATGCTGCAATGTTTCTTCCTAGGGGAGTCACTTCCATCCCCTTCATCATTTTGGTTGCCTTTTTCTGAACCTTTTTCAACTTTACAATATCCTTTTTGAGGTGAGGCAACCAGAACAGTACACAGTAAAATGGTCAAGGAACAGCTGTAGCTCAATGGCAGAGCACCTTCTTTGCACACAGGAAGTCCCAGGTTCAACCCACAGCTTCTCCAGATGGTGCTAGAATGTCCCCTGCCTGAAACCCTGGAGAGCAGCTGCCAGTCAGTGTAAACAATACTGAGTTATATGAACCAATGGTCAGACTTAGCACAAGGCAACTGCGTTAGCAGGCAATCTTCCAGCTGCAAATTACAACATCCTGGAAGGCTGTTTATAATACTGTTTGCTCATCACACAAGTCCTTTCTCCAAGTCTTCCAATACACTTGAAAAGTCCAGATATAATTACATGACTGCTCATTTACCTGACTGAGTTGGAAGACATTAGAAAATTAAGATGACACCTCCCCTTGGATGTGACAGGCAGGATCTTCAAAACTTTGCCACCGCCTCCTCCCCCAGAACAAACGTAATAGGCTAGTTTCTGGAGTCCTATTTTCCAGATCTTCCTTGCCTCAGAGAATTAGGTGGGGGGTGGGGGATCAGCTTTGCCTCAGGCCTCACAAGGCTGTTGAAAGGGTTATGGAGATGAACATGAAGCACTTTGAAGATTAGAAAGTGCTTTATAAATGCAAAGTAATAGTATTATAATCTTTACTAATAACTAGGGCTGCATAGAGATGTGGAGGCTAGGGGAGGAGTGGCAGGAGGAGTAGGCAATTCCTCCTGCCACCCCCACCCCCCCAGCCTTTGCAGCTCTAGCAATGACTGGTCAATTAATTTGTTAGTTCAAATGAGAAAAAAACATTTTGACCTAGCTAAGAAAATGTCCCAAATTAATTGATCAATATATATTTTTAACTTAATTATTTTTAATGCAAAAGAAACATTTATTATTATTATTATTACTTTAGAATGAGTTTTTCTGTTCAAACACCAGGCATCTCCAGGTAGGGCAGAGAAAGACTTCTTCCCAAAACCTTGGATAACTGCTGCCACAAAGCTAGTGAAGATACCACAAAGCTATATGGCCCAATGGCCTGACTCGGTATTAGGCAGATTTCTACGTTCCTAATAATCTAATGCAACTTGGAATCAGTAGCAGCCCAAGAATGTTACACGCAACATCCGTTAGCTACAGCCTGCCCACACACATCTGTCTGTAGATGGCAGAAGAGCTAGGTCAGAAGATGAGGGAGCTTCCTCATCAGTTTGCACCCTTCAAGCTGTCAATGAAATCCAGCCCCACCATATGCCTCTTTCCCTTTGATCTGCCTGCCCCAGGGTCCAGAGCAAGAGTATTTCCAGATGGGACAGCCATTTTCAGTTTTCTTAGCAACTTTCAATCTCTACTGCTAGGCTCTGGGCAGGCAGGCCACAAGGAGGTCAGAGGCTGGGCCAGCAGGCAAGGCCCCACCCTACCAGACATTGATCTGTACATACCATGAACCTGTGTGCAGAGAAGGGGTGGAGAACACTTTTCTGCCCAAGGGAAGGCTGCCTTGTGGGCAGCCTTCTGGGGGGCACGTAACAGTGGTGAAATGGGGCGGAACAAATGTAATAAGCTAGTTTCTACACAAACGTACACACCCTTCTCCAACCAGGCAAGCAAAAGGCATTATCAGCCTCAAGCTAGCCACCGCAGTATAACCAACCTCCAGATGAGTTTCCCAAAGCTCTGATGCATTTCAGCTCTGTGTATTTAAAACCTCTACTTCCAAAACAAGTGTGACCAAGCAAGTTACACACATCATGTTTAAAAAGTTAAAAATGGTTCCTCACATGATTCCTAACCCATAGTTCATAAGATTATTATTTTTTTAAATTGAAAGATATTGATATAAGAAGAACCCATTTGATTGCTGGACTGGAAAGGCCAGCTTCCAGTACCTTGGAGGGTTTACATCTGATTACATTAATGCTGCCATGTCTGCAAACTAAAAGAATTTATGCACCTGGCAATCAGACAGTAAAGTCAACAGTGGCACACTCCCAAACTAGGTCAGTGACAGCCTGCCTTATTAGCAGTTTCAGATCAACAAACAAAAGTCACTGGAAGATAAACAACTTTCTGCAGGACACCAAATGCAGCTTTGTCACACTTGAGATGGCAAAATACAAAAATGACACTGGTTGTCTTTCTGGAGGAGAACTAATCATTTTATAATGCAACCTTATGAATGTTTACTTACCCTAGCTGTGCAGCAGTCAGCCCAGAACACAGGAAACTGTCTTATATCGAGTTAAACCATCAGTTTTGTCTGCACAGATTGACATTGGTTTTAGACAGGAGTCTCTCCCCAGTTCTACTCAGAGATGTCAGTGATTGAACCTGGAACTTCTGATTGCAAAACAGATGCTCTAGCACTAAGCTGTGGCCCTTCCACATCACCCTCCCCAAACTGAAACCTGGGGTGGAAAGGAGATTGTTCCTGATCTCTCATGGAGGTATAAGAAAAAAGCCAGTGACAACAGGGGGAACCAAGGTCCTGGCAACCACAAGTTTAACTTGGTTACCAAAACCAGTCAAAAAATGGCAGCTCCCTATGCACAGGTAAGTGTGCATAAAGACTGTATTGCTTCAGACTCCAAAGGGGCGGGAGACATCATAGTTGACAACCCAGCTCAGGAGGAAAATAATTTTTAAAAGAGCAAAGAAACACAAGGCACACTGGTGCAAACCAGGGAAATAAATTGCTCCAGGGGGGAGAAAGAAGAAAAGTTAAATGTTGACGCACGCAGAGAAGTTGGGTCTTTGAAGGTGTAGCAAGCTGAGACAAAGCCTCATCTGTCTTCAGAGGCTTCCATGCAGCAACAGGGAGAAAGCTTTTGACATTAATCTTATTAAAGCAGTCACCCGAAGATTTAGTATCTCATATGATCTCCTGAATTTCTGACAACAAATAATAATAATAATAATAATAATAATAATAATAAATAAACCTTTATTGTCACTACACCACCTGTGTGCAGTGAAATTAAACGAGGCCCCCCCCCATACACTCAGTCTTGTTCGCGCTCTGTGTGCTTGTCAGAAGTCAATTACACCACTATTTTTTCCCATTCAGCAGCCCAACAGCCCATGGATAAAAATCTGTTCTTTAACCTGTTGGTGCGGCTGACTATACTTCTGTATCTCCTGCCCGAAGGTAGGAGATTAAAGAAGTGCTGGTCAGGGTGTGAGTCGTCCCTAAGAATTTTCCTCGCTCTCCTGAGGCAGCGGACTCCCGCGATGTCATCTAGTAAACTTTGAGGACAGCCCATGATGTCATGTGCTGTATTCGCCACCCTCTGTAGGGACTTCCTGTCCGGGGCTGTCAAACCAGCGTACCACACTGTTATACAGTATGAAGGGACACTTTCTATTGTGGCCCGGTAGAAGGAGATCATCAATTTTTTTTTGACGTTGTTCTTTTGCAAGACCCTGAGGAAATGGAGTCTCTGTTGGGCCTTCCTAACCACCTAACCAACCAACAGCAGCCGATTCACACTCCACAACTACCACAGAACTCTTTGGAACCCTCTAGGCTCAGCCTTTGAGCACCCTCAAACCTGATTGGGTCAGAGAGAAATAGGAAGCTGCCTTACACCAGAGCAGATGATTTGTGCATCTAGTGCAGTGTTCTTTAAGCTGATTGGCAGCTGCTTTCCAGCTCATCTGGCACAAAAGGGTCTTCCTGACTACCTAAGACCCCTTTAACTGAAGATTCCAGGGGCAAACTGTATGATCTGTGACTGAGCTATGCTCCCTCCCTCCCCATAGCAGCGATTTTTCTTTGGACACATAACCATTGCAATTGTCTTAATATTGTCTTAGTATTGTATTCTTATTTCATTGCAACTTACCCTGAGACCTTATTATAGCAAAAGGTGGGTAAGAGGCAGTAAGTATCATTGGTTAGGGGGTGTTGAACTAGGCCTGGGAGACAGGGGCTCAAATCCCTAGTGACCTTGGGCCAGTTGCCATCTCGCAGCCTAACCTTTCTTACATGGTTGTTGTTGTGAGGATAAAATGGGGGAGGAAGAGAACTCTAATGAACACCACTTTCAGCTTCTTGGAGGAAAGGTAGGGTATAAACACAATAAATAATTCTTATAGAGAAAATAGCTTTTTCTTCTTCCTATTATTATTATTATGTGCTTACCCTCTCAAACTCACACTATTACCCTCTCATCTGGTATTGTTTATAATTTTGTTTATCACATTTCTGCATTCCATAATATCTTCAAAGACCTCAGGTTAACAAATATGAGATTCTTCCCATTTTATCATCACAACAAGCCTTTGAGGTAGAATAAAGGAAGAAGGCAATGGCTGGCCCAAGGTTTTCCAGTTAACTCCTTTGGGAGGAAGGACAGGGACTGAAAATGAAGTGCCCCCCCACACACTTTTAGTTTGCCGCTGAATCTACTACTGGAGAACATCCATGGATGTGCCTGACATACATTTAGGCCTGTTTTGCCTTCTCGCTGGTCAAAAATATTGTTCATAGCATCAGGAACTTATGTGCACCCAACTAGTGCTGTACATATGTGACAACAATGACATGGCACATACGTACATGCAAATATTTCACTGACACCGGGTCACTCTAGTTGCAGGGGACCCTACAGCCAAGCTTACCTATACTCCTTCCGTTGCCCCATGGCCTCTGCAGCAATGGGCTGCTTTATTACATTTCTATCCCACATTTACTCCTAGGAGCTGAAGGTGGCCGCACATGGTTTCCTCCCTCTCCAGTTTATCCTCACAACAACCCTGTGAGGTAGGTTAGACTGAGAGGCAGTGACTGGCCCAGAGCCACCCAGTAAGCTTCATGGCTGAGTAGGGATCTGAACCCTGGTATCCCAGGTCCTACTCTGAAGAAAAAATGAAAATCTGGGGTTGTACCAAATGTTAGTTCTACTCAGAGTAGGACCCACTGAAACTAATGAAATCAGTGGGTCTACTTTAAGTGGAACTTATCTGGATACAGTCCTTGGTACAGGACACTAGAAGCTCCAACAGCAACCTAGGTCTTGGCTTGCTTTTGGAATTCTGCAACAAGGAAATTCTGCAACTGAAATAAATTATGAAATAATAACCCATTGTGCATAAATGACGGCGAAAGGCGAAGAGTCCTACAAGGCATGAATGGGGTGTGATTGCCTGGCGTGGCCATCACTGGCAAATATGCCAATGAAATGAATTGAGTGTTTGCAGATCTGCCAAACTTCCATATCTGACCTGCTGAACACCATGACAAGATCACACCCCAAGTTATTTACGCAGTGGTTTTATATCTCATTCCTGCTCTCTGTCTAATCTAGGTATTTTAAAGCCCTCTACCTCTGCAGGACTAAGTGCACAAATGACCGCAAGAGGAAAAGCAAACAGCAGCTGGAGATTAGAGAGTTTAAACTTTAAAGAACAGAGAATCACAAGTTTATGTCAACAAAAGAGAAAGCACTTGGTTAAACAGTTATATTATCTACAACACCCCCCCCCCCAGCATTTAAGTCAATGGGGTAGTTTCAGAGTTCCATTCAGGGAACAAGGAGCCCTTGACTCCCACTTCTCTGCTCCAAAGGACTGGGTGAACCCTTCAAATCAGCACCCAGTGGTGGCACAGAAGGAATAATTCAAAATGCTTTGTGTCCTTCCATTTCTGTTTGCTGAAGGGCTCCATCAGATCCAAGCCACTCTCTTTAGCACCAGAGTCCCCACTTTCTTAAAATGCAAAATCCATATTATTATTCAAACAAATGAATAACTGGACTCCATCAGGATGTTGTGGACTCTCCTTCACTGGAGGTTTTTAAGCAAAAGTTAGATGGCCATCTGTTAAGGATGCCATAACAGGGATTGGACAAGATGACCCTTGGGTTTCCCTTCCAACTCTACAATTCTTTGATTCTATGAACACCTGAATGGCTTTTTTCACCCCAGTGTTTAAGGCAAATGTACCAGGTGTGGGCAGAGAGGTTGAAGGCAGGAAGTGGACTGCTCCACAGCAGCAACCAGACTCGGCAGAGGAGGGTGAAACCGACATAAGACTACTGCTGAAGATCCAATTCCCCATGGATCGTTCATGATCTCACAACACTATTATAGGTTGCAGGGGCTGAAGAGTGGAACAGTTTATTATGCAAAAACAACTTTGACCGAGACCGAAGAACATAGGAATCAACCACATGCTGGATCAGATCATTGGTCCATCTAGCTCAGTACCATTTACACTGATGGGGAATGGCTCTGCTGGAAACCGCCAGAGGAGGAGAATGCTCTTGCTCTCAGGTCCTGATTGCATGCATCCCACAGGCATCTGGTTGGCCCCTGTGAGAGCAGGATGCTGGACTAGATGGACCACTGGCCTGATCCAGCAGGCTTTTTTATGTTCTTATGAGATGCTGGGGATTGAACCTGAGGCCTGCTGCAGTCAAAACAGATGCTCCACCACTGCATCACAGCCCTTTCATTGGAGATCCATTGCTAAATAGGCTAAATAGCAGAAAAGTCATGGGCCAGATGAAGCAAATACCCTGAAGTTGTGTAAGTCAAATGTTCATATAAATCTGAACAGGAACTTGCAGCATCACAGGCTGAAATCTTGAGCACAGGAAAAATAAAAATAACAAATAACTAAATATATATATTTAGAATTGCCAGCCCTTCTGCAGCCTCAGAATTTCACACAAGTGCTTTTAAAACATGATCTGTCATTGTTGCTTTTTAAAAAATCCTGGACAGCCTGACTTTTAAAAACAAGCTGAAGCAGTTCCCTGATGTTTCCTCCACCCATTAAAATAGCCGCTCACTAGGCCTGTAGTGAGCAGCCTTGGACTAAATGCTTCCAACTTTGCAGTTTACCAAGTAATTGTTGAAAAGGCTACCACCGCCCAAGCTTCAGCAAATGGGCACACTTATGTTCTGCTGATCTGCATCCAAACCAAATGTCTGACGGCCCCAAGCTAAATAAGAAACCAGCTGAGTTGAGCTAAGACTGCCAGAAGACCAGTGGCAGAGAGTCTTGCATAAACTGAACCTTAAGGACAACCTTTAGATATAACCCCAAACATTTCTTTAAAAATAAATTATTGCACTTATTCTTCCAAGGAGCTTAAGACTGTAGGAAGGACCACAGTTCAGAAGGTTGCAGGCTCAATCCCCAGCATCTCCAGGCAGAGCTGGGAGAAGCTCCTGTCTGAAACTCTGGGGAGCCACTGCCAATTAGTGTAGACAATATGGAGCTAGATGGACCAATGGTCTCAATCAGTGTAAGGCAACTTCCTATCTTCCTAAGGCAGCGTGCATGGTTCTCCTTATAGCTCCACCTTGACTGACTGACTGACTGACTGGTTACTTAGGTACTCAACAATAGTTCTGCTCAGAATAGATCCAGAAAAGTTGGAAACAACTAACTTGGGTTGATTAATTTTACTGGGTCTACAACTCTGAGTAGGACTTAGCTGACCACAACCCTGAGTTTAGTTTACTGAACTGATAAATTGGTTCCCACAATAATGTCCTAAAACAATTTGCAATAGTATTAGACTTGGATATTACTTTATACTAAAAAGTCTCAAACAGATTTACAATATATGTTGCGCAATAAAACCTAAGTAAAAAAAATTTGTTGAAGTAGATTAGGCTGTGAGTGTTTTGCAGACCAATGCTCACACAACAAACTTCATGGTCATGTGGGAAAATCTGAACCCAAATCCTTATCCCAACATTCTAACCCCTGTTAACACCCAGTAAAAAAGGCTACCCAAATCAAAGGTTACAAGATTAAGTTCTTACGCTCATCTTGCCCATTAGACACCGCTGCTCTAAATGCAGGTCACTCCACTGCATGGCCCCAAGTGCACTAACTGGACTCATTTTGCACCTGGTTCTGATTGGTGGCCCCTGGTGTCCTAGTAAAAGACTACAACATAGATCCTGCAAGCCTGATTTACAGCATCAAATGCAGCTGAGCAGCCTAGAGGACTGAGCAATAAGCTCTCTCACACCCGACTTTAGGTGAATATCATTAGCCAATTAAATCAATCAAAGCAGCTCCACTCCTGAACCCTACTCTGAACCATGATTGGTTTGGTTGCAGAAGATCCACCTCATGAAGACTCCCTGGAGCTGCATGACATTTAAATCAATGCATACCAAAAATCACCATTTTAAACAGGTGTCTGAAACAAGAAAGTATTTCTTTCTGACTCCCAATGATTAAGATAGTAACACTGGTCATATAAAACCAACCTTCACCACCCTTGCGGTCCTCTGAATGCTTTGGACTACAACTCTCATCAGCTCTAGCCAGCATGGCCAATGGACTCGGAGGACATCAGGGTGGAGAAGACAGCTGTAACCATTCCATTGCATTTCCCTGTAATAAGACCCTGTTAGGGAAGAGTTCTGAGATCATTTCCTAAGGCTAAGCCACCCTTCTGCATCTGAAAAAAAGGGCTGAGGCCTTATGACTAATGTGGCTTTTCCACTCCAACATCAACAGGCTCCCTATTCATGAAAATGTGAATTGAAGTGGCAGGGTGGGTGAAAGAACTTTGAGCCTTTTGGCTATTTCCATGGAAAAGGAAGAATCAGAAGAATGGGAGGGTGGGTAGGAACTTTAGAAGTAAACCCCCTCTGGTATACACACGGCCTTTTTAGATTTAGGAGTCTCCAAAATAGTTAGCAGTTCCCCTGGCTTCTTTTTTTTTTAACCTGGGAAGCATTTCCACAAAACATAAGTCCCACTGAGTGTTCAACTAGGCTGACTCTCTGGTGTTTTTAGGATTGAAGCTTTCATTTCTCATATTTGTACACATCCCAGCTGTTCTTCATTTTAAGGAGTGAAACTTTGTGGAACATTACAGATTAACGGAACTGTATAGTAAAGAAGAGCAGACAGAAAGGAACTGCATAGCCCATCAGATCAGTGCTTCATTTCAAGAAAGAGATGCCAGATTCTGTTTGGTCTGGAAATAAGGCCACATCTGCCCTTTGCATTTAGACCAGCATCATAGCACTATAAACAGTCATGGCTTCCCCCATAGAATCCAGGGAACTGTAGTTTGTTAAGGATGCTGATAACTGTTTGGAGACTCCTGTTCCCCCCATAGAGCTACAATCCCCTCAGAGTTCCCTGGGAAGAGTGACTGGTTGTTAAACTACACTGGAAATGAGAAACCAGAGTTCAAATCCCTGGTTGTCTAGAAAGCTGCCAAGTGGCCTGGCCTCCCCTACAGTGTGTCACTATGCCTACCTCAGTGTTGCAAGAGAACACCACTCTGGGCATCCTGGATAGGGCAGAGGAGAAGAGCAGGATACAGATATAATAGGCACATTTTATTTACTTCAATATTTATAGGACCAGGTCCACCCAAAGCACGATTTTATATGGCCAGGTGGAGTCCAACAACATCTGGAGGGCCAAACCTGCTTTGACACAGGTGTGTGGAAGTGGGAGGTGACTTGTCACACAAGGCTCAGTGTTAAGATGTGTGAGCTAAAACTCCTCCTCTCTTGGAAGGTACAAATATTTAGTTGGCTTTTTCATCCTGTCACTTTCCTGCCTTCTGCCAAGCATATGTCTACCAGTAGATATCTATTAACCACAACAGATAAGAGCATTACAAGAAGCCCTGCCGCATCAGGTCTAAAGTCCATCTAGTGCAGCATCCTGGAGCTACAGGGAACCAGCCTGTTCCTGCATATGCTGAACAACCCTTCAGATATTCAAGGACAGCTATCATGCCTTCCTCTAGCCCAGTGTTTCCCAAACTTGGGTCTCCAGCTGTTTTTGGACTACAACTCCCATCATCCCTAGCTAGCAAGACCAGTGGTCAGGGATGATGGGAACTGCAGTTCAAAAACAGCTGGAGACCCAAGTTTGGGAAACCCTGCTCTAGACCTTCTCTGAGCTAGGCTGAACATACCCAGCTTTTCCAATCCTTCCTCATAGGACCTGCTTTCCAGGCCACTCGCCATCCTTACTGACCCTCTCTGAACATGCTCCTTTGTCATTTGTCTTCTGTTGTTTCTACAATGCTCTGAGATTGTAGGATGAAGAGTGGTCTAAAAGTCTAATAATAAAAATAATAGCCTTCTTAACTTGATCATAAACAACCTAGCATGAAGGGTGAACAGAGAGGGAGGTCAAGTTTGCCGATGATGCCCAATTGTCCAGGGTGGTCAAAAGAAAACGGGTCTGTATGGCACAGATTGAAGACAGGAGTGCCTGGTGTGCTCTGGTCCATGGGGTCACGAAGAGTTGGACACAACTAAACGACTAAACAACAACAATGGCACAGATTAGACCTAGGAGTTAGCTACAAGGCAAAGGCATCTCACTGCCATTCTGCACACACTCACGAGACACACATTTTCTCCTCCGCAGGGATCAGGAACGTATGGCCCCTCCAGATGTTTTTGGACTGCCAATGCCTATCAGGAATCCAGAAACACCTGAAGAGCCCCACACTGCAGTTCCCTTCCCGGCAGTCGCTGAAGAGCTGAGAACACAAGGCTCCCACCACTCTCCACATGCTCAGAGACATCCCTCCGTTACTCTGCACACGCCCTGAGAAACGCCTCTCTCCTCAGCCTTGATGGAGACCGGCTCTGGAACTCTTCGCATGCTCAGGGGCCTTTTCTCCGCGAGCTCCACCTGCTCCCTCCCACCAGAAGTAACGGGACACAAAAGCGATGTCTAGAGAGAGAGAAAGGCGACTGGAGGGAAGGGGAGGGAGAGGCCGCCGCCGCCGCCGCCGCCACGCACACACCCACAACACGCCAGCCAACTTTGCAGCCGTCGGCCCAACTTTCCCTCCACTCACCGTCGGAGCTGACCGTGTCGTAGGCATCGCGCTGGTGGGAAGCGCGGCGCGCCCCGTCGCCGGGCTCGCTGTAATCCACCCAGCTGAGTCCTTCCAAGTTGTCGTAGTCCGTCCGGTGCTTGTCCTCCACCGGCACGACGGTGAAGTGCGGCATCGTCTCGGCCACGCCGCGGCCCACCGCTCCCTCCGCCTCTGCCTCCGGTGGGGCTTCTCAGGAGCAGGCGGGGCGCAGCGGAGAGAGAAAGAGGCGCGCAGCAGCAGCACCCGCCGCGGGGCCAGGCTGGCATTCCAGCAGCCTTGGGTCACTTCCTCTCAGGAAACCCGGCTCGTCGACTCCACCCATTCCCCCCTCCAGGCTGCAAAAAAAGAAGCTGGGATCACGGGGGGGGGCATTCACCACGCCCCCGGGGGTGGGCTCTGTTTCCCCCAGCAAAACGCTGTCGGGGGATGAGTGAGGGGCAGAGAGGAGGAGCACGGTTGCGGGAAACGGAAGAGAAAGGGGGCCAGGATCTCATCTGCCAGCCCGCGACCACTCAACGAGAGGCAAAGAGAAGTGCTTGGCGTGGGGATGAGGGGTGTGAACCTGTGGCCGTCTAGATGTTGTCGGATTCCTCCTCCGACCAGCTGCGACCATTGGCCACGCTGGCTATGGCTAATGGGAAATGGAAGTCCTACACCAGCTGGAGATGGCCACAGATTTCCTGCCCCCGATCCGGATTGCAACGGTTGTGCCCTTAGGCTTTGGGGCAGAGGTCAAGGCCCCCACACGGCAGGATGTGCAGGAGGCTGAGCCCCCCCCCCAAATACAGCAGGGCTGGCTTGCCACATTTTGAAATAATGCACTTTACCAGCTGAAGAGGGGCCCAGAAAGACCATTAAGTCCAGAGTCTTAACTAGTACCCCCCCACACACAGATGTTTTTGACTACAACTCCCATCAGCCCCAGCCAGTGCTTGCTGGGGCTGATGGGAGCTGTAGTCGAAAACATCTGGGAGGCAACAGATTGGGAGAGCCTGGTCTAAAAAGAATTCATTGGAGGCTGGTCCATTAGGGAAAAGGAGGTGCTGTCCCACCAACCTTAGTCTTGATTCCCCCAAGCCTGCCGGACTTACAACTTATGACCTGTCCAGAGGATAACCCTCACCATCAGCTGCCTCCTCTTTTAGTCTCCGTGTTCCCCTATTAGAACTCAGCAGGGTGGAGAGTGGGTCAAATCTTGCCTTAGTTGGCGCTGCCTGTCATGGGCTCTGGCTTTGCCTGGCATTAGCTTTGACTCCACCTACCACTGACCTTGCTTTGTGCCCCACCAGACCCAAAGGGCGACAGCCACCACCGAAGAAGTTTTAAGTGATGGGTTGCAGCAGACTTCCTAGAATACATTGTCTGAGCAATACTTGCAGTAATTCTGTAAAGTAAGTAGATTTATTAAGTGTAAAGATTTTGCACATCACTTAGTAATTATGCAGGTTTCCAAGGCGTAGCAGACACCGCTCTAGGGCAGGAGTTTTCTTAGACATGTTGCATGCTCCTAGTTGTGAGAGTAGCAACCACTAAGGGAGGAGTGCAAGCTTTCTTTCGCTTGTGTTGCATCTACTCATTGCATCTGTTTGCCATCCTGCATTTAATCACTTTTATATTCTTTTGCAAGTGACTTGTTTCTGCCTGATCACTCTCAAATCTAATTGGCTGAGGCCCTGTGTGGGTCAGGTCTCCAGGTTAAGACACAGTTCAAGGACATACTAGTCAGGCAACAGCACTTCAGGCAGGTGCGGGGGGGGGGGGCTGTCCCTTGGATCCCACATTCAGCTCCCAGCCTTCCAAGTACTGTACTGCAAGTTGATAAGGGACATTTACGTTATTCTTTATGGAGCCCTTTCAAAGGAAATAGTGGTGAGAGGCTATCCCCTCCCACACAGTAATTTCAACGACACTTAAAAAACATCTTTCAGAAGTAACAGCCATAAAAAAGCGCCTCCAGGCAAACACTTAATCACATTTGACATTCAGTCTAATTTTGCCCTTCATTGTCCTGGAACAAATAATGTGTTTCCTATTCATTAGGGCTTCCTCTTCCCAGAAGTGTGACGGCGGCTTTTATTTTTGGGTCTTCGTTAACATTGAATTTGACTCATTGCGCCCCGTAATAAATTTTGAGTGAGAGAAGTCAAGATGATTCTTTTTTAGGTGGTAGAGACTTCGTGCTGAATTGTGAAGTCACTGAAGCAGCCAGGTTGAACTTCTGCAGTGACCCTTGGCTCGTGAATAGAAATCCTAGAGAAACAGTCCTGTTTTTGTCTGTGAAAATTTGTTGTGCAAATTCTCCAGGAAAATTGGAATGGTGAGGGAGACTTTTAAGGCCCAGCCATTCTGCTTGCCCAAGGGCTGGATTTGGCACAACTTGTGGCCCTTCATATGTTATTGAACTCCAACTCCCATCAGCCCCAGCCACACAGCTGGCACTAATATGAGCCTTTCTGAGGCAGCTGCCTCAAGCGGCAATCTGGGAGGGGTGGCAGATTTGGACCTGGGTGCTGCGCCTGCCTCCTGCCCACTTGCTTGTGGTGGCAACACCTCACTGGGGCAGTTTCTTCATACTCACACATCTCTTTTTATCCTCCATTCAGGCAAGGATTCATATCACACCCACTTCCTCAACCCATGTCCCCTGAAACACAGCTCCTCTTTCCATTCTGCCAAGCTCCCTATCTCCCCTCTCGCCTTTGCTCCATGGCAGGGGTGACCAAACATTTTTCAAAGAGGGCCAGATTTGATGAAATGAACATGTGTGAGGGTCAACCAAAGTTGTTGAGCTTTTTATTGGATTGAAGTTGTTGAGCTTTTTAAAAGATCTTACCCCAGGAAATGAACTGCCACAGGGGTCGGATTAAAGCGACTGGCAGGCCAGATTAGGGCCCCAAAGCAGACTTTGGACATGCCTGCTCCATGGCTTACTAGCTCTCTTGTGAAGCTGGAATGCCTTGCAACATTTGACTTGCCAGTCAAACCGGTTAAAAATTACCACACTTGGATTATAGCTTAGGGGTTGCAGAGACCAGATAAAACAGACAGAGGACTGATAACTGGCCCACCTGTTTAAAGGGAGGCTCCTGGTAAATTTTAGAAATTAAGCTTCAAATGTGAAAATGAGATACTGTATATCAGACAAAGTAAATTTATATAATCCCCAATCACACAGGTCTAAGATTATTCACTGTTAAATTTATTTCTAAGGAATCCTGGGAACTGTAGTTTACCCCTCACAGAGCTACAATTCCCAGCATCCTTAACCAGCTACAGTTCCCAGGATTCTTTGGGGGGTGGGGTGCTTTAAATGTATGGTATTTATGCAGTCTAAGATCCATTCCTATGCACGCTCAGTTTAGGGCAAGTGTCACTGGACTCTAGGAGACTTACTTCTGTGTAAACATACACCGCATGGTGCTATAAGTCACCAGTGAACTTGTCCACGAATGTAACAATTTTTGGGATTAGGTACACTTTACAAAGGAGGGGAATATTCTTTTCTTGTTTGCTTCTCTGAAATGTGGTTGTAGACAAAGGGACTCTGTGGGAAAACAATGCTTCTGGAAAATTAAATATTTGCTGTTTTTTGGTGTTCATTTAAAATGTCTGGTGTATTGTGGATATAGAAAAGTTTTTTCTCCCTCCCTCATAGCACTAGAACTTGCAGACACCCAACAAAGCTGCCTATTGGAAGATTCAAGACAGAAGAAAGAAAATACTTCTTCACACACAGCGTATAAGTTTGGAACTTGCTCCCACAGGAGATTGTGAGGGTCACCAAATTGGCTGACTTTTAAAAGAGGCTTAGACCAGGCCTGTCCAGCTCCCAAGAGACTGCAATCTACTCCCAGTGTAAAAAAACTGGCAGTGATCTACCCATTGTCATTGAGGAGTGACCAGAATTGTTGAGCTTATGGGGTGGGGGGAAGAACAGAGTTGTTGAGCTTTTGTGGGGAGGGGAGGAGAGGTCTTGAGCTTTTTTTGGAAAGACCAGCGCTAAAGTCAATCACCATGCTCCAGATCGCAATGAGGAAACACCAAACTCCTCCCACTAGACGCAACGGAGGAACAGAGCGGGGGGGCAGAAACATTCATTGCGAAGTTTCTCTAAGACAGCGATTGATAAGGATCCTGCGATCGACCATGAGCACCAGGGGATCTACCTGTCATTTGCAATCCACCGGTTGGACATGTCTGGCTTACACAAATTCATGGAGGAAAGGGCTAGCCATGATGGCTATGCTTTGCCTCCATGGTTAGTATTCTGAATACTAGCTACGGGAAACCACAGGAGGGGAGAAGGGGCTCTTGTGCTCAGGTCCTGCTTGAGAGCTTTCCATAGACATTGGCTCAGCCAGTGTGAGAAGAGGATGCTGGACTAGATGGGCACTGGCCTGATCCAGCAGGTTCTACTTATGTTCTTATTTGACCAGGTGGCTATAATCAGAAGTTTGTTGTGTTGGTGTCTGATATTTTCATGTTAGAGAAAGGGGCTTCTTCCAGACTGTTGCTATTTTGCAGGTGGGATTCAATTGCATACAGACAAATTCAGGTTGTGTAGTTGAAGTAGATTTGGTGATCTTTGCCAACAAACTCACTTTTAAAAAGTGGTGGGTTTTTTTTTCTGGTAAGGAAGGTGACCAAGAAAATTGCTTGCAAAGTATAAAAATAGCTTGACACAATATTGCTTAACCTCCCTTGCAAATGAATCAGAATAAATGCTTAGATAACAAGTGATATGAAAGGATTGCAGAATCCCCCCCCTTTCCCCAGAGGTGTCTCCCCTACCCCCTCCATGCTCTATAGAGTACACCATCCCGCTTTTTCATTTTTTAAGGAAAGACAATGGCACTGCTATCGCTTCCATTACAAGCAAACAAGACTTTTGCTTTATTTTCCTTGAGCCCAGGGTGTGTAGGATTAAACTGTAAAGGCTAAAATGCAATTGGTGCTGCATGCTTTGAAGTGGTAGGCAGTCAGGATAAGCCTAGTCTGATTCACTGATAAAAAGCAATCTTGGTTAAGGCTGAGCAGTGCGCTGATGAATTCTCTTAAGACTTAGTACCAAGAGGAAACTTTCAGAAGTTTGTTTAGATTGTTTATTTGATTGCTTCTTTCAAAGGGAGAGCAGAGATGGACAAGAAGCAGTGTTTGTTTTTCCATGTCAAATTAGTTAAATCACTAGAAGGTAAATCAATCTCCTTTGGGGAGAGACAATAGCTCAGTGGTAGAGCTATTGTTTTAGAAATCTTAGGAAGCTGCCTGATACTGAGTCAGACCATTTAACACCTCTCCAGGGTTTCAGGCAGAGGATTCTCCTAGCTCTGCCTGGAGGTGCGCGGGATTGAACTTGGAACTGTCTGCATGCAAAGCTACCATTGAGCCACAGCCTTTCCCCATACGACTCCAAGTTCATTCTCTGGCCCTTTCAGTTAAAAGGAT